ATGGGGTTGGGAAAACGTTGGGAATATCTGGGAGGGGGAGATTTGTCGGAAATGGCTTGAAACTGGCACGGAAGCAGCAATTGCAACTATGGGTAGAGTTCCAACAAAAGCAGTGACGAAATGCGAAACATTCGTGTCAGGATTCTCATCCCTCGTTCAGTTACACACGCTCACACTCCCCCATACCTGCATCACTGAAACGCTCCTCTTCTATGGCCTTCTGCATGTCTTGACGCAGTCTGAACTCCGCTGTAAGGTCTTGCAGCACCATGCTTGACGCATCAGGCCTGCAATCAGCAATAATTCATTAACATCCAGACTCAGTTGAGCACCATTCTTTCACATTTTTTTTTCAATGCAATGCAACCTTTCAGCATTGATGAAGGAGAGAGAGAAACATGCGCTGGATGCTGTGCTGCACAGTGCTGCATGGTTCTTTCCTACGTTGCAACGTTCCATCCAGCAACAGACTGACTCACAAGTCTTCCTCTGTGGGCGCATAGTTGCGTCGGCGAACTTTCCGGCCAGAACGGGCTGCTGGCTGAGGCGCGGTGCTGACGACTCTCACGCCATCCCCAACCGCCAGAGCTCTGTTCACCTGAATGGGCACCTGGAAATTGTCAAGCAAGGCAACGAGGATGCAAAAGAAACGTGGATGAAAAAGTGTTCGGTGACCTGCAAAACGCAATAAGGCCATGAAGAAAGTGCATAACTCGCACTTGTGCTTCTACTCTACATTGACTAAAAAAAAAAAAAAAACACAAATGGCGTACCCTTGCTCTGATTGCCAGGTTGATAGCATCCGATGGCCTCAGGTCAAGGCTGAAAACGGTTCCTCCAATTTCGCCAACCTGTAGGTTTTGACAAATTAAAACACGCAGCACGACGCATTCCATTTTGCAGGGGACTTCACATCACAGGGTGGAAGAGAAAAGGGATTTTCCGGAATGGGTGCTTGGTAGTCTCGAAGATTACCTTCTCGAGGTAAATCCGAGCATAGTACGCCTCGCACACGCGGTGCGTGACGCGCACCAGCTTCACCTGCAACAGAGCAACACGAAACATGTCAATTGGAATCATCTGTGTCAAAAACAAGGGACAATGAGGCTGCGCTGCTTGATACTGTTCTTTGTTTTTCTTAAATTTTCCAGCTGATGTTGCACTAAGTCTCCTGAGTTCGTACCTTGTATCCCATCATATCAATCATGTCCTTCATCACCAGGTACACTGTTGGCCTGGCCTGAACACATGACCGAAGAGAGTAAACATCAGAAAAGACAAGCAGTGGCATGTTGATTGTTACCTACGAAGGCTTCTGAATGTGCGTGAAAGTTCACAAGTACTCACGAGTGGGACATTTCGGATGGCCTCTTGGGCCATTTGGCTCGGCAAGTCCACTGCCAAATAAAACAATTAAAAAGAATTAGGAGCTGAGAAAGATAAACGACACAGGACAGAAACGAGAACAATCTGCAAAGGTGCACGGCAAATCAGAGGGCTAAGGAAGCCGTATGAATAACAACCGAGAGTATGTTCAAAACATTCACAGAGAGCAGTGGCCAGAATCAACTTACAGACAAGTATTGGCAGAAGAATGCCGCTTCCATCCTCGAGCTTGAGGACAATGGCCGGCTGAGCCGTGTAATCAGGGAGCCGCGGGCTAAGAAAGCCGTATGATCAACAATTGAGAGTCCACTTACAGACGATTATTGGCAGAAGAATTCCGCTTCCGTCTTCGAGCTTGAGGACAATGGCTGGCTGAGCCGTGTAATCAGGGAGCCTTGCGCCATCGGGGTTGGTGTGAGCGCATTTGAGAAGCGAGCCGTCGGACATCTTGACGACGAAACCATCCACGTTGCTCTTCACCTCATCTGCGCAAAAGAAAGCAGGCACGAACGCGAGCAATCCACGATCAAGCAATTAGGCAAGCAAGCAGGTCAAATTAGTAAGGAGAAATGTTCAAGTCAGCGTGAACCCCCAGCCTAACGTTCAAGTTTGAATTGAGCACACAATAGACCACAAGGGCAGCTGGATGACATGTTAAACGATCATACTTCACCTGAAATACAGTCATACATCTTGTACTTACTTGCTTCGACGACAGTGGCTAGGGCGTACTCCATGTCATCCTCTTGAAACCCTTCGGACATTTTGCCCTTGAAGAACTCCATAGTAGCCTCGATTTTTCCGGGCACAAATCTTTCCACAACCTTAGAAGAGCCTATTCTTGCGGTTGTTGACGCAAGCTGGTTGCCGAGCATAGATTGCTGCTTCCATGGCGTCACCGAGGCTCTTTTAAATGCCGAGTCGAAATTCGTGGAAGAGCTATTTGAGACGACGCTTGCGAGAGCGGCTACGCGCGGAACGGACGTTGACACGGCCGCCATGACTGCGGTTTCTTGCAGAGTCTGGTTAACACCCTTCAAGGAAACAGTTCTTTCTGCGGTGGTTCTTGAGCCACCACAGCCACAACTGCTGTTGGAGCAACGAAGGGAGGCGCCAGCTGACTGCAATCTACTCCCACTCACACAGACAGTCTGTCTTTGTGTTACCCAAGTTCTTCTAGAAAGAAGATGACCCGTCGTTGCTCAATGGCCTGATTTATCGTCTCTGGCCATGAGTAAAGCTTGGAGTGCTGCTGTCTGTCACTCTGTGGTCATTGGGAAAAGTATCGGCCAATCAGGCCGTCACGCACTCCTGTATCCGACACAAACCCCGGTCCATCCTATTGCACCTCATTTAACCCTTTCGGAACCGCTTCCCATTGACTAACAAAGAAAGGATCCCATCAGAATGGCGTTCGCGGTTGTCCAGGCAGAAATCGGCGAGATGTGTCAATTTGGTTACCGGCTGTTCGCTATGGTGACTAATCAACATCAGTGTTGACGAAAGTTGACAGTTGCTTCGTGAGTTCTCCATTCTTCGTAAAAGCAACGAACTTGGCCGCATTGCGGTTGTCCCGTCACTCCCCACGCGCCTCGGCATTGTGAGGACCAACTGACGAGATTCCGAACCGTGTCCATGAGGGTCATCCACAACCAACACCAATCACAAGCTTGTATGGGGCTTGTCTATGTCACCCGAAATGTTCCTCCAATCAGAATTCCTCATTTCATCAATGAGCATCAAAAGACACGGTGGCATCTGCTCATCATGACTTGCGGTTCCACTGTCAATTTCCGCCTCGCCTGAGCCCTGATCTTATTGGACGAACGTGACTGGTGGGAGTGTTTGCGCATTCGTGTGGGGGAATCCTGGGCAATCAGATGAGGGACGAGGGCCACAGAAGACTTGTGATGAGTCACTGCTTCAGCATCAATGGCTAGTGTTTCACGTCGGACCAAGAGGTTGACACGTGGTACACGTAGCTCTGATGCAAGAGAATTCTATTGCCCAATCATGGACATCAAGCAAATTCTCGTTTCGATTTGCTTCACGTTATGTTTATGAGAGAAAGGTCAGCAAAGACTTCGTAAGCTCCCCTTCTGGTGGGAGCGTTTGGCACATAATAATAAGGGGCTGTTCTCAGATACATATTTGGCTGAATTCCAAGCCCACAAAACGTAACGCCACTGACCAAGTACAAACCCCACTCACCGACCAATTTACACCGCGTAGATTTTTTTTTTCAGTACATACCACCATAGATTTAAGGCAGCACAGCACATGGCCAGCTGCCCACCCCTTTCCCTTCATAAGCTTGACCTACACTCGGCTCATTCCTAGCAAAGTGCATGTTCCACGGGCACTGCATACCCAGCAGAATGGACCTTCATACAAGCATGATCCGGCTAGATTAGACCCAAATCACCCTACGTAAACTTGCCCCTTCCAGCACATAAGACAACACCTTCCTTTCCTACAACCGTACCATCAAAAGGTTGGTCTTTGTCGAAAGTGCCTGATTCATTCGGAAAAACCTTGAGCATCCTGACATCCGAATGTGTGCTCCAGGCATCCTGCCACAATACATACACACACCCCAGCCACACCCAGCCACACCCAGTCAAACCCAGACAGGCCCAGCCTGTCCCAGCCAGAGCCAGGCAGGCCCAGGCACCAACCCACACTTTGCCTTGACAGCTGTAAGCACTCCACACTAACCACACATCTGATACACCACCCACCCACCCTCTCTGTTACAGATCCTAACTAAACCTCTGCCTACTGTAGCACAAACCCACCACCTACTCTTGAGTAGGTCAAACAATAACCTACTGAAGCACCCACCCTCAGGCCTACCACCAACATGTTCCGCTGCGAGCATGCAGTGCCTGCATCTTATCAACCTCCCTCCCATTTCCAGCTAAGACTTTTTCAGACGTCAACCCACCCAAAAGGCCACTCTGCTTCAGGTCCGCCTGAGCCTCCACCTGAGCCTTCACCTGAGCCTCTACCTGAGCCTCTACCTTTAGTACCACCAACCACACTATCAAACTGCTCCGCTGCTGCTGCTGCTGCTGCTGCTGCTGCTGCTGCTGCTGCTGCTGCTGCTCCTGCATGCTTGTCTTATGCATCACATGCGGCGCTCTCGCGTCTTACAAGCCTCCCTCCCACAACCTGCCGCCACTGACACAGATCTGTTACTGCGCATACACGTGCCCCTGCATCGATTCCTTCCGCGGCTTGGCTCCCCCGATTCCCTTCACCTCCTCCTTTCATCTCCTCTTCTCATCTCCTCCCTTCACCTCCTTCCCTGCAGCTTCCCCACCTCTTTTCACGACCGGCCTCCCTTCGTCACTTTGCCAAGGAATACCCAAATACAACTTCTTCTGAGCCGCAGCAGCAGCAGCCGCAATTACGAGGCGCCTCGGAATGCATGCTCCCTTAACCTCCAGCCTTCCCCTCCTACATACCCCTCCTCCCTTCACCGTTTGCCAAAGAAGTAGCCAAACAACGATTTCTTCTGAGGCGCAGCAGCCGCAGCCGCATACATGAGGCGCCGCAAAAGCCTCCTCCCTTAACCTCCACCCCTTCCCTCCTCCCTACCCCACCGGCCTTCACCGCTTGCCAAAGAAGTACCCAAACAACGACTTCTTCTGAGGCGCAGCAGCAGCAGCAGCAGCAGCAGCCGGCGCTCCCTTCTTCTCCTGCCCCTTACTCGTTCCACCACCTTTAGCACCACCAGCAGCAGCGGCAGGCGGAGCAGCATCTGCATCCTTCTCCCCCTTGGTCTGCTCCGCGAATTTCTTCAGCATGGGTAGCACCACCGTCTCCAGATCCGGCCGGTTCGTCCTGTCCCTGCACTTAAGCGCCACCTCAGCAACCTCCTTCGCAATCTCCGGGTTCCACTGAACCGTCTTATCCAAATGATCCAAAATCCCCTCCAGCCCAAATTTTGCAAACTCCAGCACCTTATTCACCTTCTCGCCGGTCAGTAGCTGCAGGATCACCAGCCCGAGCCCGTACAGATCCGACTGCGGGCCGTATTTCCCGGTGCGAAGCAGCAATGGGTCAATGTAACCCACCGTTCCCCAGATCGACGAGTCGTTTGCGGGAAGGAACTTCGCCAGACCCACTCCCCCGACTTTACAGGAAAGATCCTCGTTCAGCATGACGTTACCGGGTTTCACGTCCTGGTGGAGAATCGGCGGGTCGAGATGGTGCAGGAACAGCAGCGCCTCTGACGCCTCCGCGGCGATCCGCAGCCGGTGCTTCTGCTGTATCGTTTTCCGTCCCCCCTCCGTCAGCAGACGGTCCTCGAGGGTCCCCCCAGGGAGCGACTCGTACACGATACAGCGTGCCTCGGGATTGTATCCGAGGAGCTTGACCAGATGCGGGTGGTCCGCGCGCGTGAGGATGGTCACTTCGCGGGTAAATTTCTCCGCCGCCTGGCGGGTATTATCGGGGTTCAGCTTCATTACAAGCACGGGGGAACCATCCGCGAGCTTTCCGCGGTAACCCGTGCCGAAACCGCCGCGACCGAGCGAGTTATCCCGCGAGTAGTTATTCGTGGCTTCGTCAAGTTCCTCTGCTGAGAACGTCTTTAAACCGGCCTCGCTCCCCATCGTGATCGTCTGCTGCTGGTAGTGCTTTTGGTGACGGTTCTCCAGAATAAAAGCTGTCTGATGCTAAAGTTGCAATTATCCCAACATCGTACGGCTTCTATCACAGAAGTTGATGACCTGGCGGGTGGACATCGGTACCTCAAGTGAAGCGGTTACCAGTGCTGACTGGCCTTAACAGCTGGCTATTCCAGTGAAACAGCTACAGGCGCTATTCCGGTAGCTTCCCGCCTTCGACTCGATCAGGCGGCGAACCTGGTGGAAGTTAGAAAGGACGCATCGTGGAGTGTAAGGCGTGGAGCATAACATTGATACCAACTAAGTTCTTTATCACGAGATGCAACCCACTGCTTGTCGATATAGGTCCACGCATACAACGCCGCATCAGGTAACCACGGGTGTTGGTGGGATATTCTTGAAAGAACAAAAAAAATGCAGATCAGGAACCATCAACTGATGTTACGGTTGGTCGCATCAAAGCTACGGCTTTCCGCACGCGAGTACATGAGTTAACTAAGTATCTAGTGCGTCGTATTACTGGCAGTACAAGGCCGACGGGGAAACAACAATAGTGGAAAGATGCGGAATGATGACACGATACAATGAGGGAGCTGCACGTTTACGTAAGCGTGACTTACCCAATATCACTGGCTGGACTAAAACTTCAGAAAGCAGAGAGGCCTCACGCATTGACAGGTAGAAGACCCAACTGCTGTTCGCCACAATGCCAATCAGGAGCGCTCTTGAGACTTGAGATGAACAAACTAAAAACCTTCCAAAGGTTGCGGTGACAGCTTCGACAATGGCGACCTTCCCTTTCTGCAAACTAGGTTTGGATTGGACGGTTCCTATTTCACCCTTTGCCCCGCTGAGCCCAACTGCTGGATGCCTTCTGGTCTGTTCTGACTGGCCTTGGTGTTGTCACGGAGTCGATTCATTCACCCTTCCCCTGATACTGTACTGTCACGGACGAAGGGGGAGTGAAGCGGAGGCGCAGCTGGGATGAGGTTGACCAGGTGGAAGTGGTTGCTGGATTGGTTGGAATGGAACTGCCGTTTTCAGTTTCTTTGTTGCACTGTTGGATTTTGGAGTTTACGGCACGGAGGCTGACAGGTCCCCGAACTCAGCAATCCAGGAAAACCTGCTGGGCTGCACTGGCTGAGAGAATTGTTTACCAAAAAGGGACGTAGCAAGGAGGAAGGAATCCTGAATGCGAGTGGTGGCACTGGCACACCACCCTGCTAGTGGTGCCGAACTGGTTAAAAAAAATCAGGGTACAGCACGGGCAGCTTACACGAGAGGGGGCATCCACGAGGGGTTTTAGGGACTGGAAAGGGGGGTCGTATAAAGGGGGATGGTGGACGCGAAGAAAATTGCGGAAGCCAATGAGAAGCTGAGCCACGCGCGCAGAGGACTGCGATCCCGTGAATGTGCCGAGGGTCCAGTGCCTGCAATTTCGCATGACGGAGAAGTTCGGCTTCAATAACAGTTAATCTCGTTTCAACAATAACAAGTAACTGGCTTGTAAGGAAACGACGGTACATACCCTTCGAGTACTTTACCAATAATCCACAACCCATCCCTCTCACACCCCCTCTCTCCATGTTACTACTCTGTTCAATATTTTCCCCTAAGCATCTCGCCTCCTGTCAATAAGCACGATTACCAAAAAAATCACGATATCTTGTTATTTTTCACATTGTATCGCAAAACACGTGCAAACGTCCCTAATGGGTGTACTGATACTCTCTCATAGCCCGTGTGCTGCCGCCAGCATTCGGCAGCTGGTGCCAATAATTGTTCACGACAGTTTGCTCTCCACAGTATTTCAATGTTATGAATTCGTTATTTGTCCACAGCACAATGTGTGCAATGTGTGGTGATGCGAGAGTGACCTTCTGGCTACTGCATGCAGTTTATTGACTGTATCCTAATCTTTGTAACGCATCAAGTGTCTCCTTTCGTATCTGCAAGCACAAGACACAAGAAGAGAGACTGAATGATGACAGACCGAACAAAAAATTCTCAGACCAATTATTGAGCACCATCGTATACAAATGCGTGTAATACAGACAGTTCAAACCGCTCACCCATTCAAGTTGTTGGACCGTTACCCCTGACCCTCCAGTCCTGTACATTCCACCTAGGACCTGCATCAGCACCCCAAAGGCTAGTGATGAAAGCTCTTTCCTGTGCCATACTGGCCAATGTGGTAATTTCTTTACAAAATAGCTGGTAAGAGTATGAAAATGCGAAGTGTACCTTGGTTACGGTGTCTAGCAGGTGACCTGGCCGAACAGGAGCAGAGCCCTTTGATTGCTGAACCTGTCAATGCCGATTTCACACGGAATGCAGTATGCAAGTTAGTCACACACAAGGTATAAGAAAGATGCCACAGGATAGGGAACAGTGTGAAGGGTCCGGGAGCGATGTGCATTGTGAAGGGTTTGGGAACGGTGTGAAAGGGCTTCAAAACAACGGCGCAAATGTCCAAGCATTCGTAAAGACCATCTGAGCAGAAGCTTGTTATGCGCGAAACGAAGCATACTCTATACTGCCAAACAAAGCAACCCAATACTTGTTTGATTCCAAGAACTCATCGAAATCTCCTATTCACGCAATAATGGATTAGGACGCGTCTCCTGAACGCCGATCCTGCAATCGATCGTCAAAAATCGATCTTCCACCGCATTAAAACTACGCGCATCGCAGTTAACATTTGTAGCTGTTAATTAAACCACGCCAAAATTCGATCCTACGTAGGATCGATCCTGCGATCGGCGTTCAGGAGACGCGTCCTTATAATGTACCAGATAAAGCACAGCCCACCTTGATGGGGCCATCACTGCCCTTCTTGTACTCGCCCTCCTCCCGCCCTTCCATCACATCAAGTATTCGCTTCCTCAGCACGTCTGGCGATTTCATGGCCACCAGTGTTGATATGAACCGCACCTGTGAGGTACAGGGATGCATACACATACAAAAGTCCATACACATTTTGGGGCGTCTCAAAACTCGTCCTCCTGCCGCCCTTCCATCACATCAAGTATTCGCTTCCTCAGCAACTCTGGAGATCGCATGGCAACCAGCGTTGATATGAACCGCAAATGCGTGGCATGGCCAAACGCACACACAAAAACCATGCACACACAAAAACCATGCACACACAAAAACCATGCACACACAAAAACCATGCACACACAGAAGCCATGCACACACAGAAGCCATGCATAGACACACAAACCTAACAGTTGTTGACACACACACCAGCATTGATATAAACCCCGCACTCCCCATACCTCCTTCCAAACCTCCTCCCATCCCGAACCTCCTTCCCCGAATGTCCTTCCCGTACATCCTTACCGTACTTCCCTCCTGTACCTCAGCCTCGGAACCTTTTTTGGCCGTGCACGTCGTTGCGGGGGTCATGAATGCCCCTCCCCCATGAAACACAGTGCCTCTCTCTTCCCTCCTACCGTACCTCCTTTCCATACCTCCGCCTCTCCCGTACCTCAGCTTAGGGCAAGTTCTTGAGTCGGCGGGCATCGTTGCAAGGATCCTGAACACCCCCCGCCATGAGCAACCGTGCTTCCTCCCTCTCACCATACCTCCTCCCCATACCTCCATGTCCATCCCTCCCGTACCTCAGCCTCGGGAACGTTTTTGAGGCGTCGCACATCATTGCGAGGGTCCTGGATACCCCCCGCCATGAGCGATCGCGCCTCCTCCCTTGCTAGCAGCAGCCGAGCAAGCAAGCGTCGGTCCTGAATGGGCAGCTGCTCTTCGATGGACTGGGAGGGTGGGAGTTGGTGGTGGGAAGGGGGGAACGAAGGGCTAAGAATAATGGCAATCTGCGCTTCCTCCCTCGCCAACAGCAGTCGGGCGAGCAGGCGGCGGTCCTGAATGGGCAGCTGCTTCTCCATGGACTGGGGGGGTAGAGAAAAGTGGAATGACAGTGGAAAGTGATTTTAAATGTTTATCGTTTTGCACCGTGACGAAACGAAGTTGACCGCAGAGAGTGTACAAAAGTTGTACACCCTGACATCGTCCTAAGCTTGCATTCAGTCACCCAGTCTCGTTAGCAAGCACAGGCGGCCATGGAGAACATAGACGAAGCCCGGATGGCGAAAGACCTTGCCGATGCGAGGCTATCGGCTAAAGACGGCGCAGGAGCCCGGGAACTGTGCGAGGAGGCTCGTTCCCTGTTTGCGACGCTCGACGACCTTTCTTAGATTGGTGGTCGTTCTCGACGTTCACAAAGCTGTTGCGTAGCCGTTATTCGGTGCCTGTCCCGGCGAGCGGGACTGGTACCTCATCTTCTTGGGACTGAAACGCCTAGGACGAGGTACCAGTCCAGCTCGCCGGGACAGGTACCGCATAACGGCTTCGCAACAGCTTCGTGAACGTCGAGAACGACCTCCATCTGAGACAGACCGCCGAGCGTCGCACACGGGGAACGAGCCTTCTCACAGAGTTTCGGGGCTCCTGCGACGTCTTCAGCCGATAGCCTCGCCTCGGCGAGGTCTTTCGCCATCCGAGCTTTGTTTATGTTCTCCATGGTCCCCTGTGCTTGCAAACAAGACTGGGTGACTGAATGCAAGCTTAGAGCGATGATTACAAGGAATATGAGGGTTTAGAGGGGAGGAGACAGTCGTGAACCCCCCCCCGCCGTGAAACATCATGTCTCTTCCCTTGCTAGCGGCAGGTGGCCAGCAGGCAGCGGTCCTGAATGGGTAGATGCTCCACTATAGACATGGGTGTGTGCATTTGGGTGAGCGAAGGAAGAGAAACGTGGATAAATGCCCCACACCCCCCATAAGCACCAATAATCTCCCCCAACCTACCTCCCTGCATATGCACGTCCGGTCATTACCTTCCACCAACGGTGTCCCCCCTTTTCCCAAAGCACGTGAAGGAAAACCAGATCGAAAACCAGGCACTCACAGCAACGAGGTCGTCCGCCTGAGCAATTATTTCCTCCAACCTCACTCCAGCCACATGCACCTTGGGTGGTTCCATGCCGCCAATCCTTCCTATTTTTTTGAACTCATGGGAAGACCAGGCACTCACAGCAACGAGATCATCTGCCTGGGCTATGATCTCCTCCAGCCTCTCTCCAGGCACATGCACCTCCGGTGGCTCCATGCCGCTCACTCATGCTGTCCTCCCTTTCTGCCCATACCCTTCACGTATGGATCGAGGTCCGTGTTACGGAAAACCAAGCACTCACAGCAACAAGGTCGTCTGCCTGGGCAATAATGTCCTCTAACCTCGCTCCAGGTACGTGCACCTCTGGTGGTTCCATCCCGCCAACGCCGCCCATGTTGCCGCCCGGACTCGCCTCCGCAGGGAGCTTGCCGCCCCCTGCCAGCGCGCGTGTGATGATGTCTCGGCGGCGGTTCTTGTCTGATGTGGCAACGAGGAGCGACACCACCTGCACCTGAAAATTCCCAATGCCAATAGGAGAAAGAGGAGGAGGAGTATTAGCAATAGCAATAGCAAGAAGAAACTTGAGGCGAATAATCAATGGTCTGATCTGGCCACGAGAAGCGACACCACCTGCACCTGAAATGCCAAACGCTCCGAAGGCCCAAAGCCCTAAAACCCTAAGTTGGAAGAAACCAGCAACATGCGGAATGCCTTGGCCTTGGCCTTGGAGTTGCAACTTCCGCTGCTGCAGCTGCATGCATTGGGCTGTGCTACTCTTGCTATATCTGACAGCTGCAGGTGCAAGAGCTTGGATACATCAGCATGCATTAGAGCTGACAAGCGAGTCATCAGTGTGACCAAACCAGGGATGGCACCTGGAGCACAGCCCCTCTGATCTTACCTGGGGAGGCATCTTCTGCTGCAGCTGCGATAAAAGCTGCTCCTTTACCACGTCCAGCAGCCAACGGCCCTGGAAAGGGGAAGGGGGAAGGCACGTGCATGTGATCTATAAATGGGCGGTCAGCAGGGAAGGTGGTTCCATGTGATGCAGTGGTCAGCACAAAATACTGACTGGTGCACCGAGGGCGACTGATGTTGTTTTTGAGGAAGGTGGATGATAATGGAGATGGGGTTGGGAACGGTTGGGGGGAAAAAGAAAAAGGAAAAGGGCAGGGGTTAAACAAGGCAAGGGTTAAAATGAAGGGGAGAAAAAGCAGCACGACGTTGAGAGGTGCGACAAAGAGGAGGGGGTGCTGAAGATGAGAAAATTCAGATTTGTGGTTCTCTGACTTCCATCAGATTTGTGGTTCTCCGACTTCCATCAGATTTGTGGTTCTCTGACTTTCATCAGATTTGTGGTTCTCCGACTTCCATCAAGTCGGTGAGAGTGGTGACAAAAAAAGAGTGGTGAGAGATGTGCATGACATTCAGGTGCATAAAAAGAGGTTAGGTATGATAGGCATGTTTGGCGTGTCTCAAGATTAAGACTGCAAGTAAATATGCGATGAGATCTCAGAAAGCGCATGCACCAGCAGTGTTAAAAACAAATCAGATCGCTCTGAAGTTCACCAGGCAACTGGAATTGATAGCGAAAAATATAATGAGAGAGAGAAAAAAACAAATTCAAGAGCTTGGTGAATTTCAAATTGATCTGATATGTTTCTAACACTGTTGGTGCATGCGTTTTCTAAGATCTCACCTGTAGCCTTATCTGGAGTCACCACAAACATGCCTAACTTACCTAACACTGTCGCATACAAAATTAGGGGCATTGCAGCGGGCCGGAGTCTGTCAGCGTGCCGTCGATGTCGAACAGCACCGCGCGCAGTTGACTCACGGGGGGGAGTGCACGCAGCGTCAACGGCTCTGTGTAGCGGTCCCTCACACACTTCTTCATGCTATGATGGGTTTTATGGGATCGATATGAAAATGTGCCAACATAATAATATTCTCTCCCCTAAGCACGAAATTTGTTGTTTTTAAGAACTCCCATAGGAGTTACTAGCGTCCGCCCCTTCCCTTACTCACCTTGGAGTCGTTGTTAGCGTCAGCCTGCCCCATCATGAACTCAAGCGCCACCAAGAATGACTGGTCCAGAGTGCTGACCCGGCCCGCTATGGCCGCTGCTGCTGCCATCTGCACTGCCAGCTCCTCCTCCCGCCCTTCGAGGCCCGATATCTCGTCCAGCTGGGAGTGAATAGTGAGGGTTGTGCGGGTTGTTGTCCATGCAACAGGGGGAGAAGAATGGGACATGTCTCATGCCGCCATCTGCACTGCCAGCTCCTCCTCCCGCCCCTCCAGCCCCGATATCTCGTCCAGCTGTATTGGGTGTGTTGTGCATGCATGTATAAAAAACACAATTATACAATTATACATCCAAGTGCTGCCATCTGCACTGCCAGCTCCTCCTTCTGCCCTTCAAGGCCTGATATCTCGTCCAGCTGGGGGTCAATAACACGATGTTATCCATATCATAAATGACTTGCTCCTCGCAGCAGCTCCCCTCCCTCAACCCGAAACCCAAGTGGAGAGTTCAGGTTTGGGGTTTATCAGAGAACACAGTCTACTGCAGAAGCCACCTTGCGCTCTTACGATGTTGGCCATGTCAGACATGACTTGCGCCACGTCCTCCCCGCCCCGCAGCAGCTCCCGCCACGCGTCCGCGTCTGATTGGCTGCTCCCCTCTCCTGCTCCCCCGGGCGCTCCAGGTCCTCGCGGTCCGCCCATGCTCGATATTCGCACCCGCATCTCGCGGCGCATTTCACGCCGCATGATATGCCGCGGCTGAGCGGTTAGAGAGTGCGTCTGCTGTGGCGTATGAAGAGACGACTGGGGTTGTGCTACTAACGGGTGTGCTTCTAACGAGGAGATTATGCCACACGGTCGAGACCCTGTTATTTGGTTTCCGGTCTGGCGGGAGGCGCGGCACGCCGATGGTAGGAGACATGTTCGCGATACAGGGAGGTGGGACGTAGGAGTCATTGTGCGCTGGGTGGCAACGGCACTAGAAAATCGACGGTTGGTTCTCACGAGCTTGGAATGGAAACGGACGGATGAGGACGACTTTATGTCACATGGATTGTCCGCCTTACGAATTTAGGCAGTCGAGCGACGTATTCGAGGCGGGAGAAAAATCACGAGAAGGAAAAGCAGGCGCCAGGGAATCACATGCTACTGTCGTCGGTCGGAATTTCTGTGTATCTTATGTCCAAGATTACATAACATATTAGAGTTATTTCAGCGTGGTAGCTGTGCTGTTTCTTTTCTCAGAGTTTGCCAAACTCATAGCGCGAATATGCTTCTATCGAGTTGCACAGGGTTCAGGACGCGGTAAAAGTAGACGATCGATCACGATCGGATCGGTTACCCTATTTACCAGAAGGTAATCATGCTACAGTAATGTTTATGGCTACATTTTGTCCACAGTAAATGACGGCGATTGATCACTGGTCGGTTGTTGGATTTACCGAGACAGAAAGCTGGGCTGATGTGCACGAGCCGAGGGCAACAGGTGGGATTGCTGCTGATATCAGCGAATTTCGACACATTTCGCCGACGGGTGATTGGAGTCGCGCATCAATCTGGAACTTCGCGGAGTGTTTGAGCGAAGGGAGTTTGTCATAGACGGTGTCGCAGGCAAAACCACATTCTCTGTTTTGGAACATCCAACACATCAACCGCCGACGATCGTTACAACCGCGTGAGCGACGCGTTTCGCCCATCGAACCACCAAATCGGTTTCGAGGTTCGATTTTGCAGCGCGAGCCAGCGATCTTCTCACTTGAACCGCGTCCTCAGTTTACATCCCGCCTGCAGTCTCTGACGATCTGCTTGCTCCCCGCCTCTGGGATTGTCAGTGATTACTGGGATTTTTGTTTCCGATAAGTGTCCCGCGCATTTTTCTCCACTGATAGTCCAGTGCGGTTCAAAAGAGTATTACATGGTACGAGACGGTTCTTGAAGTATACCGCCTAGGACCGCAACGTACCAAACACAACCGTGATGAACGGCCGTGTTAATCGCAGATTTTTTGCCTTGGCATGAGGACCTCGGACCTCCCACAGATTCCACTCACAAACCAGGCCAGCTCTCGCGCTACCAGCATAAAATGACATAACCTTCAGCTCTACTGCTTCACAAATAGCTCAGTAGAACCGTCGATCGCCTCTACTGACTTCTATTTTATCGACGATTGCGACAATAATCGGCTTTCCGGTGGAGGCGCGAAACGATGTCGGCCGAATTTTAGGTTTCTGTTAGTCCGTTTCATCGCACTTCACGTTGGAGACTTGTCGTTCCGAGCTTCTCCCATCCGTCAGCTCCTGCTTGCGCTAGACTCGTCAAAGTCACTGACGCACTTCCAAAATACCTTATAGTGAGCATTGGACCGTCAGCGAACATTTCCGCTGTTAGCTCTCATCAAATCACATTCTGCAATGCGTCCGTGACCTCCTCCTATCACTTCACGAGCGATTATCTCTCCAACCCTTCGTCCCGCGCCGCCTCGTCACGAGAAGTTCCCATTTTCAACCCTTAGGTGCTCTCCAATTCTTAGCTCCGCGCGTCCTCGTCACGCGGCCATGAGCGACGCGGTGCTGCAGGAGAACGGCATGGCGAGGCCGGCCATGTCGGATCGCGAGATGCACGTCATCGCGTCCGTCGAGGAGTGGAACAAGGGTCTCCCGGCGTCCGCCTTGACGCACAAATACGCGCTCATTGGTCGCTCGCCGGTTTCCTTCTTTCAAGGAACCAATCACCTCTTCTGGGCTGACCTAAGGTGAGGAATTTCTTGTTAAGTGTGACCGAATAGGGTGAACATGTAACGGGGATAGCTAGTTACATTTTCGAGGTCACATGGTCTCATGCGTTCGCAGTTCTCTGGGCTGACCTAAGGTGCGATATTTCTTGTTAAGGGAGTGTTTCCAACACATGCTCGAGCTTTCGTGCTCTACTAACCCCGTCAGGACTGCGAACGCGGTCGAATCCTGTTTGTTTCTACTTCCTGGTTACCATGGTTTCCTGAATACGCGGTCGAGTTCAGATGACTTTGAACACAAGTTCAGATGACTTTTCAGTTTGATTTGGACTTCATATTTTTAGTCAACTCAAGAATCGCATTCATTCCAGGTTGATCGGGATCAGATATATATTTAGTCAACTCAAGAATTTCTCGCACTCGTTTTCCTCGCATCCCTTTTCCTCTGCATCTCTCACCCACCGCCCGTGCATACCCTCTCGCGATCGCGCAGCGGCGACGAGCGCCTTACGCGTTTCGGCAACAGTCGCACGGTGACGTGGATCGTCGGCGACTGCTCCACGTCGTCGTTCACGGCGTCGGGCAGCGACAGCGAGGGCCCCATGTACGGGCTGTCGCTCACCGACGAATCCGTGATCGCAGACTACCAGTACGACGTCTGGCGACTTGCGACGAGCATCGTGCTGCTCGCGCGGGAGAATCTCGCGGCGGCGGGTTCGGGGGCGGCTTCCGCCGCTGGCGGAGCTGCGGGAGGCGGAGGCGGAAGCGGAGGCGGGGTAGCGGCGGAAGAGGCGATTTTGCGCGCGGTGGTGGTGGCCTTTGCGCGCAAATACCTGAAGACGATAATGGGGTTCAAGCAGGGGGAGGTGAAGGGCGGAGGGGGCGGGGAAGGCGGAGCGGAGGGGAACGCGCGGAAGCTGTCACAGGTGCTGCTGATGTCTGGGGGGAACATGAAAGGGCGGCTGGTACGGTTTCTGGCGATTGTTGAGAGAGAGTACAGCAGGCGGCGGCTTCTGAAAAAATGGTGAGATTATGAGTTGAATAGTAACACACCTGCGGATGTCTGGGGGAAACATGAAACGGCGGCTAGTGCCGTTTCTGGCGATCGTGGAGAGAGAGTGCAGCAGGCGGCAGCTGCTGAAAAAATGGTTAGCTGTTTTGAGTTGACTGAGAACACGCTGGTGTCCTGGGAGAACATGAAAGGGCCGCTGGTGTGGTTCGTGGCGATTGTTGAGAGAGAACACAGCAGGCGGCGGCTGCTGAAGAAATGGTGAGTTTTGAGTCGACTAGTAACTTACTTGCTGATGTCCGGGGGGGAACATGAAAGGGCGGCTGGTACGGTTTCTGGCAAAAGAGGAGAGAGAGTACATCAGGCGGCGGCTGCTGAAGATATGGTGAGCTGCTTTGAGACCTGTGTTGTGTTGACAAGGGAGCTGTTATGGAGACGTCCCAAAGCACTGGTATTGTCTTCCTTGGTCGCACGCCATTCCAACCGACTCTTCCCCTTCCATCCCATCCCATCCCATCCCATCCCATCCCATCCCATCCCATCCCATCCCATCCCATCCCATCCCATCCCATCCCATCCCATCCCATCCCATCCCATCCCATCCCATTCCGTTCTCCTGTTCCTGCACTCTGGTCGCAGGTGCGTGGAGGAGGGCGGGCGGTGGTCGTTTCAGGAGCATCCCGGGAGGCTGCAGGCGTGCCCCAAGTTTGAGGAGGACGCCGTGGTGGCGGCGCTCGCCTCGTATGCTGATGGGGTCAACGTCAAGGGGCTCGCCCGCAGCATGCATGTTGACCCTGCTTCCTGCGGCGTGAATCGATACATGGCACTGGTAAGTTTTGGGAGACTCCTCAGTGTGTGGCGGCGCTCGCCTCATATGCCGACGGGGTCAACGTCAAAGGGCATGCCTGTAGCATGCATGCGGATCCTGCTTCGTGTGGCGCAGGGCATGCCCGGCTGCTCGTCTCTTCTCGTCTCAACTCATCTTATCTCGTTTCCTCTCAACTCATCTCACCTTCAGACCGAAACGAGCAGCGGGGAGTTACGCGTGCTGGACGTGCGCATGCAGCAGCGTCCCACCGCCTACCACTTCATGAATTACAACGAGCGCCGTGCCTACCGCCATCGCTTCCCCCACGAGACGGATTGGTTCCCCCGAGTGCAGGGCACGCCTTGCGATCAGCTCTCATGTCGTCTCACCTCTCACTGCACCCTCTCACCTTACCCCATCTCTCTCCCCCCCCTTACACCTCTTCAGACCGAAACCAGCAGTGGGGAGTTACACGTGTTGGACGTGCGCATGCAGCAGCGGCCCACGGCATACCACTTCATGAACCCTGATGAGCGCCGCGCCTACCGCCACCGCTTCCCCCACGAGACAGACCGGTTTCTGGAGGCCAGCACTGCTCTGTGCTCGTCGCATGACAGCAGCAGCATCGGATGGATGGAGCTGCAGGTGAGGGGTGGGGGAAGAAGATGCAGGTGAGGAATGGAGTGAGGTATGGAAGTGAAATGGAGGTGCGGGTGAGAGGTGGAGGTGGGAGGTTGTACCGCCACTGCTTCCCCCACGAGATAGACCGGTTTCTGGAGGCCTGTGCTGCTCTGTGCTTGTCGCGTGACAGCAGCAGCATCGGATGGATGGAGTTGCAGGTGAGGGGTGGGGGAAGAAGATGCAGGTGAGGAATGGAGTGAGGTATGGAAGTGAAATGGAGGTGCGGGTGAGAGGTGGAGGTGGGAGGTTGTACCGCCACTGCTTCCCCCACGAGATAGACCGGTTTCTGGAGGCCTGTGCTGCTCTGTGCTTGTCGCGTGACAGCAGCAGCATCGGATGGATGGAGTTGCAGGTGAGGGGTGGGGGAAGAAGATGCAGGTGAGGAATGGAGTGAGGTATGGAAGTGAAATGGAGGTGCGGGTGAGAGGTGGAGGTGGGAGGTTGTACCGCCACTGCTTCCCCCACGAGATAGACCGGTTTCTGGAGGCCTGTGCTGCTCTGTGCTTGTCGCGTGACAGCAGCAGCATCGAATGGATGGAGCTGCAGGTGAGGGGTGGGGGGTGGGATGGAATTGAGGGTTGAGGGTATGAGATGGAGGCAAGAGACGGAGATGCAGCTTGGGCAATGGGGGTGTGGGAGCAGGTGATGGAGGAAGTGAGAGGTGGCGGTGGAAGGTGGGGGGGCCGCCATCGCTGTCCCCACGAGACGGACCGATTTCTGGAGGCCTGCGCTGCTCTGTGTGCTGGTCGCATGACAGCAGCAGCATTGGGTGGATGGAGCTGCAGGTGAGGACTGAGGGGTGAGGTTGGGAGGTGGGAAGGTGGCGGTGGGAGCTGGGGCGGCCACTGCTTCCCCCACGAGACGAACCGGTTTTTGGAGGCCAGCGCTGCTCTGTGTGCTCGTCGCATGACAGCAGCAGCATCGGGTGGATGGAGCTGCAGGTGAGGGGTAGAGGTGCGGGTGGGGCAAATTGGATTCACAAATCTCTGCAACTCTGCAAAGTTAACTGAGCCAGCACGACCCTGTGTGTGCCTGTTGTAAGGCAACAGCAGTGGGTGTGCTTAAGCTCCTTTTTACTGGAAAACGTCAACTCAATTCACCATTATGGGAGGGAGTGTGTGGGATGGGCGGGGTTTTAACTGTGGAGACAAAATGGTGAAATGTTCTGTTTCTGTTTTTCCTGTTCTTGCGAGTGGTTTTTGAGAATTCTCAAAAACCACTCGCAAGGACAAAATGGTGAAATGTTCTGTTTCTGTTTTTCATGTTCCCTGTTCCGCTCTTCCTGGCAGGAGGGTGTGCACCCGAGTGCAGCAGGGCGGTATTCAGTGAGAGACGTGTCACCATATGAGGAGGAATACCCCGCCGCTGTGTCTGCAGACGTCAAGTCGAAACTCAAGGGCTTCGCCCTCACCACCCAGGTGGGTTTGAGTGAACACCACGTGGGTCTTGGCTTCTCATGGTAGCAACAGAGGTATTCAGTGAGAGACGTGTCACCGTAGGAGGAGGAATACCCCGCCGCTGTGTCTGCAGACGTCAAGTCGAAACTCAAGGGCTTCGCCCTCACCACCCAGGTGGGTTTGAGTGAACACCACGTGGGTCTTGGCTTCCCATGGTAGCAACAGAGGTATTCAGTGAGAGACGTGTCACCGTAGGAGGAGGAATACCCCGCCGCTGTGTCTGCAGACGTCAAGTCGAAACTCAAGGGCTTCGCCCTCACCACCCAGGTGGGTTTGAGTGAACACCACGTGGGTCTTGGCTTCTCATGGTAGCAACAGAGGTATTCAGTGAGAGACGTGTCACCGTAGGAGGAGGAATACCCTGCCGCTGTGTCTGCAGACGTCAAGTCGAAACTCAAGGGCTTCGCCCTCACCACCCAGGTGGGTTTGAGTGAACACCACGTGGGTCTTGGCTTCTCATGGTAGCAACAGAGGTATTCAGTGAGAGACGTGTCACCGTAGGAGGAGGAATACCCCGCCGCTGTGTCTGCAGACGTCAAGTCGAAACTCAAGGGCTTCGCCCTCACCACCCAGGTGGGTTTGAGTGAACACCACGTGGGTCTTGGCTTCTCATGGTAGCAACAGAGGTATTCAGTGAGAGACGTGTCACCGTAGGAGGAGGAATACCCCGCCGCTGTGTCTGCAGACGTCAAGTCGAAACTCAAGGGCTTCGCCCTCACCACCCAGGTGGGTTTGAGTGAACACCACGTGGGTCTTGGCTTCTCATGGTAGCAACAGAGGTATTCAGTGAGAGACGTGTCACCGTAGGAGGAGGAATACCCCGCCGCTGTGTCTGCAGACGTCAAGTCGAAACTCAAGGGCTTCGCCCTCACCACCCAGGTGGGTTTGAGTGAACACCACGTGGGTCTTGGCTTCTCATGGTAGCAACAGAGGTATTCAGTGAGAGACGTGTCACCGTAGGAGGAGGAATACCCCGCCGCTGTGTCTGCAGACGTCAAGTCGAAACTCAAGGGCTTCGCCCTCACCACCCAGGTGGGTTTGAGTGAACACCACGTGGGTCTTGGCTTCCCATGGTAGCAACAGAGGTATTCAGTGAGAGACGTGTCACCGTAGGAGGAGGAATACCCCGCCGCTGTGTCTGCAGACGTCAAGTCGAAACTCAAGGGCTTCGCCCTCACCACCCAGGTGGGTTTGAGTGAACACCACGTGGGTCTTGGCTTCTCATGGTAGCAACAGAGGTATTCAGTGAGAGACGTGTCACCGTAGGAGGAGGAATACCCTGCCGCTGTGTCTGCAGACGTCAAGTCGAAACTCAAGTGCTTCGCCTTTACCACCCAGGTGGGTTTGAGTGAACACCACGTGGGTCTTGGCTTCTCATGGTAGCAACAGAGGTATTCAGTGAGAGACGTGTCACCGTAGGAGGAGGAGTACCCCGCCGCTGTGTCTGCAGACGTCAAGTCGAAACTCAAGGGCTTCGCCCTCACCACCCAGGTGGGTTTGAGTGAACACCACGTGGGTCTTGGCTTCTCATGGTAGCAACAGAGGTATTCAGTGAGAGACGTGTCACCGTAGGAGGAGGAATACCCTGCCGCTGTGTCTGCAGACGTCAAGTCGAAACTCAAGTGCTTCGCCTTTACCACCCAGGTGGGTTTGAGTGAACACCACGTGGGTCTTGGCTTCTCATGGTAGCAACAGAGGTATTCAGTGAGAGACGTGTCACCATATGAGGAGGAATACCCCGCCGCTGTGTCTGCAGACGTCAAGTCGAAACTCAAGGGCTTCGCCCTCACCACCCAGGTGGGTTTGAGTGAACACCACGTGGGTCTTGGCTTCTCATGGTAGCAACAGAGGTATTCAGTGAGAGACGTGTCACCGTAGGAGGAGGAATACCCTGCCGCTGTGTCTGCAGACGTCAAGTCGAAACTCAAGTGCTTCGCCCTCACCACCCAGGTGGGTTTGAGTGAACACCACGTGGGTCTTGGCTTCTCATGGTAGCAACAGAGGTATTCAGTGAGAGACGTGTCACCGTAGGAGGAGGAATACCCTGCCGCTGTGTCTGCAGACGTCAAGTCGAAACTCAAGTGCTTCGCCTTTACCACCCAGGTGGGTTTGAGTGAACACCACGTGGGTCTTGGCTTCTCATGGTAGCAACAGAGGTATTCAGTGAGAGACGTGTCACCGTAGGAGGAGGAATACCCTGCCGCTGTGTCTGCAGACGTCAAGTCGAAACTCAAGAGCTTCGCCCTCACCACCCAGGTGGGTTTGAGTGAACACCACGTGGGTCTTGGCTTCCCATGGTAGCAACAGAGGTATTCAGTGAGAGACGTGTCACCGTAGGAGGAGGAATACCCCGCCGCTGTGTCTGCAGACGTCAAGTCGAAACTCAAGGGCTTCGCCCTCACCACCCAGGTGGGTTTGAGTGAACACCACGTGGGTCTTGGCTTCTCATGGTAGCAACAGAGGTATTCAGTGAGAGACGTGTCACCGTAGGAGGAGGAATACCCCGCCGCTGTGTCTGCAGACGTCAAGTCGAAACTCAAGAGCTTCGCCCTCACCACCCAGGTGGGTTTGAGTGAACACCACGTGGGTCTTGGCTTCCCATGGTAGCAACAGAGGTATTCAGTGAGAGACGTGCCACCATGTGTGGAAGAGTGCCTAGCCGCTGTGCCTGCAGACATCAAGTCGAAACTCAAGGGGTTTCTCCTCACCACCCAGGTGGGTTTGCCCTCGCCACTCAGGTGGATTCGCTCTCATTTCTCGGATGGGCGTTGCTTTTGGCAAGTGCTGGCAGCTGGTTATTCTAGTATGTGCTGGTAGGGGTAATGGCGTTACCAGCATGCAACATCTCCTGTTCAGCTCCTATGTATGTGCTGACAGAAAGTTGGAAAGAAAATGGCAACCTATGGCTTGTGATAGCTTCTGCTGACTGCTTTTCTGATATGGTTTCACTGTCCACCTTTATCAGGCTGATATAGCCCCCGTCCTTTCTACCACCTCTGGGTAATCAACAGGAGGGGCTAGTGGAGTTGGCAGAGGACTGGGCACGCATACTAGCATCGCAGCATGCTGTTGCTGCTAGTCTGCTAGATCCGGACCCCCTGGTGGATCAACGGCCTGCATTGTGCCAGGAGCTTGCGCTTCTAGCCAAGGCAGCGGCTAAGAACGAGTTTGAGGAGCTTGTGTGGGAGGTGGCGCTGAGTTATTCGCGTCAAGTGGAGTATGACTGGCGGTGCTTTCGGAAACATTTATCGCCACAGTTGTAGGCGAATCCCGAATTCTATGACAATGTATGTAGCACCTGCTTGAGTTGACAATTATGTTATAAGATACTGAGACCTATGTAATTGAAGTATACATTGTCGTGACTATCTGTAACGCATCGCTTCGCCGCCACGTTCCTGCTCCGAGCCGTTTTCTTGGGCGCCATGTTTCGCGTAAGGCTTCGCTCATGTCCCCCCATCGCAGGTTTGCGCGCAAATGAGCCGTGAGAATAATGAGGGCGCGCACTGACACCGACTCCGAGCATTAGTTTCATTCCGGCTAACGTCCCCTCGAACGTGAAGCGAAACTGAAACAGAAACAATTCTGAAACGAGTCGCTGCTGAACCGAATGGGAATGGCACACATAGCCGTCGCCGGTTGTGTGTAAATACTGCATGAAGAACAGAGCAAAGCACCCTTGTCAGCACGTCACGCACACCACTACACCTGCCCCGCAAGGCATGAGACGAGTTCACACAGCTGACAGCAGCAAGCTGAGAAGAGACCAGTTCAGTTGCCTGCCAGTTCTTTCAAGGCTGGATAGGTGTTTAATTTAGGTGTTTAGTTCAGCCTGGCGCTCACCACGAAGCTCTTGAAGCGCAATATTTCAGTATCTACCTCCTGCCCGAGTCGAAAGCACTATAATTGTTGCCGGCCTACCTGCTAGGTGATTCGGTATAATCATTCTTCGTTACTACCAGACGTAGGACGCGTGGTCATGTCGGCCAAAGATGTGGACCCCGCATTTCAAGGAATCAGCCATAAACCGTAAGACCCGCTCGGCTGGAACCCCCAGGCGTAAGACGCGGTCTTTATGTTTCTCTCATACCAACCATCCATGACGCTATTCTGCTGTCCATGGCATCGCTTAGCCTAGTTCTTGTTGTTGCAAGTCGTCGAACCGCTCTCGTGCTGGTGTAATTTCCGCGTTCTTGCAGCCACACATTACGTTCTTTCCAGCGAAAGCGATTCTTGATTTCTTGATTTAGTATAGTCATCGCCGTGCGTAGCGGCTGTAAAGCTTGCTGTTCAGTACTGCCGTATGCCTGCATTCGGGCCGATAAAGCATGAACCGGAAACTATTTCCGCCGAAATTGCGTGTCTTGCCGAGCATTGATCCTTCGTAGCGCGTTGGTCAGACATTGGACAGACAATTATTGAGTCATGACACGCATGCTGGCTTTATTCTCCTTTCTAAGGACGCACATTGTTTGGAAACGGGGGCGTTGAGTGACCAAGCGTGGCCATTGTCTTATAACGCGGACATTGTGCTGAAACGCGGGCAACACTATACTGTCGCACACGGTTCCCGCAACTGGTTTTGTTTGCTGCTGATTGCTCTGACCTGCTGACGTGGCTGTTCCGTGTTTTTAGGGGATTGGACGTGTGGCGATTGGAGCAGGGCAAAGTGGTTCCTGTTCCCAAGGCCGACCATGGCAAGTTCTACACCCGAGACATCTACATTGTGCTCAAGGTGCGCTATAACGTGGATTTTAACCCAGCTACACTTCAAACTATCTAGGGGTACAGTGGTTCCTGTTCCCAAGGCCGACCATGGGAAGTCCTAAGTCCTACACCAGAGACATCTACATTGTGCTCAAGGTGCGCTATAGCGCGGATTTTGACCCAGCTACACTTGAAGCTGTCTAGGTTAAAGTGGTTCTCGTTCCGTGGGCCGGCCGGGTGTATGGCATCTTAGGCAGGCACGTACATTGTGCCTGGGCCTTTCTTTTTCTAATCAGGCTCTTCATCTTCATCCCCGCTTACCTCAGACATCGGTATCCAAATCGTCTGGCAATGTCACGGTCACCCACGCCATGCTTTCCCGGCTGGGCAAGCCTTACACCCTCCGCCATGTCTCATTCCCTCCGTCCCTCCCTCCCTTCTCTCTCCGCCACTCACACTCTGTCAGGGTCCAAAGCGGCAGGTGGCGTGACCCACGCGGTGCACTACTGGCTGGGCGAGGGAGCCACGCCAGAGGAGAGGACGCGTCTTCCTGTGTCTCGTGTCTCATCCTCTCGTTATTCTCCCTTCCCTCCCTCTCATCCTCTCGTTATTCTCCCTTCCCTCCCTCTCATCCTCTCTTCCCCTTAGACCTCCGGTTCCAAAGCGGCAGGCGGCGTGACCCACGCGGTGCACTACTGGCTGGGCAAGGGAGCCACGCCAGAGGACGCGTCCCGGGCGGCGCTCAAGGCGCTGGACCTAGATATTGCCGTGGGCGGCAAGTCAACGCAGCACCGCGAGCAGCAGGGGCACGAGTCGCCGCTCTTCCTGTCCTACTTCCGCCCCTGCATCATTCCCATTGCGGACGAGGCGTCTGGGGAGCCGAGGCTGTACCAGGTCAAGGGGAGACGGTTCCTGCACGTGCGGCAGGTGAGTGAGGGGCTCTCACAGCCAGTGGGTCGAGGAGGGCGAGCTGCAGGGGCATGAGTCGCCGCTCTTCCTGTCCTACTTCCGCCCCTGCATCATTCCCGTTGCGGACGGTGCGCCTGGGGAGCCAAGGCTGTACCAGGTCAAGGGGTCGGTTCCTGCATGGTGCAGCAGGCGGGTGAGGGAGAGAGAGGGACGTTCATCAGGGGCACAAGTCGCCGCTGTCCCTGTCCTACCTCCTCCCCTGCATCGTCCCCCGTGAAGGCGGGAAGGGAGCAGGCGAGATCTCTCTCACCAAAGGGTTTCCCTATCAACTTTCCCCCTCTCCCACAGGTGCCCTTCGCTCGCTCCTCCCTGAACCATTCAGACGTGTTTGTGCTGCAAGCGCCCTCCAAGCTCTACCAGTTCAATGGCGCCAACGTCACCAAGCAGGAGCGCATTCGAGCCGCCGATGCCACTCTGCTGCTCAAGCACCAGTCCCCTAACGGCAGCATGCCTGTTGCTGTAATCGGTAAGGCTCTGCTGATGGAAGTGAGTGAGCCGCTGCTGTTGCAGCGGTTGTGAGAGTGTTTTTGCCAGTTCAACAGCGCCAACGTCTCCAAGAAGGAGCCTAGCCACGAGTTAAAAGCAGTTGCAAGTGTGTGTTTGCTAGTCAATGGAGGGCACTCGAGCCACCGACACTACTCTGCTTGTGGTGCGCCTCAGAAGACGACTTTTGAGGCGCCTCAAAAGTCGATTCAGTGTGGCTAAAGCAGTTGCAAGTGTGTGTTTGCTAGTCAATGGAGCGCACTTGAGCCAGCGACCCCATTCTGCTGCTCAAGCACCAGTCGAGGGTCAAGGGTTTCGGGTATAAGGCATTTCGAAATTCGGGTTCTGGGGTTTTAGATTGAAATATTTTATTCCTTTGCTCTGCTCTCCGTCCTCTGCATTCGTCCCTCCCCGCTCCCCCTCCCCTCTCTCCCCGCACGGCAGACGATGGCAAGGCGGACGATGCGAGCTCCAGTGAGTTCTGGGACCTGTTTGGTGGCTTTGCTCCCATCGCCAAGAAGAGCACCAGTGAAGACGATGTGGAGGCCAAGGCCATGCCGCCCACGCTCTACCTGTGAGTTCCCCCAAGCTGTACCTGTGAGTGCAGTGCAGGCGTGTGTGGGTGCGTGTGTGTGTGTATGCAGCTAGTATATGCCTGCAGGCTGCTGCTGCTTCAAGCGGCCTGCAGGAGCAAGCCAAGGCGCCGCTCAAGAAGATTTCGCTGGAAAGCACCAAGTGCTACCTTCTTGACACGTGCTCCCTCCTCTTCCTCTCCTTGCTTTCCCACTCCCTGCGTCTCTACTCCCTTCCAGAGTCACTTCAAGCGGCCTCCAGGAGACATCCAAGGCGCCGCTCAAGAAGAGTCTGCTGGAGAGCCACCTTCGTGACTTGCTATGTGTGATTTGCCTCCTTGCCCTCCCTTCTCCCCCCTCCCAGAGTGACCGCGAATGGCCTCCAGGAGCAAGCCAAGGCGCCTCTCAAGAAGAGCCTGCTGGAGAGCAGCAAGTGCTACCTGCTTGACACCGGCCCGAACCTCTTGGTGTGGTTCGGGAAGCTCAGCACCGTGCCTGACAGGCGGGCGGCCTGTGTGGCTGCAGAGGTGAGGAGTGTGAGGGGTGGTGTGAGTGAGGAGTGGTGTGAGGGGGAGTGGTGTGAGGGGAGTGGTGTGAGGGGAGTGGTGTGAGGGGAGTGGTGTGAGGAGGAGTGGTGTGAGGAGGAGTGGTGTGAGGGAGAGGGGTGCAAGGGAGAGTTGTGTGAGGGGGAGGGGTTTGAGGGGGAGTGGTGTGAGGGGGAGTGGTGTGAAGGGGAGGGGTGCGAGGGGGAATGGTGTGAGGGGGAGTGGTGTGAAGGGGAGGGGTGCGAGGGGGAATGGTGCGAGGGGGAATGGTGTGAGGGGGAGTCGTTTGCAGCACCTTCGCCAGCACGTCACACACGCCACTGTACCTGCCCCGCAAGGCATGCCCAGGAGCAGGCGCAGAGAATATACCAGTCTCAGTTGCCTGCCAGTTCTTTCAGGGGAGTGGTATGAGGAGTGGTGTGAATGAGTGGTGTGAGGGTGAGTGGTACGAGGACTGTGAGGGTGGGTCGTGTGAGTGAATGGTGTGAGCAGTGAGGAGTGTGAGGGTGGGTCGTGTGAGTGAATGGTGTGTGCAGTGAGGACTGTGAGGGTGGGTCGTGTGAGTGAATGGTGTGAGCAGTGAGGAGTGTGAGGGTAAGTGTGGTGTGAAGAAGAGTGTGAGTGTGCTTTGATTGTGTGATTTTCCTTCAAGCCTTGCTTATCCCTGCTTGTAAGCTGTCCTAAAGCTGTCCAATTAACCAGTCCCCACCTTCCCCCCTTTTCCCCTCCTCTCCTTCCCCCCTTTTTCCCCCTTTCCCCACCTCCCTTCCTTCCTCCCATCCCCGTCCCTACCTCCTGCCAGGCGCATATGTCCAACCGCCCCCCCTCGGTGCTAGTGACACGCATGAGCGAGAGGAGCGAGACAGCAGCCTTCAAGGCTGCCTTTGCGGAGTGGCCGCTCGCCCCTGTGATGGGCGGGGGGGAGGGAGGCGCCAGCAAGCTCAAAGGTGAGAGAAGAGGCGGAGCAGAACGAGGTGCTTTGAGATGGAATTGATGATTTTGAAGAGGGGAGGCGAGATGGAATACTCGTCTCGCCTCGGAGCAGCCACTCCACCAAGGGCGCCACAGAGTACGGGCCGCTGCCTTCGTGGTGCCCTTTGCGGAGTGGCCTCTCGCCCCCGTGATGGGCGGGGGGGAGGGAGGCGCCAGCAAGCTCAAAGGTGAGAGGAAAGGAGCGCGGGGATGGTTGTGAGATGCTTGTGAGATGTATGTGGGATGGATTTGAGGAGTTTTAAGACAGGCGTTCCATCCCTTTGAGAAATTTTAAGAGCGACGGCAGTGTTCAAGGCGTCTTTTGCAGAGTGGCCGCTTGCCCTTGTGATGGGCGGAGGGGAGGGAGGGAGGGGCAAGCAAGCTTACGAGAGAATCCGTAAGAGAACAGGCAGCAGGAAGAGCACTTGTGTGTCTCAGAACGAGTCTCAGAACGAATCGATGTATCTCCCCACAACCTCCCTCCTTCCTCTTCTTTTCTTCCCTCCCATTCAGGTCGTTTTTGAGGCGCCTCAAAAACGACCTCATCTCCTCACAACCTCCCTCCTTCCTCTCCTTGTCTTCTAGTTTTGAGGCGCCTCACAACTAGTCTCCTCACAACCTCCCTTGTTCCCCTCCTTTTCTTCCCTCCCAGCCATGCTGCGGCAGTCAGGCATGGTGGACAAGGCAGTGGGGAGGGGGCCACAGGCAGCAGCAGGGGCAGCAGAGCCGCCACCCCCGCCTCTCGCTGATGTTGCTGGCGAGATGAAGGTGAGCGATTGGCGAGAGGAGAGGAGAATAGCCAAGTGGTTGGAGGGGTAGAAAGAGACTTGCTCAAAAACCCACTAGCAGCAGGGGCAGCAGAGCCGCCACCCCCGCCTCTCGCTGATGTTGCTGGCGAGATGAAGGTGAGCGATTGGCGAGAGGAGAGGAGAATAGCTAAGTGGTTGGAGGGGTAGAAAGAGACTTGCTCAAAAACCCACTAGCAGCAGGGGCAGCAGAGCCGCCACCCCCGCCTCTCGCTGATGTTGCTGGCGAGATGAAGGTGAGCGATTGGCGAGAGGAGAGGAGAATAGCTAAGTGGTTGGAGGGGTAGAAAGAGACTTGCTCAAAAACCCACTAGCAGCAGGGGCAGCAGAGCCGCCACCCCCGCCTCTCGCTGATGTTGCTGGCGAGATGAAGGTGAGCGATTGGCGAGAGGAGAGGAGAATAGCTAAGTGGTTGGAGGGGTAGAAAGAGACTTGCTCAAAAACCCACTAGCAGCAGGGGCAGCAGAGCCGCCACCCCCGCCTCTCGCTGATGTTGCTGGCGAGATGAAGGTGAGCGATTGGCGAGAGGAGAGGAGAATAGCTAAGTGGTTGGAGGGGTAGAAAGAGACTTGCTCAAAAACCCACTAGCAGCAGGGGCAGCAGAGCCGCCACCCCCGCCTCTCGCTGATGTTGCTGGGGAGATGAAGGTGAGCGATTGGCGAGAGGAGAGGAGAATAGCCAAGTGGTTGGAGGGGTAGAAAGAGACTTGCTCAAAAACCCACTAGCATCAGGGGCAGCAGAGCCGCCACCCCCGCCTCTCGCTGATGTTGCTGGGGAGATGAAGGTGAGCGATTGGCGAGAGGAGAGGAGAATAGCCAAGTGGTTGGAGGGGTAGAAAGAGACTTGCTCAAAAACCCACTAGCATCAGGGGCAGCAGAGCCGCCACCCCCGCCTCTCGCTGATGTTGCTGGCGAGATGAAGGTGAGCGATTGGCGAGAGGAGAGGAGAATAGCTAAGTGGTTGGAGGGGTAGAAAGAGACTTGCTCAAAAACCCACTAGCAGCAGGGGCAGCAGAGCCGCCACCCCCGCCTCTCGCTGATGTTGCTGGCGAGATGAAGGTGAGCGATTGGCGAGAGGAGAGGAGAATAGCTAAGTGGTTGGAGGGGTAGAAAGAGACTTGCTCAAAAACCCACTAGCAGCAGGGGCAGCAGAGCCGCCACCCCCCGCCTCTCGCTGATGTTGCTGGCGAGATGAAGGTGAGCGATTGGCGAGAGGAGAGGAGAATAGCCAAGTGGTTGGAGGGGTAGAAAGAGACTTGCTCAAAAACCCACTAGCAGCAGGGGCAGCAGAGCCGCCACCCCTGCCTCTCGCTGATGTTGCTGGCGAGATGAAGGTGAGCGATTGGCGAGAGGAGAGGAGAATAGCCAAGTGGTTGGAGGGGTAGAAAGAGACTTGCTCAAAAACCCACTAGCATCAGGGGCAGCAGAGCCGCCACCCCTGCCTCTCGCTGATGTTGCTGGCGAGATGAAGGTGAGCGATTGGCGAGAGGAGAGGAGAATAGCCAAGTGGTTGGAGGGGTAGAAAGAGACTTGCTCAAAAACCCACTAGCATCAGGGGCAGCAGAGCCGCCACCCCTGCCTCTCGCTGATGTTGCTGGCGAGATGAAGGTGAGGAGGCGAGGAGAGGGGGACTGTTGAGTAGAGGGCGTATGTGGTGAAATGAGGCTTGTTTGAGAGAATTTTCAAAAATCAACAAGCGGACGAGGTGGGTCGATTTCACATCTTTTGAGGCGCCTCAAAGGTTGCAGCGGAGGAGGTGGGGCGGTTTCACAGTGGCGACTGCTACATTGTTCAATACACTAGCGACTGCAAGATTGGATCTCTTTTCTCTCCCCCGTGTGAAGCAGGTGTTGCGGGTGAACGGCAGCAACAAGACACACATAGCAGTGGAGGAAGTGGGTCGGTTTCACAGCGGCGACTGCTACATCATGCAATACACCTTAACTCGCGTCGTGACCACAAGTTTGAGTTTCCTTCCTCCCCACTGTAACCCCGTTGGAAGCAGGAATGGAGGGTGAACGGCAGCAGCAAGGTTTTGGTGGCGGCAGAAGAAGTGGGGCGGTTTCACAGCGGCGACTGCTACATCGTGCAATACATCTTCACTCGCGACCGCAAGTTTGAATCTCCTTCCTTCCCCCCTGTTCAAAGCAGGTGTGGAAGGTGAACGGCAACAGTAAAACATTAGTAGCGGCAGAAGAAGTGGGGCGGTTTCACAGCGGCGACTGCTACATCGTGCAATACACCTTCACTCGCGACCGCAAGTTTGAATACGTGGTGTTCCTCTGGGTGGGCCGAGACAGCACTCAGGAGGAACGCACGTCTGCTCTTGGTGTTGCTTCGAGGGCAGTCGATGCACTCAGGGGAAACGCCACTCTGGTATGTGTATATGCAGTGTGTGTCTGGTAGTGTGTGACTGGGAACAGGGTACTGATGTGAGGTGTAAGCGAGGGCAAGTTTGAATACGTGGTGTTCCTCTGGATGGGCCGAGACAGCACTCAGGAGGAACACACGTCTGCTCTTGGTGTTGCTTCGAGGGCAGCTGATGCGCTGAGAGGAAACGCCACTCTGGTATGTGCTGTGTGTCTGTCTGCCTCGTAGCACGCGAATGCCATAGTGTCTGGTGACTATGCACAATTCGATGCATGACGATGGTTTTTATTGACAACGTACCCACTCACTGCCTCCAACCTATCTCCGTTCAATGCTTCCTCCCTTTACTGTTCCCAACATCTTCCCCTCCCTCCCTCCCCCCCCACTCCAACCACCCCCCACTCCAACCACCCCTCTCTCCCCCCCCCCACTCCAACCACCCCTCTCTCCCCAACGCCCGTTTGCTTTTTCCTCCACATCTACTCCCCCTTGCCTTCCTCCCCCTTGCCTTCCTCCCCCTTGCCTTCCTCCCCCGGTCTCTCTGCTTCTTGCCAGGTGCGGGTGGTGCAGGGGAGGGAACCCGAGCAGTTCATCTCTCTGTTCAGGACCCACCTCTTCTTCCTCAAGGTAAGGACCCGTTGACTCAGAAGTCACCTTGGCAGGTAGGGAGGGAGTGAGGGGTTGACCTGGAGCTGGAATTGACCTGGTGCAGGGGAGGGAACCCGAGCAGTTCATCACCCTGTTCAGGACCCACCACTTCTTCCTGAAGGTAAGCCCGAGCCAGAGGCGGTTCAGAAAAGACGACTTTTGAGGCACATAGAAACCGTCTCACTTCACACGAACGAACCTGACTGAACCCGAGCAGAGCAGTTCATCTTCCTGTTCAGAGGTGATTTTTGAGGCGCCTCAAAAATCACCTCAATGCATGCGGGGCTGCTGCTGCTGGTGCGGCAGGGACTCGCTTGGATGATCACGAGGATGTGAGTCCCTGTTGGGCTGCTGCTGGTGATTTTTGAGGCGCCTGAAAAATCACCCCAATTCATGCATGGGAACCCGAGCAGTTCATCTCCTTGTTTAGGAGGAAGGACCCACCTCTTCTTCCTCAAGGTAACTCTGTCCAACCCAACCCAACCAGGGCTTTCACATTCAATCTCTGAAATACGCTTCTGAGCAAAACTCTTACTTTACTGCCTGTCCTGTCAATCTCACCCAACTCATCCCATCCCAACCAGGGCGGCAGCAGTGCGAGCTACAAGGCGAAAATCGCCGCCCAAGGCGGCTCGGATGACACGTACGACCCGGCAGGCGTGGCTCTGTTCCGCGTGCGCGCCCGGGGGGCGGCCGGCGGGAGTGGTGCGGGGCTGTTCAAAGCGGTTCAGATGGATCCGGTGGCGAAATCGCTGAATTCGGAGGATTGCTTCTTGCTCCAGACCACCTCCAGCCCTTTCTTGTGGTTTGGGAATGGCAGCAGTGCAGCCGACAAGGATGCTGTAGCAGCTGCAGCCGAGATTATCAAGGTAATATCATTTTCTTCTCGATGTTCCGAGGTGAGGTGAGACATTTCAGAATTTACTGTGGCAGTGAAGTGCGGCCGACAAGGATGCTGTGGCAGTTGCTTGCTGCCGAAATCATTCAGGTGATGATTTGGTTTGATGCTCAGTTGAGGTGAGATGTTTCAAAATTGGGTTCTGAAATGTCTCAAAGCTTGGGAACGGCAGCAGTGCGGCCGACAAGGATGCTGTCGCCGCCACTGCCGAAATCATCAAGGTAATAATACTTTTTTGAGACGTGTCAGAATTAATAAAGGTGATACCCTTGCTGTGTTGCCCTCTATCTTCTCTGCGTTGCCGTGTCACAACCAGAATTTCAAGTGACTTTGCATTCCGTGCCCTTTTTTTGTGGTACTACTCGCACAAGTGGTCTGTCCTTGGTTACCTCAACAAACAAGAAACAAAAAAAAAAAGGAATGAACGACCACTCCCTCCCAAAAATCAAAGGAATGAACAAGTGCTACCTGTCCTTGGTCTCCCACTCCCTCCTCTCTTGGCCTCCCTCCCCCCCTCCCTCCTGCCTACTTTCCCTCTTGTCTGCAGCCCGCTGCGCTGGTGAAGCAGGTGGTGGAGGGCAAGGAGGCGTCGGTGTTCTGGCAGCATCCCATAATGCTCCATCCTGGACCAACTCCCCTTTCCCCTCCCCATTTCCCCTCCGCGGCTCTGCCTTCCCCTGTGTCTTCCCCCACCTGCAGCCCGGAGCGCTGGTGAAGCAAGGGGTGGAGGGCATGGAGACATCGGTGTTCTGGCAGCATTCGAGTACGCACCATCCCTGACCAACCCTTCATTTCACTCCACCTCTCCCTCGACCTCCCCTTGCACTGTGCCTACAGCCCGGCGCGTTGGTGAAGCAAGTGGTGGAGGGCAAGGAGACATCCGTGTTCTGGCAGCATCTGGGCAGCAAGGGCGAGTATCCCGCTTCCAGGGAGACAAAGGAGGCAGCAAGGGACGGCAGGCTGTTCCAAGTCACAGGCAGTGGCGACAGCTTTAAGGTATGATGGTGCCAGGAGCATACAGTGAATTTTTTAAACGTCTCAAAAATTCTCGGCAGGGTGTATCAAGTCACGGGCAGTGGCGACAGCTTTTAAAGGTATGATGGTGCCAGGAAGGAGGTGAAGGGGAGGGCAAGGAGACATCCGTGTTCTGGCAGCATCTGGGCAGCAAGGGCGAGTATCCCGCTTCCAGGGAGACAAAGGAGGCAGCGAGGGACGGCCGGCTGTATCAAGTCACAGGCAGTGGCGAGAACTTCAAGGTATGAGGATGGTGAGAGGGAGGGGTTTCGAGGGCTTCATGTTGCTCAGCGGTAGCAGGGTTAGGGGTGGGGTGTACCCCCCTCCTGCGTCCAGGGAGGCGAGGGAGGCAGCGAGGGACGGCAGGCTGTTCCAAGTCACGGGCAGTGGTGACAAGGTATGATGGTACCAGGAAGGAGGTGAAGGTGGAGAGGCGGCAGGCTGTTCCAAGTCACGGGCAGTGGTGACAAGGTATGATGGTACCGGGAAGGAGGTGAAGGTGGAGGGGCGGCAGGCTGTTCCAAGTCACGGGCAGTGGTGACAAGGTATGATGGTACCGGGAAGGAGGTGAAGGTGGAGGGGCGGCAGGCTGTTCCAAGTCACGGGCAGTGGTGACAAGGTATGATGGTACCGGGAAGGAGGTGAAGGTGGAGGGGCGGCAGGCTGTTCCAAGTCACGGGCAGTGGTGACAAGGTATGATGGTACCGGGAAGGAGGTGAAGGTGGAGGGGCGGCAGGCTGTTCCAAGTCACGGGCAGTGGTGACAAGGTATGATGGTACCGGGAAGGAGGTGAAGGTGGAGGGGCGGCAGGCTGTTCCAAGTCACGGGCAGTGGTGACAAGGTATGATGGTACCGGGAAGGAGGTGAAGGTGGAGGGGCGGCAGGCTGTTCCAAGTCACGGGCAGTGGTGACAAGGTATGATGGTACCGGGAAGGAGGTGAAGGTGGAGGGGCGGCAGGCTGTTCCAAGTCACGGACAGTGGTGACAAGGTATGATGGTACCGGGAAGGAGGTGAAGGTGGAGGGGCGGCAGGCTGTTCCAAGTCACGGGCAGTGGTGACAAGGTATGATGGTACCGGGAAGGAGGTGAAGGTGGAGGGGCGGCAGGCTGTTCCAAGTCACGGGCAGTGGTGACAAGGTATGATGGTACCGGGAAGGAGGTGAAGGTGGAGGGGCGGCAGGCTGTTCCAAGTCACGGGCAGTGGTGACAAGGTATGATGGTACCGGGAAGGAGGTGAAGGTGGAGGGGCGGCAGGCTGTTCCAAGTCACGGGCAGTGGTGACAAGGTATGATGGTACCGGGAAGGAGGTGAAGGTGGAGGGGCGGCAGGCTGTTCCAAGTCACGGGCAGTGGTGACAAGGTATGATGGTACCGGGAAGGAGGTGAAGGTGGAGGAGCGGCAGGCTGTTCCAAGTCACGGGCAGTGGTGACAAGGTATGATGGTACCGGGAAGGAGGTGAAGGTGGAGGGGCGGCAGGCTGTTCCAAGTCACGGGCAGTGGTGACAAGGTATGATGGTACCGGGAAGGAGGTGAAGGTGGAGGGGCGGCAGGCTGTTCCAAGTCACGGGCAGTGGTGACAAGGTATGATGGTACCGGGAAGGAGGTGAAGGTGGAGGGGCGGCAGGCTGTTCCAAGTCACGGGCAGTGGTGACAAGGTATGATGGTACCGGGAAGGAGGTGAAGGTGGAGGGGCGGCAGGCTGTTCCAAGTCACGGGCAGTGGTGACAAGGTATGATGGTACCGGGAAGGAGGTGAAGGTGGAGGAGCGGCAGGCTGTTCCAAGTCACGGGCAGTGGTGACAAGGTATGATGGTACCGGGAAGGAGGTGAAGGTGGAGGGGCGGCAGGCTGTTCCAAGTCACGGGCAGTGGTGACAAGGTATGATGGTACCGGGAAGGAGGTGAAGGTGGAGGGGCGGCAGGCTGTTCCAAGTCACGGGCAGTGGTGACAAGGTATGATGGTACCGGGAAGGAGGTGAAGGTGGAGGGGCGGCAGGCTGTTCCAAGTCACGGGCAGTGGTGACAACTTCAAGGTATGATGTTGGCAGGGAGGTAAGGGGTTTCAAGGTACGACTGTGAAAATGATGCTCCTGATCAGCGTGTCACCCTCACTGTCCTCCCCACAGAGAAAATGGCCCTGGCTGACGTCTTCACTGATTAGGTCGTCCTAGCTGTCACCCATGTCACATCCACCTCTCTGTGCCATTCTACTCCCTGTGTGATAAGTCGAGTTTTGAGTCGACTCAGTGAGGACGTGATGCTGCTGGGTACACACAGCGAGGGGCTTGCAGGCTCTCCTGAGACTCCTCAAATCCCTCATACCGCTCCACACCCCTGTGTTATTGCCCATCTACTTCGTCTCTTGCAGGTGCCGGAGGTGCCAGGGTACAGCCAGGACGATCTAATCAGTGAAGACGTGATGCTGCTGTACACACTCTCACAGGAGGTGCTTCTTACCTCTGAGGCACCCCATCTACCCCTCTCACTCACACCTCGCAGGTGCCGGAGGTGCCAGGGTACAGCCAAGACAATCTAATCAGTGAAGACGTGATGCCGCTGGACACACACACACGGAGGTTTTTGCGAGCTCTTCTGAGGCGCCTCAATACCGCCCGCACCCCTGTCATATCCCCCATATACCCCTCCCCGTGTGCCATCTCCTCCCCTGCCAGGTGCTGGAGGTGCCAGGGTACAGCCAGGACGATCTAATCAGTGAGGACGTGATGCTGCTGGACACACACACATGCATGTGTATTTGCCAGCTCTAACACACCTGAGTACCATGCCACCGTCTCTGACCTCTCCATGTGCCATGCCCGTCCCCTCCCCACCTTGCATTGCAGGTGCTGGAGGTGCCAGGGTACAGCCAGGACGATCTAATCAGTGAAGACGTGATGCTGCTGGACACACACACGGAGGTGTTTGCATGGACGGGGGTGAATGTGCCAGACAGGGAGAAGAAAGAAGCACTCAACTACGCACTGGTGAGCGGTGGTAAGAGGTTGAAGGCGGTGCATGCGGTTAATTATGACATTGTAAGGCTCGAAGCGTGAGCAGAGCAGGTAGAGGTGACGTGGTGGTTTGTGCTGACACCACGGTGGAGCGAGTGGTGGAGGGTCGTAAAGCCCCCCCTTTCTCATGTGCCGGTTTTTGAGAATTCTCAAAACCAGCCCCCCCTTTCTCATGCGCCGGTTTTTGAGAATTCTCAAAAACCAGCCCCCCCTTTCTCATGTGCCGGTTTTTGAGAATTCTCAAAAACCAGCCCCCCCTTTCTCATGCGCCGGTTTTTGAGAATTCTCAAAAACCAGCCCCCCCTTTCTCATGTGCCGGTTTTTGAGAATTCTCAAAGACCAGCCCCCCCTTTCTCATGCGCCGGTTTTTGAGAATTCTCAAAAACCAGCCCCCCCTTTCTCATGCGCCGGTTTTTGAGAATTCTAAAAAACCAGCCCCCCCTTTCTCATGCGCCGGTTTTTGAGAATTCTCAAAAACCAGCCCCCCCTTTCTCATGCGCCGGTTTTTGAGAATTCTCAAAAACCAGCCCCCCCTTTCTCATGCGCCGGTTTTTTGAGAATTCTCAAAAACCAGCCCCCCCTTTCTCATGCGCCGGTTTTTTAGAATTCTCAAAAACCAGCCCCCCCTTTCTCATGTGCCGGTTTTTGAGAATTCTCAAAAACCAGCCCCCCCTTTCTCATGCGCCGGTTTTTGAGAATTCTCAAAAACCAGCCCCCCCTTTCTCATGCGCCGGTTTTTGAGAATTCTCAAAAACCAGCCCCCCCTTTCTCATGTGCCGGTTTTTGAGAATTCTCAAAACCAGCCCCCCCTTTCTCATGCGCCGGTTTTTGAGAATTCTCAAAAACCAGCCCCCCGTTTCTCATGTGCCGTGTGCCCTTTCACCCTCGCTCGCCCACCAAACTCCTCACCCCGTGTCACTGGTCATGAAGAAGAGCTGCAGCGTGAAGGATCGCTTTAGCAAAGAACGATAGTCACTTGTTGAAAAATAGTAACCCTGTAAAAAATTAGAGTAGGAACCGAAAGCACAGCTCTGTTCAAAACTCTGACTTAGGCAAACATGTTTCGGCTTCACACGGGGATTGTACCCGCTAGGCCTTCATCAGTGCAAGAGTTCTAAATAAAAAACGACCTCAAAGCCCCCCCTTTCTCATGCGCCGTGTGCCTCTTTACCTCACCCTCGCTCGCCTTGAGGTCGTTTTTGAGGCGCCTCAATAACGACCTCAAAGCCCCCCCTTTCTCATGTGCCGTGTGCCTCTTTACCTCACCCGCTCGCCTTGAGGTCGTTTTTGAGGCGCCTCAATAACGACCTCAAAGCCCCCCCTTTCTCATGCGCTGTGTGCCTCTTTACCTCACCCGCTCGCCCACCAAACTCCTCACCCCGTGCCCGCCCTGTTTCCTCCCCGTTCTCTTTGCATCAGCGCTATCTAGACCGAGTAGCGGCATCAGAAGGGCGGTCAAAGGACACCACGGTGGTGCGAGTGGTGGAGGGGTACGAGCCCCCCATGTTCACTGCGCTCTTCCCCCACTGGGACCACGCCGCCAGCGCGGTGAGTGTGCATGGGCGAATGTGTGTGTGTGTGTGTGTGTGTGTGAGTGTGTGTGTGTGTGTGTGTGTGTGTGTGTGTGTGTGTGTCACGTGTTGTGTGCATCAGTATTACCTGCACTGCGTGGCAGTAGATTGAGTCAAGTCAAGCTCAGGGCAACTGTTTCCTCTAGTGCAGCGCATCGTGCACAGAGCTCTGAGTACACTATCGGGCAGCGGCAGGCACTCACCCTCCTGCCTCCTTCTCTCTTGCTCTCCCTCGCCCCACCAGGCCCTAGCAGACCCATATGACCGCAAGCTGGCTCTGCTGCACGTCACAGCTCTTTCCTCATCGTCGCTTGACTTTGCTTGACTTGCTTGACCCGTACCTCCCCTCATTTTCTCCTCTCCTTTGCTGCCCCTCGACCCACCAGGCCCTAGCAGACCCCTATGACCGCAAGCTGGCTCTGCTGCAGGGGAAATCGCTCGAGCTCTCGGATGTGAGTCATTCAACCCGAAACCCTTATCCCTCCCTATCCCAACCGCGTGAAAGAAGAGTGCGTTTTGAGATGTCTAAAAACCACTCTTCTGTCACTTGCCCATACGAGAAAGCAAGCTGGCTCTGCTGCAGGGGAAATCGCTTGAGCTCTCAGATGTGAGTCCGTCCCTCCCTTCCCCACTCTTCTCCCTCCCTTCCCCTCCGTGTCGCTTCTCCTTCCTATACCCTGTTTTCCCCATCTCACCTCTCGTCGCCCTATCCATTCTAGAAACCTAAGCTGTGAATCTTCCCTACCCGCAACGGTTAGTATTTTGAGTCCACACTTACCCTAAATGCATAAGCTCTGAACGTCCTTCTCTTCCGTCCCTTCCTCCCTCACTTCGCCCTCCCTTCCCCAATCTCCCCTCCCGCTGCCTTCCTCCCGCTGCCTTCCTCCCGCTGCCTTTCTCCCTCCCACCTTCTTCCCACTTCCCACGCCCGTTTTCCAGACGGCCAAGCGTCGCCTCGCAGCACTCACGCACCAATCCCCGTCTGCCACGTCATCCTCCTCCACCCCGCGCGCCTCCTCCACGCCCCACTCCCCCTCCGCCAAGCCCGCCCTCTCCTCCCTCACCATCTCCCCTGCGCTCATCAAGGGGCTGGCGGGCAGGAGAGGCCCCTCCCCCGGCCCCTCTCCGTCCACACAGCGAGCCGCTGCCATGGCTGCGCTGACTGGCACACTCAAGGGCGAGCCGAGACTGGGTGAGTGACTGAGTGGACTCAAGAATTTGTGAGCAGTGAGGCACTGATGGGGAGGTTGCAGCCCTTCTCTCCTTCCCTCCCCCGGCCCTTCTCCCTCCACCCAACGAGCTGCTGCCATGGCTGTTCTGACTGGCACGCTCAAGGGCGAGCCGAGACTGGGTGAGTTACAGGGACAGTCTACAGGTGATGTGGAGTGATTGGGTGCTTGCGTCTCCCCCTCCCCCTCCGCAAAGCCCGCCCTCTCCGCCCTCACCATCTCCCCCGCGCTCATCAAGGGGCTGGCGGGCAGGAGGGGGCCCTCCCCCGCCCCCTCACCCTCCACCCAACGCGCTGCTGCCATGGCTGCGCTGCTGACTGGCACGCTCAAGGGCGAGCTGAGACTGGGTGAGTGTGAAAACATTCATGGATGGGGAAGGAAAGGGCCCTCCTTTGCCCCCTCGCCCTCCACCGAGCTCGCTGACCGGGACGCTTTTTAGGGAACTGAGACTTGGTGAGTACGGGTTGGTGATGTGGGCACCGGCTCTGGGTGAGCTTAGGAAGGGGCAGAGTATGGGAGGGGAAATTCTGGTTGGGAGAGCGGTGAGTGTCAGTCTACAGGTGATGGGGATTGGATATCCCTGCTTTCCTGGTGACTTTTGAGTCGACTCAAAAGTCATAAGTCATCTTTTGAGACGACTCAAAAGTCACCTCGTTCCTGCCCTCCCTCGCCAGAAAAGCTTGGTCTCAGCCATGTAGTGACATGGGAAACCCACTTCTCTGCCCTCCATCTGTCTCATCCACACAACCCACTTCTCTGTCCAATCCTCCTCCCCACCCCTCTCCCTCCCCCTACAGAGCCTCTCAAGCTCGCCAGGGGAAACTCTCTCTCGCAGGCTCGGTGCATGGGGCGGATAAGGAGGAGGATGTTAGCAGATAGCTTTGACTTTTGAGTCGACTCAAAAGACATGGGGCGGATAAGGAGGAGGATGTTAGGAGATTTCTCTGCCTCATCTATCCACACAACCAAGTTTTCTCACGGCTCTCCATCCCCCCCCCCCTCTCTCTCCCTCACCACCGTCCCAACAGAGCCTCTCAAGCTCGCCAGGGGAAACTCTCTCTCGCAGGCTCGGTGCATGAGGCGGATAGCGAGGATATTGAGTGTTGAGGGAGAGAGCTCTGCCTCACCCTATCTGCTTCAGATATCGAGGCTCGGTACAACCTCGGTACAACCAAGTGTTCTCCCGGCTCTCTATCACCCCCCCTCTCTGCCTCACCCTCCCCACCTCACTACCTCACTACCGTTCCCATCACTGTCCACCCCGCCAGAGCCTCTCAAGCTCGCCAGGGGAAACTCTCTCGCAGGCTCAGTGCATGAAGCGGATAACGAGGATGATGATAGCGAGGATGGCGAGGAGGAGGGAAAGAAGGGCGGTGCTGGCAACAGCGACAATGGAGCAGCAGCACCAGCAGCAGCAGCAGCAGGAGCAGGAGCAGCAGGGAATGGAGAGGCAGCAGTGGAGGGGATGTGCTATGCATTTGACAGGCTGATTATTGACAGCAAGAACCCGATTCAAGGAATTGACACCACAAGAAGAGAGGTGAGAGGGTGGGAGGAGGGGGTGGGAGGGGAAGGAGGGAGGGAGAGGCAGCAGTGGAGGGGGTGTGTTATTCGGTTTGACCTCTCCGAGTGGAGAGAAGAGGGCCAAGAACTTTGTCGCCCTTCCTTCAGTACCTTCCCCTATCCCGTGTCCTGTGGCGCAACCAAATATCTTCACTCCCCCTTCGTTGATGCGCTTCGGCTCTCTTTAATCCCCTCCCCATCCTGTCCTATCCGGATTTCTTAAGTTTCTGAGCGCCTAAACAAGTACTCTCCTTATTATCCCATCCCTATGCAGTCCTATCTGTCAGACGCGGATTTTCTCCGCATATTTGGGTACGACAAGGGCAAGTTTTATGCAATGCCCAAGTGGAAGCAGGACCAGAGGAAGCGCTCTCTCGGGCTCTTCTAGGTAGCAAGCCGACTGCATCGTTCAAGTACGGTAGGAGATTTTGTTTGGTTGTTATAGAAGAGAACAACCCCCCACGCTAGTGAGCGTTTTAGGGATGCGTGCAAGAAACAGGACACGTGGAAAAGTAAAATTTCCGGTGTCTCAAGGTAGACTGACAGCTCTATTTTTCGTCAGCGGATACCAGTATCTCTCATCTCAACCAGTGTCCCATTTCCCTATTGCAGTTCGCTTTTCATGCTGAATTAAGATAGGTAGGTACATGCACTGCTGCTGCAGGAGCATGCACAATTCTCATGTTGCCCACGTATCGCTAGCGTATATCGAGGATATAATCGCCACGCATACCGAGAAACGAATGTACACAACGCGCATGATTCGTGCAAGGAGGCACAAAGATCTCGAAGTACCCGTTTTCATTGGTGTTCGACACGTCAGGTACCACCAATAAGGTGTTACATTGTCATTGCCAGCGCAACGCTGCTGCGCTGTCAAGCATTTGGTCCCACCTACGATGGTGTAGAATGCTTGACTGGATCAACTCCCTTCGATCTGTGGGACGCATTTCCCAATCTGGGAACAATGGGGAGCTGCTACTTCATGTATGAAATTTTCCTAAACGCTGGAAGCAGCAGTGAAAATCATAAAGATCGTTTCGTAAGTTCTCCACGCAAACTCCTAAGTTTCACAAAGCACGAACAAAACCCTCTGTTTCCTACCCACCTCGGTTCAGCAATCCCGGCGTTGGTACGGAACTGCTAGCACCTGCTACCATCTCTTTCGCCGCCGAAACTTCTCCGTCCTTCCGACGAATTCGCGCGCTGTGGTGTGAGAAAGCAACGACAAAGATCCGCAGCAACGGCAATTCCTTCCATTCCAACCTCCATGAATCCTCCTGACCAAAAGCTTTGCACACGCTTGCCTCCTCTGTGCTTGCTTTGCATTGCCGCTCCTCAACGAGAATCTGCGGCATCTCCGGCTGCTCCGGCCACACTCGGCGTCCATCCCTCGAAGCAGCTTCGGCTTCAGTTGTTGCCTTTACCGGAACTCACTTTGTGCTACCGCTCTGTGAGAAAGCTTCACCAGTAGTTACTTCGTTATTCTCTTAGTGACTCAGTTTTCATCGTCGCTACGCTTTTTCTGGTGCACTCAAACCGGGAATAATGCCTACGACGTTCTTCGTCTCCGCCTTTCCCGGGCTATCCGCAAGCCCGTCGCACTCTCTTATCGCGTCTCGCCGTCACCTTGGCCAGCCATCGCCGCCCGGTTTCCTGCGGCTTGGCGAGGACAGGCGAAGGAATGCCGCTCGAGTGGTAACCTCGCGCGCGAAGAAGGATGGGGACGAGCCCGAGAACGACGCGCCCGTGGGAGTCGCGCTCTCGTCGACCAGAAGCCCGCGACTCGACGACTTCGAGCTCCCCACAGTTGGCGGCGGCAGGCCCGGCGACGACGACGGCGCGATTCACGGCGGCGGGTGGGCGCCTCGGGTTTACCACCACGAAGATCTCTATTTGAGCGATCTGGAAAAGAGCGGAAAGGGCAAGAAGAAGGGAGATAAGAAGAAGAAAAAGGGGGACACGGGAGAGGAGGTTGCGGATGGGAAGGAGGCGGAGGTTGCGGCGGGAAAGACGGAGAACGAGAAGAAGGAGGTGACAAGCTCCGCGACGGGAAGCTCCTCGGGCAGCGAAACGGGCAGCGAATCGGCCAGCTCAACGGGCAGCTCGGGCAGCGAAGGGAAGAAAAAGTCGAAGAAGGATAAGGACAAGAACGGTCGCAGTCGCGGGGTGGAGCGGACGGCGCATTACCCGGACGACATTTCGTCGCACGCTAAGGCGGCGGAGAAAGATAAGGGGAAGAAGAAGAAGAACTACAACTACGAAGACGAACTGGAGAGGCTGCAGGTGAGCTTATAACGCGTATCTATTGTTTTCGGGCTCGCTCTATTCCGCGGAGAAAGATAAGGGGAAGAAGAAGAACTACAACTACGAGGACGAACTGGAGAGGCTGCAGGTGAGCTTATAACGCGTACCGGTTGTTTTTGGGGGTTGGGAAAAATGGGGAGGATATAGGCGAAAGGGATGGGGGGTGGGGAAGAGGAAACGAAGTATGGGGGAGGATTTACCCTGGTCGTTGCGTGTTCAAGTGAAAAAAAAAAAAATCCAAGAACAACTCGTTTGGAGCACAATCCGTTTGAAACATAATTCGATTGACGCACAATGCACCGCCACGTGCTCTAGACCCCGGAGAATTGCTGTGTGCATCTTGGGATATGCGAGAATGCTAGTGGATCACATGCAAGATTGGCATCGCACAAGCCAATTCCTCCACCACTTACTCCTCCTCCTCCTCTTCCTCCTCCTCCTCCTCCTCCTCCTCCTCCTCCTCCTCCTCCTCCTCCTCCTCCTCCTCCTCCTCCTCCTCCTCCTCCTCCTCCTCCTCCTCCTCCTCCTCCTCCTCCTCCTCCTGCTCCTCCTCCGCATCTCGCTCACACTCAGCTCTGTTTTCCCAACCTTCATCTCTCTCCCCATCCCCCCCCCCCCCCCCCCCCCCCCCCCCCTCCTCTCCCACCCCCCTCTCCTCAACCCCATTACCAGCTCGAGATGGTGAGACTGCAGGAGTGGATCAGGAAGAAGGAGTGGCGGTCATTCGTCTAGAAGTGTTGTCCTCCACCCCTTCTCCTGCCCCTTCCTCTCTTACCCTCTTCCCCCTCCAGCTGGAGCTGGTGAAGCTGCAGGAGTGGGTGGTTGTCTTCCCAGTTGCATCCTACAGACCTTCACATGCCATCCTCCTCCTTCCCTCCTCTTCCACTTTTCCCCCCCTCAGCTGGAGCTGGTGAAGCTGCAGGAGTGGATCAAGAAGAAGGGCCTGCGCGTGGTGGTCATATTCGAGGGGCGCGACGCAGCAGGGAAGGGCGGCATTATCAAGGTCATCACAGCGCCGCTCAACCCGCGTGTGTGCAGCATCAAGGCTCTGGGAACCCCCTCCGACCGCGAACGCACTCAGTGGTACTTCCAGCGCTATGTAGCCCACCTTCCGGCTGCCGGTGAGATGGTTCTGTTTGACCGGAGCTGGTATAACCGCGCGGGAGTGGAGCGAGTCATGGGGTTCTGCACGGACGAGGAGTATCGCGAGTTTCTCCGGTCGTGTCCTGAGTTTGAGCGCATGCTCGTGCGGTCGGGGATTATTCTGGTCAAGTACTGGATTTCGGTGAGTCCCGAGGAGCAGGAGAAGCGGTTCAAAGAGCGGCTGGACCGGCCGGAGAAGCGGTGGAAGCTGAGTGACATGGACCTGCAGTCGCGGGCGCGGTGGGCTGATTATTCGTACGCGAAGGATGTGATGTTTGGTTATTGTGATATCAAGCAGGCGCCGTGGTATGTGGTCCCGTCGGACGATAAGAAGGAGGCGAGGCTGAATGTGATTGCGCACCTGCTCAGCTTGATCCCGTACGAGGATCTGATTGAGCCAAATGACGTGAAGATCCCGCCTCTCCAGGAGGATTATTATGTGCGGCCACCAGTCACGGACCAGACCTTCGTTCCACAGTTGTTTTGATGGGACAGTGGCATACTTCAAAGTAGCTGATGCTGTCTCAGATTAGAGTTTGAAATGTACTCCAGGATGTTTAGTTGATACTGTCTTGTGCTGCTTGTGGATTTTGCTCAAATCCATCATTGTGTCACGTTTTACGTTTTAAACGTTTGTATTCTCTCTTTAGTTTTACCGCAACATATATTTGGCTGGAAGCCGTTTTCAAGTCACTTCCACGGATCTCGCAAACGAGGTCTGGATGAATCCGAGCCAGAACCCCTTGCTAGGTGGTCGCGTCGCGCCTACATATGCTTTCGCCGCATGCAACCCCCGCACTTCTCTGACACCTCGTATGATCTGGCACCCAGAACAATACTACACGAGGGCGTCGCATCATACGAAGTGGATGGGGGTCGCAGCCAATAGACGGGACGCATCCTGGTTTGTGCTGGCCAAATGTAACTTTCGCAAACATCTTGCCACATCCCTCCCACACGAGCATGACGTTTTGCACGCTTGCTCCCTTAGGTTAGGTCCAATGAAGCCTCCAGGCCGCCGCTGCTGACGTTTTGAATCGGTGCAAGCAACCGACAGCGGACCTTGGGAAAATTCACAAGGAAGATGAGGAAGCACAAATTTGCGAGGAATCACGACGAAGACGAGGACGTGGTAACGAAGATTTCTTTATCCAGCGAAAGCTCGCGATCGTGTTTATTCTGACAGGACCGATGGAAGATGATCTCAAGGTGTTTCCCGCCTTTCGTTCCTGCTCCCCTTCCATTCCCCGAGTCCTGCGAATCACCGTGCTTCCCTGACCGCCATTCTTCCCTGAATCTGGTGGCCAAATCCTTTTGTGGCCTTGCTTCGCCTCGCCTTGCATCCCTGCTTTTCACTCCCCTCTTGCCTGAATCATCCTTATCCTCTAGCTCAATGTTCAATCTCAGCAGCTGTTGAAAGTGACGGATCGGCACTCAGTCGCCGTTTCAATCGATGCACATCAAGGCATAAGACTTGCGTCTCTCTACCTGCTTAGCGTGACAGGGTAGTGATAGGCGGATCTGCATAGGTTTGACAGGCCAGCTGTCTTCTCGTGCGAGAGTTGCAGTTTTTTCTTAAGTTGAGTTTAGCTGCTAAGAGATGTGATTCTGGATTGACCTGGAAGAACAGTTTTCCTAGAGAAATAGTTGCTTCTGCGCTAGATTTCCTTCGTGTGAAACGCCACTATGTTGCCTGTAGCTAATGGAGCCGCGTTCAGCGGAGGGCCAAGCATGGTGGCTGAATACTGCCGTGCCCTGGGGGGAACACGGCCCATCAACAGCGTTCTAATCGCCAACAATGGCATCGCAGCGGTCAAGTTTATCAACAGCATAAGGTTAGACACCAATAATAAAGTTACGAAGAAGTGTTTAAGAGCCACAAAACAGCGGAACAGAGAGTTTTGTTTCAGTTTTCAATGCGTAAGCTTTTTGTTATTCATTGATCAAACTTCTACCTTCCGACGGAAAATTCTAACCCTCGTCCGTCAGATCATGGGCGTTCGAGACCTTCGGTCAAGAGCGAGCCATACAGCTGGTCGCCATGGCGACGCCGGAAGACATGCGCGCGAATGCCGAACACATTCGCATGGCGGATACGTTCGTTGAGGTTCCTGGTGGAACCAACAACAACAACTACGCTAACGTGCAGCTTATCGTCGAGGTATGACAAATGTCCGTTTTACAGATCTACTGCCTAACACAAATGAATGAAAAAAATGCCATGGCGTACGTGGCTGTTATGAATTAATCATCTGTTACTATGACATTTCACCTTTCAGGTCGCGGAACGAACTAAAGTGGACGCCGTATGGCCCGGCTGGGGTCACGCGTCTGAGAACCCGGATCTTCCACAGTCACTCTCGGCCAAGGGAATCGCGTTCCTCGGCCCTACGGCGCATTCCATGGCGGCGCTAGGCGACAAAATCGGCTCCACCCTCATAGCGCAGGCGGCCCGAGTTCCAACGATCCCGTGGAGTGGTTCCAGCGTAAGTGCGAGCCACATTTTACAGAGAGAAACAAATATAACGTCACGTTCTTGTTGTCGTGAGTTCCATCGATCCCGTGGCGTGGTTCCAGCGTAAGTGCAGGCCCCATAAGGAAATCCTGAAAAGAGGTTCAACGATCTCATGAAGTGGTTTCACATAGTTGTTGTCATGGTTCCTGTTCTTGTGGTTCTTTTAGTAAGCACACTAGGTCACCAATATCTCACAATCATTTCACGATTATGGCGGTTTCTCTTCTTTTACCCTACCCTCTGTGCTGTCGCGCGCGTGCGTGGGTACCAGATTATCCTGCCGGACGACCAGTGCAGGACGGAGATCGAGGAGGAGCTGTACCACCAGGCGTGCGTGCGCACCACGGAGGAGTGCCTCGACTGCTGCAACCGCGTGGGGTACCCGGCCATGATCAAGGCCTCCTGGGGTGGCGGCGGCAAGGGTATCCGCAAGGTGATCAAGGCCTCCTGGGGTGGCTTTTTCTTTCTTTGGTTGTTTGTTTGATCGGTTGATTTCTTTGTCTCTATTTTTCTCCCGCTTAGAATGGTCGGTTGAGGATGACTGATGAGTGATATTTCCCATAACTGGCTGTGGCGGTGAGTGCAGGTGCACAACGAGGAGGAGGTGGTAACCCTGTTCAAACAAGTGCAGGGCGAAGTGCCCGGCTCGCCTGTTTTCGTCATGAAGGTGGCGGCCCTGGTAAGTGTGTACTGGTAGAATCAGAAACGCGTTCAGAGCGTAAATTAATCACGAATTTGGAGAATCTTAACGAGGCATCGCCACACACTGCACTGCGCTGCCCTGGTCTCCCCTTCGCCCCTCATGAAAAGTATCTCAGCCAGTTCCCTGACTGCATTTTATCTTCCTTTGCCCCTCGCATGCACTACTCCGCAGAGTCGGCACTTGGAAGTGCAGCTAGCGTGCGACGCGTATGGCAACGTGGTGGCGCTGCACAGCAGAGACTGCAGCATCCAGAGGCGGCATCAGAAGGTGCTTTCGTGTTCGTGTGAAGAGTCTTATAACGAGCACAGAGCCCATGAACGAACAGTTAGAAAGTAGCCAAGCACAGAGCGAGGATAAGCAAAGGAGCATACTAGGCTGTGCCTGCCATGTGGGTTTGCGAGTGCCTGACAGCGTGAATGAGGTGATAAGTCGCTTAGCAAGCTATTCTTAAACCTGATTGCGAGCTAGGCAGGTTTCAGGCACAGTTGGACGGCCAGCCCAGCTTCTGTTGTTGGTGCGCTGATATGCTCTGTCTATGCGCTGACTGCACCGATTGCGTGCTGACTGTGTGCTGACTGTGCGTTGACTGTTGTGCGCCGGGTGTGTGCAGATCATAGAGGAGGGGCCGATCACCGTGGCTCCCCCAGACGTGGTGCACGAGTTGGAGCAGGGCGCGCGGCGGCTGGCCAAGATCGTGGGGTACTGCGGCGTGGCGACGGTGGAGTACCTCTACAGCATGGCCGGCAACTCCTTCTACTTCCTTGAAGTCAACCCACGCCTGCAGGTAAGCTTCTATTAGCCTCGCCTGCAGGTACGCTTGTAGCTAGGCCCTGCTTGCTCTCTGGTATTTTGAGTTTGTGTGGCAACGGTAGAGTACCTTTACATCTTGGCTGGCAACTTCTTTTACTTTTTCAAAGTCAACTCGCGCCTGCAGGTAAGCTGGTACCCGACCTGCAGGTTTGCTCGTGGTAACCCAACCTGCTGGTAGAGGCATCCTTCTCTTCGGCACCCTGATGGCTGAGGTAGTGGAAGGTTGTTGCCAAGAGCTTCTCAAATGAACCCCTCATAACCCCCACATAACTCCCTCCTAACGCCTTTAACCCCTACATAACTCCCTCCTAACCCCTTCATAACCCCTACATAAACCCGTAACCCCTACATAACCCCTTTCCGACCCTTCGCCGTTCCCTTTTCTCTTAACTCTATCTCCCCACCCCGCCTCCCAGGTGGAGCACCCAGTGACGGAATGGATAGCCGGGGTGAACCTGCCAGCAACGCAGCTCTCCATCGCCATGGGCATCCCGCTCTCCTGCTATGTTCCTTAACTCTGTCCCCTCCCCCTCCCCCTCCCCCTCCCCCTCCCCCTCCCCCCCTCTCCCTCCCCCCCCCCCCCCTCCCCCTCCCAGCCTCCCAGGTGGAGCACCCAGTGACGGAGTGGATAGCCGGGGTGAACCTGCCAGCAACGCAGCTTTCCATCGCCATGGGCATCCCGCTCTCCTGCTATGTTCCTTAACTCTGTACCCCCCTCCCCCTCCCCCTCCCCCTCCCCCTCCCCCTCTCCCTCCCCCTCCCCCTCCCCGCTTCCAGGTGGAGCACCCAGTGACGGAGTGGATAGCCGGGGTGAACCTGCCAGCAACGCAGCTCTCCATCGCCATGGGCATCCCGCTCTTCCGCCTCCCTGAGATCCGCCGCTTCTACGGCCAGGGCGGCGGCGGTTCCAGTGACTGGCGCAGCTGTGCGGACCTGGAATCCTTCAACTTTGACAATGTGACCTCGACGAAGCCCAAGGGGCATGTGGTGGCGGTGAGGGTGACGAGTGAGGACCCAGAGAACGGGTTCAAGCCCACCAGTGGACGCGTGCAGGAGCTGAGCTTCAGGAGCAAGCCGGATGTGTGGGCGTACTTTTCGATCAAGGCGGGCGGGCAGATCCACGAGTTCTCCGACTCGCAGTTCGGTGAGTTACAGATCAATCAGAAGGGTTAAAGATGAGAGGTTGGAAGTGGGAGTTAGATTTGGTAAAAGATGTGAGGTGGAAGTGTGGGCATGCTTTTCCAACAAGGCGGGCAGGCAGGTTCACGATTTCACCGATTTGCAATTTGGTGAGCAAGGGATTGAACGGGTGAAGTCAAGTTGAAAGGGTAGTGTCGAGGAAGGGTGGCATAGCCATCATGGAGCTGACACTTGTTACCTTCCGTCTCTCCCTCCCACCTCGTCTCCCCCTGCTTCCTCCCCCAAAAATCCCGAACGCGCAGGTCACCTGTTTGCATTCGGGCAGGACCGGCCGGCAGCCATAGCGAACATGGTGCTGGCGCTCAAGTCGGTGCAGATTCGAGGGGAGATCCACACCAACGTCGACTACACTGCTGACCTGCTCCAGGTGCGCCGCTCATTCCCTCCTTTACTCGTCCCGGCACTCCCTTCATTCCACCATTCGCTCATTCGCCTCACAGCGCTGAACACCAAACCTTGAACCGGGAACCCCGAATCCTAAACCCATAACCCTGAATTCCGAATCTCGAACCCTGAACGTCAAAGCCCTGTCCAATGGCGTGGCTGCTGGCTCGTTGAGTCCTTGCACCAGCTGGCTGTCACAGTGGCGGCATGAGAGCAGGGTGATGTGGTGAACATCATTTCCAAGGAACATAGTTGATCCTACTTGTTCCTTTTGTAATGTAACTGATTGTTGGTTGAATGTTGCACATGTGCTCTTGCGCATCTGGCAGGACAAGGAGTACAAGAGCAACGTGATCCACACAGGCTGGCTGGACTCGCGCATTGCCATGCGCATCAAGACCCAGCGCCCCCCTTGGCACATCTGTGTCATTGCTGGCGGCCTCTTCGTGAGTACTTCCCATTTGAATCCCCCACCCGCCCCTTTTTGTCGCCCCCTCTCTTCACCCTTACTTCCCATTTTTCTGCACCTGGCTCCTTGAGAATCGCTCCTGATTCTGCAACGCTACGTCTAATCACGGACTGTTGCGTTCCTTGCTCCCAACCCCTTTCTTGCATGAGCAGATGGCATCCCGCACTGCAGCTGCCCGCGTGTCTGAGTACATGGGGTACCTCGAGAAGGGCCAGATCCCCCCTGTGGTGAGTCTTCAGTCTTGAGGGGGATTGTAGTTGAGGTGTTAGTTGGAACAGGCAGGCGCGCAAGGTGGAGGCACGGTTGTCTTGCACTGCAGCTGCCCGCGTGTCTGAGTACATGGGGTACCTCGAGAAGGGCCAGATTCCTCCTGTGGTGAGTCTTGGTGTTGAGCGGGATTGCGCTAGGAGTCTTAGGGCAGGCACGCAGGGCCTAGGCACTGGGTCCGGCGCTGTGTACTGCAAGTGTGATGCAGGTCCTGTGTGGTTACCCGTTCGTTCTTGACTCTACCTCACTCTCACAGGGTGAATTGCAATCTGTGTGTCTCGCTGTGTGCCTGCCTGGTCGGTTTGCAGAGCATCTCGTTGGTGCACTTCAACCTGGTGCTCAACATCGATAACGTCAAGTACATGGTGGGCTCACTCTCTTCACCAGGAATATGTCCTCATCACTCTTACCATCTCAATGAAGGCTCTTTTTGTTAATGCAATCACCTCTTACCTCATTTTGCTACCGCTTTTTGTGCTCCACCACCACCATTGCCTCACCATTGCCCCGTGCCCCACCCTTGTCTAATGCCCTTCTCCTCCTCCGCGTCACCAGTTGGCGCTGAGCAGGCAGGGACCCGGCAGCTACAAGATCCGCATGAACCAGCAGGAGGTGCTGGCTGAGGTGCACACGCTCAGGGATGGAGGCCTGCTGTGCCAGGTATGTTTCACCCAGTACAATGCTCTTTGGGATGGCTAATTTGATACCTGCTGAAAAGTTTGTTTCTTAACAGAGGTGTTACACACTCAGACAGAACTGACTCTAATCCTCCAACCTCTTCCCCCCTCTTCCGTTTTCAGCTGGATGGTAACAGTTACATCGTGTACGCGGAGGAAGAGGCTGCAGGAACCCGCCTGCTCATTGGCGGTCGCCCATGCCTGCTCCAGGTGGGAATTGTCACCTGTGCTTTTTCTCTGTATGGGTGTTTGCGTGGGTTTGCCTTCTTATGCTAGTTGGGACCTTGGGACCTTGGGATGCCTTAAAGCTTCCTGTTCCCTAGACCTCCAGATTTCATCTCACTCCCTCATTCCCGCTCACTTCCTGTTCTTTCCTCAGAACCATTCTCAACCACTCCAGAGCGAGCACGACCCGTCCAAGCTGGTGACCGAAACCCCATGCAAGCTGATGCCGCAGTTAGTGGAGGAAGGGGGCCACCTGAACATGGACGAGCCATACGCCGAGGTGGAGGTCATGAAGATGTGCATGCTGCTGCTCTTTCCCTCTGTCCCCTCCCAACCACTCCCAACCACCCCAGAACGAGCACGACCCATCCAAGCTGGTGGCCGAAACCCCATGCAAGCTGATGCGGCAGTTAGTGGAGGAAGGGGGTCACCTGAACATGGACGAGCCATACGCCGAGGTGGAGGTGATGAAGATGTGCATGCCGCTGCTCGCCCCCGCCTCTGGCTGCATCCACTGGCGCATCTCCGAGGGCCAGACCATGACCGCGGGAGATCTCATCGCCACCCTTGATCTGGACGATCTGACGGCCAGGAACGTGGTGCAGCAGTTCACGGGGGATTTCCCTGAGCTGGGCACGCCCACGGTGCAGCCGGACAAGGCGCACCACCGGTTTGCTGATGCGCTTAAGAAGGCTGGCTTGATTCTGGCGGGATACGAGCACAACAGCACCGAGGTGAGACGTTCTGGAAATCTGGGGGATTCGAGCAGTGTTGGGGAGAGGAAGGGGTCTCTCAGAGTCAGGGATTGCTTCTCTGCCCCTCCGCTCCCTTCCCTTGCCCTTCTCACGTGTCGGCACGTCCCTCGTCCCCTCAGGTTGTGCAGGAGATCATTCATGGGCTGCATGCCAGTTCTTCAATCATCCCTCTACTGCCCTTCTGCCCCTCTGCCCCTCTGCTCCTTTTCTTCTCAACCCGTCCCGATTCCCACATGCCTGCTGGTGGTGGAGGAGATCATCCACGGGCTCAAGGACGAGTCGGTGCCACACCTCTGTTCATCTCCTCATCTCTCAAGCATCGCCCCTCTCCTTGCGCCCTCTCTCTTCTCACTGCGCGCCAATGCCTGCAGGTGGTGGAGGAGATCATCCACGGGCTCAAGGACGAGTCGGTGCCGGCACTGCAGTGGCAGGAGATGGCGTCTGTGCTCGCCACGCGCCTCCCCAAGGAGCTCAAGGCCGAGGTGAGCCACTCGTGTGTGCGTGAGCGTGCGTCTGGCGAAATACACAAGGCACAGGGCTCGTGAGTGAAGGGATCATGCGATGTCTGTGGGACTGGCCATGGCTGTGAAAGTGTTGAAGGGGTCTGAGTCAACCAGCCTGCCCACCTTTCTCCCCACCTGCCCACCCGCCTTATCTCTCCGCCCTCACCCTCACCCCCCTCCCCTCCCCACACCCCATCCTGGTGAACCCTCTCAGCTTGACGCGCTGCTGAAGGCGTCCGAGTCAACCCAGGGCACATCCTCCCCGCGCCTGCTCTCCTTCCCTGCGGCCGAGTGCCTGCATGTGCTACGTTCGTTCCTGGACCGCCTGCCCGCCAAGGACCGCATGGGGCAGCAGCAGCTGGTGGCGCCGCTGCTGCGTGTGGCTGAGCTGCATGCGGGTGGCAGGGAGCAGTTTGAGCTGACGGTGATCCAGGACCTGCTCAGCCAGTACCTGAGCGTGGAAAAGAACTTCTGTGAGACGCCTCAGGTGGGTTGGAGGGGCTTTGGAGTGAGTGAGACTGTGGGAATGAGCTGTGGGCGAGTTGCAGAGCTCCATGCGGGCGGCAGGGAGCAGTTTGAGCTGACGGTGATCCAGGACCAGCTGAACCATTACCTGAGCATGGAAAAGAACTTTTTGAGACGCCTCAAGTGGGTTGAGGAGCAAGTGAGGGTGAGAGTGGGTGAGAGTGGATGAGTTTGAAGTGGGTTGTGATTAGTGCTATTGGGAATTGGCATCGTGTGAGCAGCATGCATGTCACGATGAGTTCGGTACCCAATCCACATCCACTTAAGCACCAACCACGAAGACGTATTCATGCCTTTGTCTCGCTCATGCATGCACGTCCCCTTCCCCACAGGCTGACGTGATCGAGGGGCTGAGGCAGACGCACAAGAAGGACCTGGCCAAGGTGGTGGACGTGGTGCTCTCGCACCAGGTGAGCAGTGCTCTTTGCTGCTGCTGCTGCTGCTGCTGCTGCTGCTGCTGCTGCTGCTGCTGCTGCTGCTGGTTCTGCTGCTGCTGCTGCTGCTGGTTCCCTCTGCTGCTGCTGCTGGTTCCCTCAGCTGCTGCTGCTGGTTCCCTCAGCTGCTGCTTCTGCTGCTGCTGCTGCTGCTGCTCCTGTTGCTGCCCTAAGTCTTCGCCAAAGCTGACCTCGCTCCCACGCCTCCTGCTGCTCCCCACCCTACCCCTGCTCTACAGGGTGTGGCGCGCAAGAACGACCTGGTGGTGGCCATCCTGGACCGCATGGTGGCGCCCAACCCCAGCAAGCACAAGGCGGTTCTCAAGGAGCTCTCCTCACTCTCCAATATCAAACACTCCAAGGTATACCCACGCACACTCCAAGCTACTCCCACGCCCATTTCTCCCCTCTGAGATAGGTTTTCAGATGCTCGAAGCTACTTTATCCAACCCCAGCAAGCCAAGTCAGTGCTTGCCCAAGGTTTGCCTACGCCTTCCATGCCCTCCTCCCTCCCTGCCCTCCTCCCTCCCTGCCCTCCTCCCTCCCTGCCCTCCTCCCTCCCTGCCCTCCTCCCTCCCTGCCCTCCTCCCTCCCTGCCCTCCTCCCTCCCTGCCCTCCTCCCTCCCTGCCCTCCTCCCTCCCTGCTTCTCTCCCCCTTGTGCACTCTTCCAAGCCTGAGGAGCTCCGCCTCTCTGATCCGTCCTCTGCTCCTCTCCTCATTCTGCTCTCTGCCGCACCTCTCCTCATCCTCCTCCTCCTCCTCCTCCTCCTCCTCCTCCTCCTCCTCCTCCTCCTCCTCCTCCTCCTCCTCCTCCTCCTCCTCCTCCTCCTCCTCCTCCTCCTCCTCCCACTCAGGTGCTGGTGAAAGCCAAGCTCCTGCTGGAGCAGATTCAGCTGGCAGAGCTGCAGGCGGGCGTGGTGCACAACCTCTCCAACCTTGACATCTCCGAGAGCGCCCTCTCCAACCTAGACATCTCCGAGAGCGCCCTTTCCAACCTCACCTTCCTTTCCTTCGCCTCTCAAACCTCCTGAAGTGCTCCTCCTGTAGCTGATCTTTATGCTGCTCCTAATCATGACGCCCATCCATTCTCCCTTCCTCCCACTCAGGTGCTGGTGAAAGCCAAGCTCCTGCTGGAGCAGATTCAGCTGGCAGAGCTGCAGGCGGGCGTGGTGCACAACCTCTCCAACCTCGACATCTCCGAGGGCGCCCTCTCTGCTGCTACCAGCAATCAGGAGCTCTCCACCACAGCATCCGGAGCAGCAGGAGGATCAGGGGGAGCAGGAGCAGGAGGGGCTTTAGGAGACGCAGCAGACGTGCTAACTCCGCGTTCTCTAGACCCGAAGGCGGTCAAAGAGTCTCTAGATGCGCGCATGGAGCGTCTTGTAGATGCTCCCGTGGCTATTGACGATGCACTGACGTCCCTCTTTGACTACATGGACGCGGACGTGCAGTCCCGGGCGGTCGAGACGTACATTCGGCGGCTGTACCAGCCGTATATTGTGAAGGACTCGGTGACAGTGGTCGCCGGGAACAATAAGTCAGTGGTTGCCTCGTGGGAGTTCTGGGAAGAAGGGCCACCGCCGTCGATTGAACAGCTAGAGGAGGGCCCGGATAGCCCCACGTTCAAGGCGCCGTCGAGCGGGGGTGTGAAGCGGTGGGGAGTGATGGTGGTGGCGTCGACGCTGCAGGAGGTGAAGGATTTGCTGCGGCCGGTGATCTCGCAGCCGGATGGGTGGTTGCTGAGTGCGGTGGATGGGAAGCAGACGCGTGTGGCGGCAAGCAGGAAGGCCAGTGCCGAGGACCTGCCGTTTGGGGGGATGAAGCGGATTCGGACGTTCCTGGGGATTCCGTTTGGTGCGGGGAATGTGGCTCACGTGGCTCTGCTGCCCAAACTCGACAGCCTGTAAGGGTCCTTTGTCTGAGTGACCTGTTGTGTTTGTCACCGCAGCGGTGCTTTGGTCCGGCTCGAGAACTTTCTTGATGCCTCATCCTTGATTCCTTTCCCTTTCCCCCGGTTAACCCGCCCACCACAGGGCGGACAGCCCGTCCACCTTCCGCATGGAGGACCGCATTCACACGCTGCGGCGGTCGCTGCTGGACGCCGATGCAGCCTCCACGCTGCACAGCGCGGGCGTGACGGCTGTGAGCTGCATCGTGGTGCAGCACGGGCAGGGCCGCGCGCCGCTCAGGCACTGCTTCCATTGGAGCGAGGAGCGTGAGACGTTTGAGGAGTGGCCACTCATGCGCCACGTGGAGCCTCCGCTCTCCGACCTGCTGGAGCTGGTTCGTGGTTATCTGGGGTGTGTGGGAATCACTTTTGAGAATTCTCAAAAGCTGGTTTGTGGTTATCTGGGCCTGTGTCATGGCATGTGTTGTGTGGTCGTGCGTCTGGTGTCTGTGTTCTGTGGTCTCACCTGGCTGGTGTCTTGGCTTAGTGAAGAGAGGGACCTGCCAACATGGCTTTACTGTGGTCTCGCCGCCTCACTCCCTTCCTCCTCTTCCTCCCCCCTCCCACAACAGCAAAAGCTGATGAGTTTTGGCGAGATGCAGTACAAGAGGTCGCGCAACCGCCACTGGCACATCTACTCCACCACCGAGAAGCCCTCGGGCATCCGCCGCCTCTTCCTGCGCTCCGTCGTGCGCCTCCCCAAATCCGCCACTGGTGGAGGAGGTGACACCAGCCCCCCTGGCGGCAGCAGCAGCGGGGGCAGCAGCTGGATTGGCGGCGGTGGGGGTGGGGGTGGGGATGGGGTGAATGCAGGGGCGGAGGTGACGCGTGAGCCGTCGTTTTCAGATTCGTTGGTGAGCGAATGTACGGTTCAGATCGAGGTGGCGGCGCGGACGCTGGCGGCGGCGATCCAGGAGGCGTTGGATGAGCCGGAGCTGGAGACGACGCTCAAGGCGGACCATGCCCACATCTTCATGGCGCTGCTGGGGTCGCTGTCGTTTGAAATGAGCCCTCGGGCTTCAGGGTGAGTCCCAGTGGTATTGACATGCGCTTTGAGTTGTGTGTCCTGCTGGATTAGCCGGAGCTGGAGACGATGCTCAAGACGGACCATGCCCACATCTTGATGGCGCTGCTGGGATCTCTGTCGTTTGAAATGATCCCCCACGCCTCTGGGTAAGTTGAGGCGTTTGAACGCATTATGTGTTTGTAGCTTGCTTGAGTGCGCGTGCGGAGGTGTAGAGCATATTGAAATCACTTTTGAGAATTCTCAAAAATGATTGCAATATAGCCGGAGGTGGAGAGCGTGCCTTCTCCTCATTCGCACCACCCTGTTGCCTCCTTTCGATTCTCACTTCTTCCACCCCTGCCCTTTGCTCCAGCTTCAACCTGGCGGAGGTGGAGCGCATACTGTGTGGCCTGGGTCGCCTGGCGGACGCCAAGGTGGATCATGCCATTCCTTCAACTCTCCCCTCTCTCTCCTCCCACTTCATCCCTTCCCCTCCTCCCTTGCTCCAGCTTCAATCTAGCGGAGGTGGAGCGCATGCTGTGCGGGCTGGGTCGCCTGGCAGACGCCAAGGTGGCCCCGCGCATGCGCTCGCATCAACTCTTTCCCTCCTCATCCCGCTGTCTCCCCCCTACCTCTCCCAACAGCTTCAATCTAGCAGAGGTGGAGCGCATGCTGTGCGGGTTGGGTCGCCTGGCGGACACCAAGGTCGCCCCGTACATGCGCGCGCATCAACTCTTTCCCTCCTCGTCCCGCTGTCTCCCCCCTTCCCTCCCTTGCTCCAGCTTCAATCTAGCGGAGGTGGAGCGCATGCTGTGCGGGCTGGGCCGCCTGGCAGACGCCAAGGTGGCCCCACGCATGCGCTCGCTGGCGCTGTGCATGTGGGAGGCGCGTGTGAAGGTCAAGGGCGTGGGCGTGGGCTCGGGCGCCTGGCGTCTGGTTGCAGAGAACCCCAGCGGCCACGCCTGCCTTGTCCAGGTGAGAGGCTCTTTGTTAAACCGCCTCACAGGGTGGAGTGCTGTGCATGTGGGAGGCGCGTGTGAAGGTGAAGGGCGTGGGCGTGGGCTCGGGCGCCTGGCGTCTGGTCGCAGAGAACCCCAGCGGCCATGCCTGCCTTGTCCAGGTGAGAGGCTCGCTCTGAGTCTGAAAGATTAGCTTGTTCGCCTGAAAGCATGCGGTCGCTGGTGCTGTGCATGTGGGAGGCGATGGTGATGGTGAAGGGCGTGGGTGTAGGCTTCGACGCTTGTGTCTTTTTTCTGAAACCCCTGCAGCCATGCGTCCCGCGCAGGTGAGGTTGAGGTTTAGCCATGCGACTATCCTGTCACCCCATTATCCTGTCACCCCACTATCCTGTCACCCTCTCTTTTTCTGTCAATCCCCTTTCCTATCCCAATCCTTCCCCGTAATTCCTGCCCTTTTCCCAAATCACTTACCTTTCTTGAGTCCTTGTTTCTTTATTCTTTGCCCTTTTCCTATTCCTGACTTCCCCCCAATCCCTGCCTTTCCCTGCATTCTTGGGACACACACCAGGCATACATGGAAGCCGACGACGCGGCCGGCAAGAACTTTGTGTACTTCTCCTCGCCGCCCAAGCTGCCGCGCACCGACATGCCCTCATGGCCCGACAACGCACTCATCCTCCCGCCCGCCGCACTCCCCGTGCGCGTCACCTCCTCGCTGCTGCCCATGCCGTCCCCCTCCAGCCCTGCTGGTGGGGGTGGCGGCACCACGATGACTCTCAAGGGCATGGGCCCGCTGCACGGCACGCCTCTGTCCGCGCCGTATGGTCCGCTGAGCTCCATTGATAAGAGGAGGCTCGCGGCCAGGAAGGCTGGGACTACTTTCTGCTATGACTTCCTCTCGGTAAGTGGCGATAATGATGATCGTGGTAGTGCTGGTGGTTAAGCCTTTCAAAAGGTTCCACCTCCACCCGGGGGCTGTGGCACCACGATGACCCTCAAGTGCATGGGTCTGCTGCACGGCACGCCGCTGTCCGCGCCCTACGGCCCGCTGAGCTCCATTGATAAGAGGAGGCTCGCGGCCAGGAAGGCTGGGACTACCTTCTGCTATACTTCCCTCTCTATGAGTGCCTCTTGGGGTTGTGCTGCTGATGCTAATGGTGGTGATGCTGGTGTGGTCATAGGCTTCGGATCGTGCTGATGCTGGTGGCTGTTAGTGGTGGATGGTGGTGCCTGTGGTGGGACCGATAATGGCTTGCTGTTTGACGATGTAGAAACTGGGACGTGCGCTGTGGCTGACTTTTCCTGACATGGCTTGACGTTAGAAGTTTCTGCCTACATCCTCTAATTTCCTCCCCTTACCTCCACCTCCCCTTGTCCTCTGCTTCCATCTTTCCTCCTCACTCTGTCTTCCCCTGCAGATCTTTGAGGAGGCCCTGAAGCAGATCTGGGCGGCAGCAGAGGCCAAGGGCACGCACACGGCGCCGCCCGCCCCACACCTCACCTACAAGGAGCTCATCTTCGCCGACCCAAACATCGGATGGGACGCAAAGCTACAGGAAACCGGCCGCCCGGCGGGGCTGAACAGCATCGCGATGGTCGGCTGGCGGCTCACCCTCCACACTCCAGAATTCCCCGACGGCCGCACGGTCTACATCGTGGCGAACGATGTTACCAGAGGCGCAGGTGCCTTCGGGCTGCATGAGGACATGCTGTTCCATGCGATCACACTCGAGGCGATCAAGCAGAAGGCGCCGCTGCTGTATCTGGCTGCGAATTCAGGCGCCAGGATTGGGATCGCGGAGGAGGTGAAGCGGTGCCTGCATGCCGCGTGGCTCGACGAGAAAAACCCCGAGCGGGGGTTCCATTATCTGTATCTCACTCCGGAGGACTATGCGCGCGTGCGGTCGTCTGTGGTAGCGCATGAGGTGGTTATGGAGCCGTCTGGTGAGTGCCGGTGGGTGCTGACGGATATTATTGGGGCTGAGGAAGGTCTTGGGGTGGAGAATCTGTCCGGGAGTGGTGCAATCGCGAGCGTGTTCTCCAGAGCTTTCCACGAGACGTTCACGCTGACGTTTGTCACGGGGCGGACAGTGGGGATTGGCGCGTACCTGGCGCGGCTGGGCAGCCGGGTGATCCAGAGGCAGGATCAGCCGATCATCCTGACAGGGTTCTCTGCGCTGAATAAGCTTCTCGGGAGGGACGTGTACTCCTCGCACATGCAGTTGGGCGGGCCCAAGGTCATGGCTGTGAACGGAGTGGTTCACAACACCGTCGCGAACGATCTCGACGGCGTTCTGACGATCCTCCGCTGGCTGTCATACGTCCCTGCAGCCGTCAACCGCCCGCTGCCGATTGTCCCGAAGCCGCTCGACTCGCCGTCGCGCAAGGTGGAGTACAACCCGACTACCTCCTGCGATCCCTGCGCTGCTGTGGCCGGGACCCAGTCCGGAACCCGCTTCCTCAGGGGAATCTTTGACGAAGGAAGCTTCATGGAAATGCTGGATGGGTGGGCGAAGACTGTGGTGGTGGGGCGGGCGCGCCTGGGCGGCATTCCTGTGGGAGTGATTGCGGTGGAGACACAGACTGTGTTCCAGAACATTCCGGCGGATCCCGGGCAGCCGGACTCACACGAGCGGGTGCTGCCACAGGCCGGGCAAGTGTGGTATCCGGATTCGGCTGCGAAAACGGCCCAGGCGCTTCTTGACCTGCGATTGGAGGGGCTGCCTCTGTTTATCCTCGCCAACTGGCGCGGGTTTTCTGGAGGGCAGAGGGATCTGTTCGAAGGGGTGCTTCAAGCGGGGTCGCTTATAGTGGAGCATTTGCGGACGTATGACCAGCCGGTGTTTGTGTATATCCCGCGGAAGGGCGAGCTGCGGGGCGGCGCGTGGGTCGTTGTGGACCATCGGATCAACCCGCACATGGTGGAAATGTACGCTGAGGATTCGGCGAGAGGAGCTGTGCTGGAGCCGGAAGGAGTGGTGGAGATTAAGTTCAGGAGGAAGGAGCTTATCGACGCCATGCATAGGCTAGACCCGGAGATTATCGACTTAGATAAGGCGCTGCGGGCGGCGAAGCAGCAGCAGGCGCAGGGGAGCGACAATGGATCGGTGACTGTGACTGAGGGGCTGATTGCGCAGAGAGAGAAGGCACTTCTGCCGGTGTATACTCAGATCGCGGTGCGGTTTGCAGAGCTGCATGATACCCCGAGGAGAATGGCGGCTAAGGGCGCGATCCGGGATATTGTCACTTGGGAGAACTCGAGGGCGTATTTCTACTCGAGGTTGTGTCGGAAGGTCGCGGAGGACGGGCTTGCGAGGCAGTTTATGTTACAGGTGGACGGGCTGGGGAAGATTGACGCGGTTGCGGAGGTGAAGCGGTGGTATTTGGACGAGCAGCGGGTGAAGCGAGGGGAGAGCGAGGCGCTGCGGACGAGTGAAGCGATCGATGAAGGGGACTGGGTGGACGATAAGCAGTTCATGGCGTGGGTGCAGGGCACGAGGAGGAATGCGGAGGGGTTCAGGAGGCGGGTGATGGCGTTGAGGGGAGGGAGGCTGGCGGCGGTGTTGACGAGGGAGAGGGACGCTGGGAGCATTGCGGATGGGCTGGCACAGGCTGTGTCCAGCGTGCTACAGGCGGTACGTGGTGGCTTGCTGGCTGGCTGGCTTGCTGGCTGGGTGGCTTGCTGGCTGGGTGGCTTGCTGGCTGGGTGGCTTGCTGGCTGGGTGGCTTGCTGGCTGGGTGGCTTGCTGGCTGGCTGCCTTGCTGGCTTTCTATCTCCTTTGAATATCTATTTCTGTTTCTGTTTCTTTGCATGCCTTTCTAGCTATTCAGTGTTTTCCAATCCTTTCCTTTGCCTTCCAAATCCTTCCGTTGCCCAATTCATGCTTTGTTCCTGTTTTTTCTTGTCATCGTGGCTCTTACCTTGTGTGGTTTCCATCCTACAGCTTCCTGCCAGTGTGCGCAAGGACGCTGCTGCCAAGCTCGCCCAAGTGCTGGGCCAGCAGTAACGCCATCCGTTTGGAGGCACCCCTAAGCCATCTGCTAAAAAAAACCAGACGCAAGGATGCTGCTGCCAAACTTGCCCAAGTGCTGGGACAGCCGTGAGGGCCTCGTGCCCCTGCCTGGCCCGCTTGCCAATTGCTGGGCCAGCAGTGAGGCCAAACGTCTTGCCCATCGCAGTGATTCTTGACCATGGTTATGGCAATCAGGGTGTGCCAGCACAGAGGCCTTGTGGGCCATGGGGTGTGCCAACTAGAAAGTGATGATTTGTTGCCTTCTAAGCCATAACTACTAGGTACCGCTCCTGCTCGTCCCCTTTCCCTCACCTCCACCCCCCCGCCCCTGGTCCAACCCCCTTTTCCAAATGCTATGCACTTGTACAAACCTGGATATGAGCATGGGCACTGGTGTACTGACGTGTGCACAGCTGGGGGGGGACAAGCCGTATGGAGGGGACAGGCCTTCCTATCCTCTATATTAGCATTCCTGTCTTGTGGATAGCCAATATGAATAGGTGATAGCATAGCTGATGTACGTCGCAATACACAGCTTATCTTATGGTACTGTAACTTCTGATCCGACTTCAATACCTCCTCTGCACTCATCTCAGCAGCAACAACCAGGAAGCCCTACCCCATGGCATTTACATGAGGTCACTGTGGGTGGAGCCTCCGTATTTGGTGGTCGCTCTGGTTTGAGTGCTTGGGCTTGAGAGGTGTGAGGGGTTTGGAGTTTCTGGATTTAAGTTCATTCGTTCAATGGGCGGCAGGAGGGTGGCACTTACCATGTTTAGGCCTTGTTAACAAAAGAATGATTTCAGAACGTTTTCTTGGTATACAAGTGCAGAACTTGATGGAATTGAAATAGGCAAAGCACTCAGGGATTTTAGAAACACCAAGTACCATACAGCGCTTAGACTAGCTGACATTGCACGGGGCAATTAAACACTAACAGAAACATGAGGGGCAATCACAGCTGTTTCACATGGCCAAAAGATGAATTAGACATCAAGTTTTACAACACAGGATTGTAGGACATTTAGTGGTATAGGTACAACAAATCTAGTCAAGGGCACATGTGGAAAGGGAAACTAGAAACTCGCGGAAAAGGAACCTAACAGAAACTCACGCGGGATACTAACAGCGCTTTCGCTTCTTTCCTCCCTTGCCACCCTTCCCCCCTTTTCCACCCTTGCCACCCTTACCCCCCTTACCCCCCTGTTAAGTTTTGTTATATACCCTGCTTGCTGTGTGTTCTAGTGTAGCTACAGTGGTGGTGCACCAATGTGCTCACCTTTCTTTGCTATATCTTGTAACCTTGCTGTAGTGAACCTCACCTTCCTGTTTCTCTCGCTCACGCTACCCCAAACCCTAAGGCTACTATTCTGACATGGTACAGAGCTGGTTCTTTCCCGGAACCTTCTCTTTTTTTTTTTTAAGAATCATGGGCCCGCCCGTACTACAGCGCGAAATGCGCTATTTTTTTTTCTCCCCGTTCGCCCGTCACGCGCGCCCTGCCCGTCCCCCCGAACGTGCCACGTCGGCTGCCTCGCGGACGCCCCGTCGGCTGCCCCGCGGACGCCCTGCCCGTCGCCCGCTGCCCCCCCGTTTCGTCGCCACGCGGCCCCCATTTCGTCGCCACGCGGCCCCCGTTTCGTCGCCCCCGTCACCCCGCAATCCGCCAGCGCGGAGGCCAGCGCCGCGGCCAGCCGCCAGCGCCAGCAGCAGCTACCGCCGCCCCACCCCCCCCGCCCTCTCTTCCGCGGCTTCCGTCGTGGGGAAGGGGGAGGGAGGGGGAAGGGGTTGTGGGGAGGGGGGGCGGGTGTGAGGAGCCTGCCACTCCTCCCTCCCTTCCCTCTTCCTCTCTCCCTGCAGCAACTGTTGCTGTAGGGGGGGGGGGGGAGAGAAGTGCAGAAGGGTGAGGGGGTGGCGGGAGAAGACAGGTGCGGAAGGTGTGAGGTTGACGGGGTTGAGTGACGAGGGGGGTGAGGACTAAGGGGTTCTTAACGGGGGGGGATCGCATTGAGCGTGCGCGCTCATGCCCGCCTAGCCCACCTCCTCTCCTCATCGGGACTTGGGGGTTCTTAACGGGGGGGGATCGCTATGAGCTTTCGCGCTCAAGCCCGCCTAGCCCACCTCCTCTCCCTTCCCTCTCTCACCTCCCCTTTGTAAAAGGAGGTTCGTAAGCGGGTCCGCCGGTCCTGGCCCCCCACCTCCTCTCCTCTCCTCTCCTCTCCTCTTCTCTCCTCTCCTCCTTCCTAACCTCTCTACCCTCTTCCGCTGCGCCACGTGTACCTGTACTAGTTATCACGGCAAGCAGGTTAAGGGGGTGTGTTAAGTTTTGTTATATACCCTGCTTGCTGTGTGTTCTAGTGTAGCTACAGTGGTGGTGCACCAATGTGCTCACCTTTCTTTGCTATATCTTGTAACCTTGCTGTAGTGAACCTCACCTTCCTGTTTCTCTCGCTCACGCTACCCCAAACCCTAAGGCTACTATTCTGACATCCCCTTGCCACCCTTCCCACTCTTTGAGCCTGTATTGCTACCTGCAAGCTGAGGAGTAGCGGTCCCGCCAGCACCCCCCTGCTCCCCGCCATCACCCCCCTGCTCCCCGCCAGCACCCCCCTGCTCCACGCCAGCACCCCCCTGCTCCCCGCCAGCACCCCCCTGCTCCCCGCCCGAACCCCCCTGCTCTCCGCCAGGACCCCCCTGCTCTCCGCCAGGACCCCCCTGCTCCCCGCCAGGTCCACCCTTTCCGCCGGATCCGCCCTTTCCGCCAGATCCGCCCTTTCCGCCGGATCCGCCCTTTCCGCCGGATCCGCCCTTTCCGCCGGATCCGCCCTTTCCGCCGGATCCGCCCTTTCCGCCGGATCCGCCCTTTCCGCCGGATCCGCCCTTTCCGCCGGATCCGCCCTTTCCGCCGGATCCGCCCTTTCCGCCGGATCCGCCCTTTCCGCCGGATCCGCCCTTTCCGCCGGATCCGCCCTTTCCGCCGGATCCGCCCTTTCCGCCGGATCCGCCCTTTCCGACGGATCCGCCCTTTCCGACGGATCCGCCCTTTCCGACGGATCCGCCCTTTCCGACGGATCCGCCCTTTCCGACGGATCCGCCCTTCCCGCCGGATCCGCCCTTCCCGCCGGATCCGCCCTTCCCGCCGGATCCGCCCTTCCCGCCGGATCCGCCCTTCCCGCCAGATCCGCCCTTCCCGCCAGGTCCGCCCTTCCCGCCAGATCCGCCCTTCCCGCCAGATCCGCCCTTCCCGCCGGATCCGCCCTTCCCGCCGGATCCACCCTTCCCTCCCTTACCGCCCACGGCCTCCTGATCCCCGCCAGGCCCGCCTTCCTCTCCGCCAGGCCCGCCTTCCTCTCCGCCGAGCCCGCCTTCCTCTCCGCCGAGTCCGCCTTCCTCTCCGCCGAGTCCGCCTTCCTCTCCGCCGAGTCCGCCTTCCTCTCCGCCGAGTCCGCCTTCCTCTCCGCCGAGTCCGCCTTCCTCTCCGCCGAGTCCGCCTTCCTCTCCGCCGAAACCCCCCTTCTCCCCGCCAGGACCCCCCTTCTCCCCGCCGGGTCCGCCCTTCCCGCCGGGTCCACCCTTCCCGCCGGATCCGCCCTTCCCGCCGGATCCGCCCTTCCCGCCGGATCCGCCCTTCCCGCCGGATCCGCTCTTCCCGCCGGATCCACCCTTCCCTCCCTTGCCTCCCTTACCGCCCACGCCCCCCTGGTCCCCGCCAGGCCCGCCTTCCACTCCGCCAGGCCCGCCTTCCACTCCGCCAGGCCCGCCTTCCTCTCCGCCAGGTTCACCTTCCTCTCCGCCAGGCCCGCCTTCCTCCCCGCCAGGTGCCCCCTTCTTTCCACCAGGTGCACCCTGCTTTCCGCCGGTTCCGCCCTGCTTCCCGCCAGGACCGCCCTGCTTCCCGCCAGGACCGCCCTGCTTCCCGCCAGGACCGCCCTGCTTCCCGCCAGGACCGCCCTGCTTCCCGCCAGGACCGCCCTGCTTCCCGCCAGGACCGCCCTGCTTCCCGCCAGGACCGCCCTGCTTCCCGCCAGGACCGCCTTGTTCCCCGCCAGGACCGCCTTGTTCCCCGCCAGGACCGCCTTGCTCCCCGCCAGGACCGCCCTGCTCTCCGCCAGGACCACCCTGCTCTCCGCCAGGACCGCCATCGCCGCCGCCCAAGTCTCCGCCTCCGCCGCCGCCCAAGTCTCCGCCATCGACGCCGCCCAAGTCTCCGCCATCGCCGCCGCCCAAGTCTCCGCCATCGCCGCCGCCCAAGTCTCCGCCTTCGCCGCCGCCCAAGTCTCCGCCTTCGCCGCCGCCCAAGTCTCCGCCTTCGCCGCCGCCCAAGTCTCCGCCTTCGCCGCCGCCCAAGTCTCCGCCTGCGCCGCCGCCCAAGTCTCCGCCATCGCCGCCGCCCAAGTCTCCACCATCGCCGCCGCCCAAGTCTCCGCCATCGCCGCCGCCCAAGTCTCCGCCATCGCCGCCGCCCAAATCTCCGCCATCGCCGCCGCCCAAATCTCCGCCATCGCCGCCGCCCAAATCTCCGCCAATGCCGCCGCCCAAATCTCCGCCAATGCCGCCGCCCAAATCTCCGCCAATGCCGCCGCCCAAATCTCCGCCAATGTCGCCGCCCAAATCTCCGCCACTGCTGCCGCCCGAATCGGCAGCTAGCAAAACTGGTTTGGCTGTTGCCAGGGCTCTAAGAGCAAGACTGCGGCGCGGAGCGAGGGACCTCGCGGATCCTGCGCCGACGGACAAGACACGTTTATATATCGTAAATGTCGATTTAGATAGGATGCACGATAAGGGTGCAAGTTCAAATGGAATTGAAAAAACAAATCGGCATCATAGAAAATGGAGGAAAGACGAAATGGAAATGACTCTGATTATAGAGGACAGAAAAGTGTGCATCACAGTGGGACACTCACCCGGCGCTACAAACGCCGACGCCGCTAAAAGCGCGAGCAGAAGAAGAGCCAACGCCGTGCCTCGCATTTTGCAGCCCATCGTGCAGGAACGATTCTCTCCGCTTCGGAGCACTTACTAGGCGGGGACGAACTCAAAAATTGTAAAAATGTGCGAGCGGCAAGAGCTCAAATTGCGAGAAGCTCGAGCGAGAGTACCGAGGAGGATGCTGATGTGAATGACGGGTGCATGTTTTTATGTTGGTGGTGGGGAGGGGACGCGTCTCGAAAGCGATTTCGCCTTGGGGGTGTGAAAGAACTGGATTAGTTTTGGCGGGACAATCTATTTCCCGCCAGGTCAAATCCGCGACTTGCGCCTCTAGCTCAGGTCGCGCAGCCGCAATTCACGACATGGAGATAAAACAATGTCTATTCGCGAGGTGTTACAATCCCAACCTGCGACGCCAAAATGTCTCACAAATGAGCTTCCGTCCCCACTGTTCCGCTGTGCTGCTTGGTCACGCCACGGGGCTCTATAGAACCTGCGCTATCGTTGAAGCCCGTTGACCGCTTCACTCGTTGGAATTTGGGCACTGGGAAAGCGGTTGACGCGGCAGGCCCGCGAAATGCGCAAGTGCCACAGCATGGCCTGAACGTGAAACGCGTATAACCAATCTATAAACCTGCACCTAAAAGAATCAACCGATACACCTGAAGCTCTTAACACCTCGAATGATATGCAGCTCTTACATTTTTTGATTTGACAATGTCATCTTTATGAAGAGTAACAGCCTGAACCTACTACGCTCAGATGAATCTCAACGGGCCTTCCAATTGTTACGCAAAACCTGCGATGTCGGTTACGGGTAGCAACGATGAGGCAGCCCGCGAAACGTGCGATTGCACACAAGCCAATTAGGGCGCGTGTCCTTTTGTGTTAGAATACTAAGTCAACTAGGACTTATGTTTTAGGAAGCTAGCGTGACATGAGGGAAGGATTTGGCCAAAAAGAGAGGATTAACTTTAGGTTTTGGAGTACAAATAGGGAAGAAGCAAAGCGTGCACCACCAACAGTTTATTATAATAACTACACTAAACTATAGCAAGTAGGACATAGCATAAACATAACTTTGACACACCCCCTTATCCTGCTTGCGGTTGGAACCAGTGCAGTCAATACCCCCTGAAGGGGTGAACAAGCTTCAGCAAAAGACGGCAGGGTGCGGTAGGTGAGGGAAACGAGGCAAGAGAAGGAGAGGAGAGGAGAGGATGTCAAGAACTGTATGTGTGTTCAATAAGATTGGTTGGGGTACATAATCATAACCCTAACAACTGTCCCCCACATGGCATGCCTCACTACACTAAGACTACAACATTTGACACACCCCCATAGCCTAAGCGAGGGATGCCATGCAACAACCAAACAGTACGGTCACAAGACCAGTCTCAAAGAAGCAAAGCTCAGGGTGGATCACAACGTCACCACACACTCTAAGCACAAGCAAAAAAGCCATAAGGCTAGTTCAAGAGTTCACAAAGGTATATGCAAAGCGTACAAACAAAGCAAGTAGAGAACACAAGACTACGCAAGACGAGAACCTGTGTCAACAAGACCTAACTGCACACAACACCTCTGGTGGTCACAAGGCGGAAGAGCCTTGGTGAAGATGTCTGCAGTGTTGGCCTCGGACTCCACAAACTCGAAGCGAGCCTGTCCACGTCTCTGCAACTCTCGCAGAAGAAAGTACCTGACGTTAATGTGCTTCACTCTGCTCTCCAGTCACGGCTTACGACAGAGGAGAATCGACGCCTTGTTGTCAGTGAACAAGGTCGGTGCAAAGCTCGGCCGCTCATAAAGGTCAGTGAGCAAGAACGTCAACCAGCGCAGCTCCTATGCAACCATGGCTCCAGCGTAGATCTCAAATTCGCAGTAGAGGTCGAGATCGAGGAGGAATGGGTGGACCTCCACGAAACAGCTCCAGAGCCTAGGCTGAAACAGTACCTCTGAGTAGACCTGTGAGTCTCAGCGTCGTCAGCGTAAGAAGAGTCACAGTGACCAGTAAGTACAACAGACTGTCTCCCTCCAAGAACCAGCCCCATGCCTGATGTCGTCGCTAGGTACTTCGCCACCCTCACAGCTGCTGTCCAGTGAACAAGACGGTGTCTCCCTGGCGCAACAAAGCGAGCAAGGATGCTAAGAGGGAAGGCGAGGTCCGGACTTTTACAGTTCAGACTTCACGTCAGCCAAAGCAACCCTGTCAGCAGTGGCGAAAACCAGGTCGTCGACGTCGACCTAGACCAGTACGTAACGTCGGGGTCCGGCCAGGGATCCGGCCAAGGGTCCGGCCAGGGGGTCAGGCCAGGGGTCCAGCCAGGGGTCTGGCCAGGGGTTCCTGGCTCCGAGGCCAGGGGTTTCAAGATGGAAGGGGAGCTGCTGGGCCCGGGCATGATATATGATGTGCGGAAGGGCAGGTGGGAAGAGCCTACAGCGAATGAGCGGGAAGCGGCAATGGGGCATCTCTAGGGTGCTACGGCGCACCCCGAAGTCACGGAGCGGCAGAGGAGGGCGGCCTTGGGCAGAGCCATGGACGCAAACGTGATGACATGGCTGTTCGAAACCATTCGCATTCAGCTCAAGGAGAGGGAGCTGCATAGGGACATAGTGCTCAGCGAGAGAATCTCAGAATGCCATACCGTAGCCGAACACCAGAGGGTGCTTGAGGAAATGAGGGAAAGGTACGAGGAGAGAGTGGAGGAGGGATACACCTATCTGGAGATGCAGGAAGATGGAAAGGCAAGGGAGGAGGAGGAGAGGCCCGAGCCTGAGGGGAAGAAAGGGGAGGCTGAAAGGAGGCCCGAGGACGAACGGTCGCTGGGAGAAGGTTTAACCGGGACCGCTGCAGCCGCGATGCAACGAGTGCTACGGCAACATCGAAGGGCCTTTGCTTACACTTTACAAGAGTTGGGAAAGTGCAAGACGCAAGAGATGCGAATCGAGCTCACGACTGAGATGCCCATATACCAGAGGAAGCGGCGCATGAGTCCAGGGGACGTGGATATCTGCATGGAGAAGTACACGGAGCTGATGGCTGCCGGGCTCATCCAACGGTCGGAGAGCGACTATGCCGCTGCGACCGTGGTAGCATCGCGAAAAGACCTTACGGGGGAAGTGTCCGCTAGGAGGATGTGCGGGGATTACCGCGGGTTAAACAAGGTGACAGTGGCGACCGGTACCCCATGCAATCAGCAGAAGAGATCTTCGACAAGTTGCATTGAGTGAACGTGTTTTCAACGCTAGATCTGCGGCAAGGCTTCAACCAGATCCCCATTCGACTGCCGGACCGGAAGAAGACGGCCTTCCATGGTCCGGATGGACTGTACGAGCGGAAGTTCATGCCGTTCGGCTTGAAGAATGCGCCCGCGTTGTTCCAGCGAACGATGGACGCGATGCTGAGGGGAGTCCCAGCGGCGGCCTGCTACATAGATGATGTCATCGTTTTTAGTCCGAATGCGGAACAACACGTGAGGGATGTGCAAGCGACGCTGCAGGCGATCTAAGAAGCCAGGTTGACGTGCCACTTGAAGAATTGCAGCTTCGGCAACACGGCAGTGACGTACCAGGGTTTCCAGGTGCAAGGGGGAACGCTGGGAATCCAACAGGCGAAGGTGGAGGTGCTGGATCGGGTCCCAGCTCCTAAGGACCGAAGCACGCTCCGAGCCGTGCTGGGGTTCTTGAACTATTATAGGAAATTCGTGCCTAACTTCAGCAAGACAGCCGCCACCTTGAACCGCCTGCTGAGGGAAGACCAGGAGTGGCAGTGGGGAGAAGCAGAGCAGCAGGCACTCAAGGAGCTATTGGGGGCAGTGAAGACTGCCACCGTCCTGATGCTGTGGAACAAGGAGGACCCCTTTACGCTGTATACGGACTGGAGCAGCGCTGGGATGGGGCCAATCCTGTGTCAGAAGACAGAAGGAGAGGAAAGGGTGGTGGCGTTCGCCAGTAGGAGCTGCAACCCAGCCGAGGCGAACTTTAGTTCATACGAAGGGGAGGGGCTGGCGGCGGTGTGGGCCATAATCCACTTTAGGGTGTACTTGCAGGGAAGACCCTCCGAGCTGGTGACGGATCATCAACCCCTCACCTTGCTGATGACGAATCAGACGTTGACAGGAAGGAATGTACGGTGGGCAATGAGGCTACAGGAGTATGAGTTCACAATCAGGCACAGAGCGGGGAGAACCATGCAGCACGTAGACGGACTCTCAAGGAACCCACCACCGGAGCGGCCTTTGGCGTGCCTAGTGGCGTTGGCAAAAGGGATAGACGGGGAAGGAGCCCGACAGTCCAAGAAAGGGGGGCCAGAGGACGTTTTGGAGGATCAGGAGGTGTTAGACTGGGTGAAAGGAAAGACGGCGGAGACCGCACAAGTGAGCGAGCGAGCTAGGGCTAGAGGGGTGCATTACCGCTGGCACCAAGGACAGCTACAATAGAACACCAATAGCGGATGGAAGCTGGTGCCCAGAAAAGGGGAGAGAGAGCAGATCATCCGGCAGGTGCATATGCAGCTGGGACACTACGGAAGCCTGAGGACCGCGCAACTCGTCGAGACAGGGTGGTGGTGGGCTGGTATGAGGAGAGATATCCGGGATTGGGTGGAGTCATGTGAATTATGTAGCAGGAACAAGGCCGAGCTGGACAAGGGTAGGGCAATCCTGGCCTATCATAGGCATTGGGTTCCGGTGGTCTCTGGATTTGGCGGGGGAGATGCCGCTGAGCAGGAGGGGTAAGCGGTACATACTCATTATGATAGAGCATGGAAGCAAGTGGGTTGAGGTGAAGGCATTACCCGGCAAGAACTCAGCCAAGATAGCGGAGGCGTTCGAGGAGCAGGTGTTGACCTGGTTCGGGGCGTACGGAGAAGTACTGATAGATCAGGGAACGGAATTCATGGGGGAATTTGATAAACTGCTGAAAGCGACGGGCATCACACACAGGCGGACTTCCAAACATCACCCGTAGAGTGACGGCCTGATAGAGCGATTCGTCCAAACGCTAAAATGGGGCCTGCGCGCTTACGGAGAGAGGTACAAGAGAAACTGGGATGCACGGCTACCCTGGGTGGCAGCAGGCTACCGGTTCAGCAAGCAAGCCACGCTCAAGGATTTGTCGCCCTATTACCTACTCCTAGGGAGAGAGCCCATTTTGCCAGTAGATGCACCAAAGATGCTCACCGGCACGGTCAGAGTGGAGGAGGAGGAGGATTGGGTGGAGCTGGCGGAGGCCAGAGCGAAGTACCTCTGGGAGCTACTGCCAGCAACCCTTGAGAACCTGCATGTGGCCCAGCTGCGTGATGCCCAGAGGTACAAGAAGCGGAGAGAAGCAGCAGGAGGCAGGAGGGACGATGCGTTGATGGCTGGAGAGGAGGTATACCTTAAGCAGGCGAAGGGGGACATGATGGATATCGGTCTCAGCGTCGAGAGGTGAAAGGTGAAAGAGGCGAAGGAGTCTGGGGTGGTGGTATTGACAAGAGAAGGAAGACAGGAGCGGACAGACCACCGCTCTAACCTGGCCAGAGCCAGGCCTAGCAGACAGAGGGAAGGAGAAGGGGGAGAAGGGTGCGGGGACAAAAAGCCGCAGCTAGCAGCTGAAGGAGTCCATCGAGCGCATGGCCCGAGGAGGGGGCAAGTGAATGAGGCTGCTAGGATTAAGGGGAAGGTGAACAAGGAACTAAGGGCATTGGCTGAGAAGGGGTGAGCCGCTGTGGCAGGCAAGAGGATAGAGGTCCAACGCAGGGAAGAAGATGTGCAGAGTTCCGACAGATCGAAGGACAAATGTACAGTGTGGATGCCGAATGTGCATGTGGCATGTCCGCTCGGGACTGGACGCGGAGTGTATTGATGCACGGATAGGATGGAGTCGCCAGTGGTTCGCAGTTGAACTCCTAATGGTTCGCGAGAGTGTTACATTCTGTACAAAATGGCGATCGAAGGACAAATGTACAGTGTGGATGTAGAATGTGCGCGTGGCGTGGCCGCTCGGTACTGGACACGGAGTGTATTGTTGGCACAGATAGGATGGAGTCGCCATTGGGTCGCACTTGTACTCCTATGGGTTAGCGAGAGTGTTTGCGACGTGTACGAAACGGAGGAAATGTGACAGATGTACAGTGAGGATGCAAGCTTGTCGCATGTGCAGAAGCTAGATGCACCAAGCACGGGGTGCAACGTGGTGACATGTGGGTGGTTAATGTAATGATGGTTAGAGCGTTGCGATTGGATGGGGTGCAGATGACGTGGCAGGTTCATACAGGGTGTATGGTTTGGAGATGGACGGCGGAGATGCGCATGCGGTGTATCAGTGAGTTTGGGCCAGAAGGTGATTACGAAGAAGTAACATTATGTGCGATTCGTTGCTTGTGAGACACGTGAAGCGCGGAGGTTGCATGCCCACATATGGATCCGAAGGTTGAGAGGCGGGTTCATTGTGATACATGTACGCTTACGTGGATGTGAGGGATGATACTGGATGTCAGGTGGATGTGTGCGTACGGAATGGCAGTTGTGGTTCCTGGTTTGTCACTTTTCAGTTGGATAGCGTGGATACTGTGGTGAAACTTTAGGTGATGCTGCCCGTTGCTGGAAATTTATCTCTAAATTGCGGGTGTGGTATCTGATTTGAAGCTCGTTTTTGTACAGGAAGCATCGGTAAAGTGACTTGAAAGTTGCATCGCAAGAAACGTTCGGTACACCGATTTGGAACCTAGATTTATTTTTTATCGGGAGAAAATTATCTAGAAAGTTGCGAAAGAGTATCTTTTACGTTGGTTTTCGAACTTGCCTTTTTCGCGATGTAGTAGGTGGGGAAACGTGGGGAAACAGAGGGGGAAATCCTGGGAAATGAGGAGAAGCAGCGGAGAGAAAAGAGGAGAAGCAGGGAAGGGAAATGAGGAGAACCAGCGGAGGGAAATGAGGGGAAGCAGCTGAGGGAAATGAGGGGAAGGAGCGGAGGAAATGAGGGGAAGGAGGGGGGGAAATGAGGGGAAGCAGCAGAGGGAAATGAGGGGAAGGAGGGGGGGAAATGAGGGGAAGCAGCGGAGGGAAGTGAGGGGAAGCAGGAGGGTACAAACAGGAAAATAGGGAGGGAAATGAGGTGAAGCAGGAAGGGTAAATGAGGGGAAGCAGCGAGGTAAATGAGGGGAAGGAGGGAAAACGAGGGAAATCAAAGGGGGGAATGAGGGGAAGCAAAGGGGGGAATGAGGGGAAACAGAGGGGGAAATGAGGAGAAGCAGTAAGGGAAATGAGGGGAGGCAGGGAGAGAAATGAGGGGAAGGAGGGGGGGAAATGAGGGGAAGGAGGGGAGGAAATGAGAGAGAACGAGGAGAGCAGAGGGGAAACGAGGGGAAGCAAAGGGGGAAATGAAAGGAAGCAGAGGGGGAAATGAGGGGAAGCAGGAGTTTAAAAACAGGGGAATTGTCAAGAAAAGAATGATGTCTGACTAAGGTTGGTTGGAGTACATCAACCTAACCCTAACTGCTGTACCCCACATGACATGCCTCACTACAGGCTACAACATTTGACAGTAATCAGTGGGGGGGATTAGGGGAAGCAGGGGGGAAACAAGGGGAAGCAGAGGGGAAAGCGAGAGGAAGCAGTGTAGTAAATGAGGGGAAGGTGGGAGAAGGACAGCGGGAATGGAGGCGCGCGGAGGTGCAGCGCGACGAGGGTGCTAGCGCGCTGATGGCGAGGGGGGCGCGGCGAGGCGAGCGGAGGCGCGACGAGAAACGAAGGGAGGCGCGATGACAGGGAGACGCGGCGATGGGAGGCGCGACGATGGGAGGTGAGGCACGAGAGGATGCGCGACGAAAGGATGGGTGGCGCGACGGGGGGTGGCGCGACGATGGGCGGGGGAACGCGGAAATGGGAAGCGCGGTGAAGGGAGGAGCTAGATGAGTGAAGGGAAGGAGTTTTCTTGTTGATTATTACCAACTCAAGGATAGTTGGGTTGGGCTTCACATTTGGTGGTTGTTCTAGCTCAGTTGGGTTGGAGCGTGCGCCAACCGATGTTGAGTGACGACTGCACAATCTCCTCGTTGCATGATCTCGCTTTCGCCCCGCCCATATTTCCGAAATGAACCTTTTTTGCTTTTTGCGAACACGTTTAAAGCCCTTCAGAACTTTTGGCAAAAACTTTGATGACCTCGGGTTTTTCACCCCGCCCATATTCACGAAATGATTTTTTTTGCCTTTCGCCAACACAATTAAAGCCTTTATTTTGGAACAACTTTAAAACTCAAGGCCCAAATTGCAGAACCGCGAGGGGCAAGATTAGTAATCTTGATGAAGGGGGTTAGGAAACTTGCTCGGTTGCAACTTGGGACTTGGGCAACCAAACCCGAGGTCCCCCCCCTTGATAAGTGTAGCGAGGTGTTGTGCGAAACTGTAACAGCCGTCGCTCACAACACCTCCCGTCAACTTCTCTGAGCACCTCCCCCAGAGCCCAGTGGTCAACCTTAGTAAGGTTGAACAATTTGGGCCTTGAGCTTTAATTCGGGTGTCGATGAAGTGAAGTTCGAGTGCAAACGGTACAAGTGCATAACTCGTTGGAAATGATACGCAAATCACTAACTACTAAGTTCTAAACAATAAATACAATAACTTTTACAACATTTAGGACATTCTAGGAATACAACAAATTCAGTCAAGGGCACATGCCGAAAGGGCATCTAACAGAAACTCAGGCGGGAGCCGAAAGCCCTTTCACTTCTTTCCTCCCTTGCCACCCTTCCCCCTTTTCCACACTTGCCGCCCTTCCCCCCCTTCCCCCCCTTGCCACCCTTCCCACTCTTTGAGCCTGTATTGCTACCTGCAAGCTGAGGAGTAGCGGTCCCGCCAGATCCACCCTGCTCCGCCCCAGCACCCCCCTGCTCCCCGCCCGCACCCCCCTGCTCCCCGCCCGAATCCCCCTGCTCCCCACCAGGACCCCCCTGTTCACCGTCAAGACCCCCCTGCTCCCCGCCAGGTCCACCCTTTCCGCCATATCCGCCCTTCCCGCCAGGTCCGCCCTTCCCGCCGGATCCGCCCTTCCCGCCGGATCCGCCCTTCCCGCCGGATCCGCCCTTCCCACCGGATCCGCCCTTTCCGCCGGATCCGCCGGATCCGCCCTTCCCACCGGATCCGCCCTTTCCGCCGGGTCCGCCCTTCCCGCCGGGTCCGCCCTTCCCGCCGGATCCGCCCTTCCCACTGGATCCGCCCTTCCCTCCCTTGCCACCCTTACCGCCCACGCCCCCCTGGTCCCCGCCAGGCCCGCCTTCCTCTCCGCCAGGCCCGCCTTCCTCTCCGCCAGGCCCGCCTTCCTCTCCGCCAGGCCCGCCTTCCTCCCCGCCAGGCCCGCCTTCCTCCCCGCCGAACCCGCCTTCCTCTCCGCCAAGCCCGCCTTCCTCTCCGCCAAGCCCGCCTTCCTCTCCGCCGAGCCCGCCTTCCTCTCCGTCGAGCTCGCCTTCCACTCCGCCGAGCCCGCCTTCCTCTCCGCCGCCAGGTGCCCCCTTCTTTCCACCAGGTGCACCCTGCTTTCCGCCAGTTCCGCCCTGCTTCCCGCCAGGACCGCCCTGCTTCCCGCCAGGACCGCCCTGCTTCCCGCCAGGACCGCCCTGCTTGCCGCCAGGACCGCCCTTCTTGCCGCCAGGACCGCCCTGCTCCCCGCCAGGACCGCCCTGCTCCCCGCCAGGACTGCCCTGCTCTCCGCCAGGACCGCCCTGCTCCCCGCCAGGACCGCCCTGCTCCCCGCCAGGACCGCCCTGCTCCCCGCCAGGACCGCCCTGCTCCCCGCCAGGACCGCCCTGCTCCCCGCCAGGACCGCCCTGCTCCCCGCCAGGACCGCCCTGCTCCCCGCCAGGACCGCCCTGCTCCCTGCCAGGACCGCCTTGCTCCCCGCCAGGTCCGCCTTCGCCGCCGCCCAAGTCTCCGCCATCGCCGCCGCCCAAGTCTCCGCCATCGCCGCCGCCCAAGTCTCCGCCTTCGCCGCCGCCCAAGTCTCCGCCTTCGCCGCCTCCCAAGTCTCCGCCTTCGCCGCCTCCCAAGTCTCCGCCTTCGCCGCCTCCCAAGCCTCCGCCTTCGCCGCCTCCCAAGCCTCCGCCTTCGCCGCCACCCAAGCCTCCGCCTTCGCCGCCGCCCAAGCCTCCGCCATCGCCGCCGCCCAAATCTCCGCCATCGCCGCTGCCCAAATCTCCGCCAATGTCGCCGCCCAAATCTCCGCCAATGTCGCCGCCCAAATCTCCGCCAATGTCGCCGCCCAAATCAATCTCATTGCCGTCGCCCGAATCAACTGTTAGCAAAACTGGTTTGGCTGTTGCCAGGGCTCTAAGAGCAAGACTGCGGCGCGGAGCGAAGGACCTCGCGGATCCTGCGCCGATGGTCAAGACACGTTTATATATCGTAAATGTCGATTTATATAGAATGCACGATAAGGGTGCAAGTTATGATGGATTTGAAGGAACAAATCAGCATCATAGAAAATGGAGGAAAAACGAAATGGAAATGACTGCGATTAGAGGATAGAAAAGTGTGCCACAAAGTGGGACACTCACCTGGCGTTACAAACGCCGCCGCTAAAAGCGCGAGCAGAAGAAGAGCCAACGCCGTGACTCGCATTTTGCAGCCCATCGTGCAGGAACGATTCCCTCCGCTTCGAGCACTTGTTAGGCGGGGACGAACTCAAAAGAAGTAAAATTATGCGAGTGTGCAAGAGCTCGAATTGCGAAAAGCTTGAGTGAGAGTACTGAGGAGGATGCTAATGTGAGCGACGGGTGCATGTTTTTATAATGTTGGTGGTGGGGAGGGGACGGGTCTCGAAAGCCTTTCGGCGGGACAATCTATTTCCCGCCAGGTCAAATCCGCGACTTGCGCCTCAAGCTCAGGTCGCGCAGCCGCAATTCACGACATGGAGATTAGGCCCTGTTCGATAGCAATTCGGCAAAAAGCCCCCCACCATTGTCCAAGCACAACGGTGGGAGCATAAAGACAAACGGTGCTCGTTCGGCACCGCCGGCAGCGTAATGATTGAAGCCGACTGCCTGCCGGCTTCTTTCTGCAGGTCTAACGGCCGAGGTGTTCGGAAACACCACATCAACGGCCAATTGGTGTGGAAACATTCTGTGTTTTTTTTCTGACCCGGGCCCTGGCGGAACCATGGTCAGCGTCAGAAAAAGTATCGCCATCAAAATATTCAATCTGAAAAATATATAGTGTTTTACAGAGCGGTTCCAAAACGAGTGAGCTGTGTCCCAAGGAGTGGGCATGCCACTGGTTTAGACTGTTATTTTACCTAACATATCCCTCAATACCCCAACCGACAGAAACCGTTGCTCCTTCACCGAAAAGTAGAAATGGCATTGGTGTGGTAACAGAGCGGCGTTTTGCCCGAGAGGAGCTGTGACGAGGATGTAATCATTGGGCGAGAGTCACTGTTAGGGCGCGCTTCGGCGTCTGGAACCATTGTTGAACTTCCCGCCTTGTTTTCCCGCGAAGGCGGGAAATCCGAGACATCGCAGTGGGATCGTTCGCGCTAGCGGGAACTCGGACTCGTCGCAAGGAGTGCCACGTAGATTCCCGCCCAATTCTCCCCACCGTTTCCAAGTTTCCTTCTTCTCGTTCACCCCGCTATCAAATAGGGCCAAAACAATGTCCTTTGGCGAGGTGTTACAATCCCGACCTGCGAGGGAATTGATCAGACTGGGGCCCCGGGTTAGCAGAAACAGTGCCAACTTGGGGCCTCGTGAGTCGCGACCCTACGAAATAGGCCCGAAGCAAATCACAAGACTGGGCAGCAGGTCCGAACCTGGCAAACTCGCCAGGTCACCACCTACTGCCTTGGGTTTGACGGAAATCGCTAGCACCCCACACCGATGGAAGCACAACAATCCGTCGAACCAAAACAGTCTGATCGAGATACAGCACAAGCAGCATGTAACAAACAACTCGGAATTATTACGGAAACATAAGACTGCCAGAACACAAAGAGCTGAAACATGAAAATTAATAAAATGAGTGGGCACAAAATGGGGAGGTTCATGACCTTTTTCTGTTAGAGAAATTTCAACCAACCTACCCACATTCTTTCAGAATATGTATACATACATATATGATTTACATGCAAGTGCTTCCCTTGTAAAATCTTCGATGAAAAATCTTCTACCGTATTCCCCCGGATATACCACCCTAGGGTGCTATGATAACTACACAAAAAAAGGGGGGGGGGGGGGGGGGGTCTTGTCATCGGAAAAAGCTACATTGCACCCGGGTCTTTACATAATGTGTATTTTTTTTATAGCGTAAAACGATTAGTACTAAATGTACATCTGTGCCGTCGTGGTAGATTGCTAGTTGAGTGCGCAAAACCGAGAACTGGACGATAACGTTTTGCGCGAGGGTTAGCTGCCACATTGCAAGCTCCAACAAGGCCCACTGTCAGGCCCTGATTGGACGAAATCACACCCCCTCGTCGCACGACGAGGATTCATGCAGGTGACAATGGCGGAGTCCCCGCAACAGCCTCGGTTGCCTCGCTGGGCGGGCACGTCATTGAACTGTGAAGGAGTTGATCCTTCTTTCTGTGCAGCGGCTCCATTCCACGAACTCGAGCAATGCTCGGCAGAGTGTCCTACCACCATGCTGGATTCCTACCGCGGGCATTTGACCGAAGCCGTGGGTCAAACCATGCGCCTGTCGAATGTAGGAAAGACTGTGTGATAGGAGTGTTAGCGCTGTATTGCGTCATATGTAGCTTGTTTCTGCTAATGTTAACTTGTAGATGGATTATCATTGGAAACCCTGTGCTACTTAGGCAAAAACTGCAATTATACCCGTACATAACACCCCCCCCCGGGTGCTATATAGGATGCCCCCAAAAGGGGGGGTATAGTAGAAACGAGGCCCGCTATAGCACCCCCCCCGCACAAGCCACCCGGGGGGTGCTCTATTTCGGGGGGTGGTATGTTCGGGGGAATACGGTATCCTCCTTGCTTTTTTTTTTTTAAATGTATATCTAGATAAATATGTGTGTATCTCTCTCTCTCTCTCTCTCTCTCTCTCTCTCTCTCTCTCTCTCTCTCTCTCTCTCTCTCTCGCTCTATCTCTCTCTCTCCCCCCCTCGCTCTCTCTCTCTGTATATGTATTTGTATATCTAGATAAATATGTGTGTATAAATATGTATCCCTCTCTCTCTCTCTCTCTCTCTCTCTTTCTCTCTCTCTCTCTCTCTCTCTCTCTCTCTCTCTCTCTCTCTCTCTCTTGTCAGAATCCCAGCCACTAACCACTGGGATAAAAGGGCTTGATAAAAGGGCGGGTGAGTGCGCCCATAACCCCCCAGGCCGACATGCCTTGTAACCCTTCCCTAGGATCATCGGGGATCTCCAGTGGACCTCTGACACCCCCCCGCACTGGGATGCCCGAAGTGCACACACCGGGAATCGAACCCGAGACCTTCGCTCTGATACCATGTCAGAATCCCAGCCACTAACCACTGGGATAAAAGGGCTTGTTTATGTAGCGGGTGAGTGCACCCATAACCCCCCAGGCCAACATGCCTGTAACCCTTCCCTAGGATCAATCGGGGATCACTAGTGGACCTCTGACACCCCCCCGCACTAGGATGCCCGAAGTGCACATCTCTCTCTCTCTCTCTCTCTCTCTCTCTCTCTCTCTCTCTCTCTCTCTCTCTCTCTCTCTCTCTCTCTCTCTCTCTCTCTCTCTCTCTCTCTCTCCAGTGGGACGGACACGAGGAGAATGACAAAGGCAAGGGTGAGATGACTGCTAAAACGGTGGAGCCAGCCTTACCGATTTTTTCGGCCAGCGAGGCTACTGCTGGCCTTGCGGAAACTCCTCAGCAGCAGTAGGGTGGCTGGTCAATGCACAAAAGGTCTATAGGGTTTTTTGTAGAATTAGCCATGAAATTGTCCTAGAACTGTCCTGTACCGTATTCTCCCAGACATAACACCCTAGGGTAGGTTAAAAAATACAGGGAAAAAAAGGGGGGTGTCTTCTCATAGGAAAAAGCTACATAATACCCGGGTCTTATTATAATGAACTTTTTTTTTTAAGCAGAAATGAAAGGAAACAAAAATACTATTCTGTGCTCACTCTTACTTTGTTGAACGAGGGCGCAAAACCGAGTCCTCGATGATAACATCACCCCCCACTGGAATCTGCCACATGGCAAATTCCAGTGGGCCAATTGAGGCAGCTTCGGTGACAGCAATGCGCAGCTTGGGTTCATGCACAGTAGTGCTGTACATGGCCCGAGTCGCGCACGGTGCTGAGAGGTCACTGTACCTGTGACTTCTTGCCATCCATTTGGTCACGTCAAGGCCTCCCCACATGGCCCTCACCTTCCCTTCCGTCAAGCGGCTCCAGTGCACGTCCCATTCAAGAGCTCGGCTGGCTGTGAGAGCGACTCCTTTTGGTGGTCGTTCTTTCAACTTTAAAATCTCGTCCGCCATGGCGAGTGACTTCATCCCCCTAGTAGGCTAGCATGGCGTCGTCTCCAGACTCAAGCAGTACAGTTGAAAGGCGACAGCGCCATTATACCGTTCAGAGCGGCGCTGCTGCACGCTTTAGGACGTCTCCTCGCCCAATCTTGCCCAGCCGGATGCTTCCGGTAGTGCTTCTGCTCGGGATGAACCGAGCACTAGCTCTGACCTTCCTCGCCCTCCTCTTCCTCGTGTGGTTGTCCCCACCTTTCCTGAGCGTAACCGCCCGCAGGGACAGATCAAGCGCAACGCCGATGCTGCCCCGCCAAGCCCCCGCCACCGCATGACGAAACGCCAGCGGAACGCCATCACCGCGAAGGAGAAACTGCACTGGTTGAAGATGCAGGACAATCAGCCCGACCTCTCCAATCGCGCCCTGGCGAAACTCGCGAAGGTGCAGCCCTGCCAGATCCGCGAATGGAAGAAGATGAGGGAGCGGCTGGAGGTCGCTTCCAGCTGCCGCCGCCGTCTCATGGGGCACGGGCGCAAGTCGAAGTACCCATTCATGGAACGCGCGGTCTACCGCCACTTCTTGAAGCACCGGATCTGTTCCATATGTAATTGTTTTGTTGCCGGAGCAGGAGTTACATGTAGTCAATTAAAAATGCCGTACATTATAGTTTTCTCCCCACGGACAAACATCACAAGACAAGCACAAAACCTAAACATGGAAGATTTTCACCACTTCTCGAATGGGAGCTCGGCACACAGGGCAGCCCCAGCCCTTGGATCTAACCTCAGTGAGACACTCTACACACCCCGCCACATGCCCACAAGGCACACACACCGCCTGCGCTGCTGAATCCCAGCAAATCACACACTGACCCTCTCTAGACGCCCCTCCTGCTGCTCCTGGTGCTGGTGGTGCCCCTCCTGTCGCTGCTACTCCTGCCATTGCCCCTGCCCCTGCCTCCGCCCCTGCCTCTGCCCCTGCCTGTGCTGCTGCTCCTGCTTCTTCTCCTGCTCCTGCTCCTGCTCCTGCTCCTGCTCCTACAGCTGCCCCTGCTGCTCCTCGCCTTTGGCTCGCTTGTGCCCTGGCAAGCTCTGCCTGCACCCTCTCAGGGTTGTAGCTCGGATGTAGCTCCGCTACAGATGCCGCTCCTGGTGAAGGAAGCCCAGCAGATCCACCACCCACTGACGGGAAAGACGCACCAGGATAAGCTACAGATGCTGCAGCAGGGGATGGGACGTTAGCAGGTGTATGGGAATGGAAGTTGGGTGGTTGAGCCTGCGGGTGGATGTGAGGGTTTGGGTTTCGTCTGGGGCTGCTGGGAGGGGAGAACTGGATGAGAGGAGGATCGAAGAAGAGAGCACGGTGGCCGGTGGTTCGCTGCCAGGCTGTCGCGGCTGCAGCGGCTGTTGCTGAGGTTAACACCCCTGCCGCTGCTGCGATCGCCTCAGCAGCCACTGCTGCTCTAGCTGGGAAAGCTGGAGCCGCTGCTGCTGCTGCTCCTGCTGCTGCTGGTGCTGCTGCTGGTGGTGGTGGTGGTGCTGTCACGGCTGCTCCTGTCACGGCTGCTCCTGTCACGGCTGCTCCTGTCACGGCTGCTCTCCCTGCTCCCACTGATGCCCCTAATGTGGAAGCAGGACCATCCGCAGGGGGTGCTGATGGTGGGCCGGAAGCAAAGAGCGACGACACGGCTGCTGCTGCTCGGTTGAACGCCGGCGCCACAGAGGAGAATTGATTCGCAATCTCGTCACGCATTCTACCCCCTTCCGCCCCGGCTGCAGCAGTGCCAGCTGAACTGGCTGCGTGGCCAGAAGCAATGCCAGATGAAGGGACAGCAGCAGCAGAGGAAGAGGGGATGCGGGCAGCAGGTGGGGCAAAGGGGGTGGCGGTCAGCAGAGGCTGAAACGGATCTAGATGAGCGATGCGAAGGAGCGAATGCATCAGTGGCAGCAACAGCGGCAGCAGCAGAAGAAGAAGACGAGGAGAGGGAGCGGCCGGATCTGGACTGAGGCTCGGAGGAGGAGCGGGTGAGAATAAGCCCGTCTGCTCCCTCCTCCCCTCTGCTCATGCCCTGGGCGGCAGCATGGGCACTAGAAGCACTAGAAGCACCAGGGGCATCGGCTCGGGCAGAGCTGGCAATGCTGGCAGTGCGCATCGACTCAGAGAGCGCCAGCTGGAACGCCGTGTCCTCGTCCACGTCATCCTGCCACGCGTGCACGTTCACCACGCCCCTGGGTTCCCCTCCGCCCTGCTGGCCCCCTCTCCCTGATCCTGATACCCCCCCTCCTGCTACTGCCGCTCCTGATCCTGCTCCTGCTGCTCCTGATCCCCCCAGCTGCTGCTGCTGCTGCTGCTGCTGATACTGCTGCCATGCCTGCTGCTGCTGCTGTGCCTGCTGCTGGGTGTAATAGGCCGCAGCATATGCATCATAAGCAGCAGCAGCAGCAGGAGTCGCATAAGGGGCAGAAGCAGGAGCGGCAGGAGGGTGGGGGTACATGGAGGGATGCGTCTGTGGTGGGGGGGGATGGTGAGTGGAGGAGGGGGCAATGTGAGACCGAGACGCTGGGAGCTGGGTTGCTGGTGCTTGTGATTGTGATTGTGGGGTGCGGGGAGAGGATGCCACATGCTGAGGTGTCGGACGCTGATTGGCTGACTGAGTGCGAGCCTGTAAGCAGTAGAGAGGGGAGTGAGTGAGAATGGTAGTGTGTGACGATGGGGGTGTGTGTGTGAGGATGGGAGTGTGTGTGTGAGGATGGGAGTGTGTGTGTGAGGATGGGAGTGTGTGTGTGCGGATGGGAGTGTGTGTGTGAGGATGGGAGTGTGTGTGTGAGGATGGGGGTGTGTGTGTCAGGATGGGAGTGTGTGTGTGAGGATGGGAGTGTGTGTGTGAGGATGGGAGTGTGTGTGGGAGTGTGAGAGGATGGAATGTTATTATAGCTAATGCGAGGGCAATTACTCGTAAGACTTGTAGAAGTGAGATTTGAGTCACGTCAAGAATTGGTTACTCGACGAATCAAAGAATCAGTTCAAAGGTGGAAGTGTGAGAGAGGTGAAAGAGCAAGTGCATGGGCACGTGCTTGTGTTACTGCTGTGCATGTGCTAATCCTGTGCACGAATGCACGAGTGCTCCTTTCCTGTCTGAGAGGGGAGAGAAGAGACAACTGTGGCACTCCCCGACAGGCATCGTGCGGGAAGCATCACAGATGAGGAAAGCGTGAGATCAGGAGGGGAGAGTGAGAAGAAGGGAAGCGTGAGAGAGGAGTGAAGAGTGAGAGGGAATATCTGGGAGGGGTCGGATGAACTATTGAGTCTACTCAAAAGCCACTGAAAGAGTGAGAGAAAAGAGAAGGGAGAAGGGAGAGAATTACCCGTGGCGTTCCGCGGCAGGCGTCGTGCAGGCGGAATATCTGAAAGGGGTCGGGCGAGTCCTTGTCACTCACGAACTTCCACTTGCCCTTCTCCGCTGCCATAGAGGGACGCATGGAGGGATGCACACACAGATTCATACATTCAGACACATGCCGACATGCAGACACACATGCAGACATGCAGACACACATGCAGACATGCAGACACACATGCACACATGCCATCACACGCACATGTATGCATACACATTCCATACGCATGTGGACATGTGTGATTGGATACGTGCACGCATGTACATGCCCGGATGCGGACACATTTGCATGCATGCATGCGCGCATGCGTGAACATGCAGTCATAAAAGCATGCGAATGTACACATAAGATGCACATGAACACGTATGGATTGAGACACACAGGCATAGATCGCAACAAACACAGTACACATCACAGAGAGCAGAGAAATGCATCACAGAGAGCAGAGAAATGCATACTTATGAGACACACAGAGCGTCTCGGACGCATCCGAGACTTATTTTCCACTAGCACTGATGAAGGTCCACACAGAGCATCTCGGACGCAGAGCGTCCACTTGGCTGATGAGACACACAGAGCGTCTCGGACGCATTCCGAGACTCAAAACTCGGACGCACAGAGCCGAGACTCAAAACTCGGACGCACAGAGCCGAGACATTCCATTAGCAACGTAGCATGGCAAGATCACAAGGGAGAATTCTCAGAAGTGATTTCCAAACAGCAAGGCAAGATGAGAACTCAGCTGCTTGCCATGCCAGACCCTCGCCGTGAAAATCAGTGAAGAAGAAACTGTGAGGACCTGGCAGTGAAGGCACAGACAAGCCACACTAAGAGAACGACGAAACGCATAGGGTTTTGGGAAAGAGTAGAATGAGAGAAGGAGGTGCCGTACCATGAACGGGGTCCTCTATAACGAGTACAGGGTTGGCGGAGTCCAGCTTGGTCATGTGGATGCGGCAAACGTGCAGGGCTATGTCGAAGTAAGGCGCGCCAAACTGCAGTGGGTCAGGAACGGAAGGGAGAGAAGAGCACGGAAAAGGGGTGGAAATGGGGCTCTTTCTAAAGAGTAAACGCATGTGCAGAGCTTTGCCGAAATAGGCCATGCAAAACTGCAGCATGTTGTGGGGACAGGGGAGGGGGTATTGGGTATAAGGGAGAAGGGGAGAAGACGGGACTCTGTCGAAAAGGTACAGAGACACGTGCCGAGCTATGTTGAAATAGGGTGCATGAAACTGCAGCAGATCGTGCAATCACAGGTCGTGCAGTCCCGGCCATGAGCTCACAGCCATGAGCTCACAGCCATGAGCTCACAGCCATGAGCTCACCATGAGCTCACAGCCATGAGCTCACAGCCATGAGCTCACAGCCATGAGCTCACAGCCATGAGCTCACAGCCATGCACTCCCAGCCATGCACTCCCAGCCATGCATGAACACCTGTGCACTCGCACCCATGCACGCACAGCACAGCCATGGATGGACACACTCACATCGCACCCATGCACGCGGGCACTCACAGCCATGGATGGATAGAGCGCGAGGCGGAATGTCTGGCGTCCGTCACTCATGGTGGGCCCAGGAAGCACTGCCACCCAGCTGCACAGGCATGGGCAGAGAGCGGTGGAGAAGCATGGAGAGGGGTGGAGACTGAGGTGATGCCAGAGGCAGAGGAGGGCGGAAAAACAGTATTGCGTGGGCAGTGGAAAAACAATTCTGCATTCGACTCACACTCCCCTATGCACCCATTGAAAGCAGTAGCCAAGGCAACTCAAGATCTCCTGAACACCTATCGAGAGCAGCACTGAGTTCGACTCACACTCTCCAGTGCCCCATCCACTCACTCCCTCTCTCCTGTTCCCCCATTGAAAGCAGGACCGCATGCTACTCACATCCTCCGGTACACCCATTGCGGGATGAAGGCTTTCACTAGCGATGGTGCTGAGAGGGTCTGCTGGCGCACATAGCCCTCGAACAAGGCCACCCGGCTCTGATGGGGCAACAAGGCAGGGAGGAAGGGGAAGGGACGGACAGTGTGGTAGTGGTGAGAATACTCCCATCAGTGCTGAAAGGGTCTGCTGGCGCACATAGCCCTCAAACAGGGCCACTCCATGACTCGGCTCTGATGGGGCAAGGCGAGAGCAGTGGGAAGGGGCAGGGCGGTGTGGTGTGTGGGGGTGTGGGTAACTAGGGAGGTAGCCAGGAGCATAGTAATGAAGGAAGTGAGAGGATTGGAGAGGCAAGGGGGGCAAGGGAGGTAAGGGGAAAGTAACAGAGCAGAGCGTTATTGGTGCTGAGAGGTTTCGTTACCCTTGTGCTTTACCAGATATGGGGATGTAGCTCAGATGGTAGAGCGCTCGCTTAGCATGCGAGAGGTATGGGGATCGATACTCCACTTCTCCAGACAACCTTTTCGACCTGCTCAGGACCACTGGCGTTACAGTGGCATTTTCCTTTGAGTCAACGACCAGGAGCACACAAGCAAGCAATTTGCACCTCTATGAGTCACACGACAGCAGTGGCGTTCCTCTCTCGGGCCAGGTCCAGAGCGGTCTTTCCCTTATCTCACACACCCAGACACACACGCACACACCGACACGACCCCACCCTTTGCCCCGCACCTCTATGAGTCGCACAACAGCAGTGGCGTTCCTCTCCCTGGCCAGGTCCAAAGCAGTTTTGCCCTCGTCGTTCGGGAAAAGGGCGTCCGCTGCAATAAGGCGGGGGGGAATGAGGGGAAAACGGGGAGAACAAACAAGAGTGATGTTACATGGTTACAGATGGATCTTGCGGTTACAACTTTGTGGTTACTGCATTGCATAGAGAACCAGCTCACCTCCATGGTCCAGCAGAAGCTTCAGTGAGGCATCGATCATAACATATCGCCGTTAAGTACGCGTTATTACCACCACATGGTTACCAGCTCACCTCCATGGTCCAGCAGCAGCTTCAGTGAGGCATCGATCATAACATATCGCCGTTAAGTACGCGTTATTACCACCACATGGTTACCGCATGGTTACCACATGGTTACCAGCTCACCTCCATGGTCCAGCAGCAGCTTCACTGTGGCATCTAGCTGCTTGCGAGCGGCATAGTGAATGGCCGTGCCCCCTCCTGGTCCTGCAGGGATGGGGAGAGGTTCGAAAGAGAGGAAATGGGAGGAGAGATATGACATCACAAATGGCTGTCCTGTAACATGGTGAGTGGCTCTACTGCTTTGGCAAAGCAAATGGCCGTGCCCCCTCCTGGACCTGCATGGACGGGACGAGAGAGGGGGAGGGGGAGGAGAGATGTAAGCCATGGATAGATGGGCGTGCTGTGGCATGGTGAATGGCTGTGCCGTGGCATGGTGAATGACTGTGCTGTGGCATGGAAGAAAGTGGTATCACGGTGGTGGAGACGAGGTGGAAATTGGAGAGGAGGATTTAAGATTGGGGGACGAAACCAAACCATGCACGACTTTGATGATTGAAAGTGCTCGTGAGGATTGATTCGCAACCGCAAGCCCACCTTTGGAGTAGGCGCGAACGAGAGCACCCAACTGCAACAGAAGTTTTGCAGCCTCAAAGCCCTCTGCCCGGCTGCTGGCGAGAATCAACGGCGTGCGACCCTTGGAATCCACACACTGTTTGGGGGAATGAAGAGGGGGGCGGGAAGGGGAGAGCGTCTGAATTCGCCCATCTAAAAAGCAGCTTCGTCGCCTCGCACCCCTCTGCCCGGCTGCTGGCGAGAATCAAAGGCGTGCGACCCTTTGAATCCACACACTGTGAGGGGGGATGTGGGGGGACGAGGGGGAATGACGGGAAAATGAGGGGAGAAGGCGGCGAAGTGGGACGAGGAGGGAATGAGGGGCTAGGGGGGCGAGAGGCAGCAAAAATAAAATTTTACTTCAAGTTTTTATCCCCTCATGTATCACCTCTCATCAACAAGAAAATGTAACAGGTTAGTGCGTAACCCAGGTCAGAAGGAGCTGGAAACTTGAATGCTAGCTTTAAAAAGCGTCACATTGGCGTCAAAAAGCATCAGCGACTTTAAGAGACATTAACAACAACCTCGAATAGAGCTTTCCAGGTGAAACTCGTATGGATGCTTAGCAACAAATAATAAGTAATAATAATAAATTCTTACGTTGACGCTGATTCCACGTGAAGCCAGCTCTCGGACGGCTGACGTGTTGCCGTGCTTCGCGGCGTGTCGTATCAGCTCCTCTCTCGATCCACTCTGACCCATGATACTGCGCCTAATATGCTTATGAAGCTGCTTACGCAGATTCTGAAAACACTCAGGCTTCGTCTTTCTCTGACACGGGCACTGTTTGACAATATACCTTTCTTCGACACAGAGGAAACTCAGACTAGCCACAGGATACAGATGCGAGAAACTATGCGTTCTATTCTACGCGGAAGTTACGAGCCAGTGTAAGGACGAGCTTGGAAGCGGAGAAGGCATACCAGCTAATAGTAAACGTTCACGTTTGCATTAACTACCCATTGACGGAATTTGACAAGGAAGCTTGAGATGATCACGGAACACGCTGCGAATTCGTCCAAAACGTGGAAACGATTCCAGAGCTATTTTCTCCAGCGCGGCTGCGAATGCGAAAACGGAGCTGAAGCATGCCCGATTTCACTGCGAAGAGGGTGGATGGCATGGGAAGCGGCGGACTACCATCAAATAAGCAGTAAAGCTTCAGTCACATGACGGCTGACCCAAATTAGTGGCCAAGCTGACTATTTCCAGGAAACAGCTCCCAATACTTTCCCTTGTGGTTGACGTGTGAATGCGAAACGTGTATACGAACCCGTTAAAGCTGCGGTCTACATTCTAAAAGTGAATGAATGTTTATTACGACTGATTGTTCGTAACGCTAGTCACCTTATCTGGTTTACAATTAATCAGTCTCTATCGCTAACAAAAAACCGTTATTTTACAAACGGGGTTTAGAGAGGGCTTGTAGGGTCTAAAAAGATAATTCCGGGTTTCAGTTCGGCGAGGAGTCGAAACTGCGCACCTCAAGATTTCCACGAATTGGTTGGTTGGTTGTACTTTTTGAGGGCGGAAGTCAGTGTCCCCCGTCATCGGCTTCAAATGGAATTAGAGTCGTTTCTGTAAGTTCTGAGAAGATAACCGTGGTTTCAGTCCGGTGAAAGAATGATGCCCGTTTTACAACTGCGGAGGAATGCAAGCAAAGCGAACCACTCGTTTCAGCAATTGGATTCACAACCACAAGTTAGGCGGCCTGCACTTTCACAACACAAGTTCTACATGATGTGAATTGAATGGTTGAGCGTTCTGTGTGTACAAGCCAGCATCAGACCTAGTGCTGCTGCGAGAGTCACCATGGTTCACCTAGGTCTAGAGTCGCCGAGTCATAATCGTCAATTACCTCACCAAGCCGCGGCGCTCCTGAAAGCGATCCCATTTGTCCACTATGCGATCCTCGTAATCACCACCTCCACGATCCTCGCGTTCTGGTTCGCGTTTCCACCAAACGCGACTTATATGCCCGCCGATTGCAACCACGCTGATATACCCGTCGAACGGTCGGATGAAACATTGCGAGACTGCCCGCGGTGCGACGAGCGGTTTGATCGCAACACGTCGGATGAACTTGCGCCGTTGGATCTGCCGTTAACTGCCCGCGGCGCGAAGATTCGGATGTGCATGGGGAGCCCGTCCGCGCCGTTCGCGCAGGGAACGTTCGTAACGAAGCCTATGAAGCACGGGAAAGCGTTTCACAACCGGTTTGCGCAGCTCACCGTGTTTGAAGCGGAGGTTCGGCACGAACCGGAGGTTTGGGCCGAGGCAGAGGCTCGCCGCGAAACTTCCGGGGGGACGGCAGGCGGAGATAGTATCGGACAGGCGGCAGGAGCAGGCGGAACGGCTGGCGGACAGGGAGGAGACGGCGGAAATGGGGCACAGCATGGGGGACGGCAAGGGGAGCCGCAAGGGGGACAGCAAAGGGGACAACAAGCGGAGCCGCAAGGGGACCAGCAGCAAGTGGGGCAGAACCAAGGGGGGCCTGGGCGGGCAGAACCGACAAAAACGACACTGCGGCTGCTGTCGTTTTTGGAGGACGACGATTCGATTCTCAAGTCGCAGTGGAAGGGGTGGGGTGAGGCGGAATATAGCGACCTCTTCACTCCGAGTGTGTTTAAGGTGCAGTGCCACGTTTGGCCCACGCACGACGCTTATATGCAGACCCTGGAGCCTGCTTATATCGTGGATGCAGTCGCAAATAACAGCTATCTGTGGCATAACATTATTGAGTGCCCTCTGCCACCGTACACCGAGCTTGTGACTGATAACGAGACCGTTTCAAGCGAACCAGCCAGCTCCGCTGCTCCTCCCTCTGATCCCTCTGCGACTCCTGCGTTTATGAGCGGTCGAGAGCGGTTGGGAACGGTGGAGGGGAGAAAGTGGGCGGTGCATCACCTGCAGCAGGTGCAGGTACAGCTCGTGGCAGCAGAGGAAGGGGCAGACCTTCGTATGCCCCCGCTGCTGCTGTGCCGCGCCGACAGCAACAAACACACCCTCGCCTCCTCCCCCCTCTCCCTCTCCCTGACTGCCTCCCGCCACACCACTGCTGCTGCTGCTACGGCCCAAACCATCCCTCTCTCCTTCCCTCCGCCGTTTCCGTTTGCAGCAAAGGAAAAGGAATTGGCTGCTCTGGCTGTTGCCGGGGCTGCTGCCGAGGCTGCTGCTGCTGCAGGGGGTGCTAAGGGTGGCTCTGGAGGTTCGGCAGGCTCAAAGCCCGCTGTAGGTTTGGGAAGTGGTTCGGAGCTGGTTCGGTTTCTGGCGGAGGCAGAGGGCGGGGCGAACAGCACAGATAAAGCTTCTGGTGGGGAAGCGCTCAGTTCCGAGCACCTGCTTGTGAACTATGAGGATGCAGCTACTAACGAGGATGAGTTCGGCAGCAGCAGCAGCAACAGCAGCGGCAGGAGTGCAAGCGAAACCGGGGAGGGAGGAAGAACCACTGAGCACGCAGGCATGGGAGCAGTGAGCATCTGCCTGCGCCCCGTGCACAAACGGCAGATGTTCTCCGACAACGTTGCTGTATCCGACGTGCGATTACTCGAGTGGATCGATGCGTGTCTGCTGATGGGAGTGGATCGCATCTATGTGTACGACCGCTACGCCACGCACATACGCGCGCTGCTGTGGGAGTACATAGCGAGGGGGCAGGTGGTGCACGTGCCGTTCCCCAATTGGAGCGAGGTGTTCTTTAGGCAAGCGCAGTACGACGGCAAGGCCAAGAAGCCCTACGCGGTGAGTGAGTGTGGGAGTGGGAGTGCCTTTCCTTTGTGTGTGTGTGTGCGGGGATCGCCACACATAGACTTGTGCCGTTCCCCAACTGGAGCGTATTGAAATCACTTTTGAGAATTTTCAAAATTGCCGTTCCACAATTGGAGCGAGGCGTTCTCCAGACAAGCCCAGAACGACGGCAAGGCCAAGAAGCCCTACGCGGTGAGTGTGCTTCCTTGCTCTCGTGCGTGTGTGCGTGCGTGCGTGCGTGCGTGTGTGCGTGCGTGCGTGCGTGCGTGCGTGTGTGCGTGCGTGCATGTGTGTCTTGTGCCTCCATCTTCCGCTTCCCTCTTCACAAAAAAAAAACATTTTCCCCTTCCATCCCCTCCACCCGCCCCCCTCCCCTCCGCCTCCCGCCAGCCAGTTCCCAGACATATACGACCAGGTGATAGCGTTCGAGCACTGCATGATGCTGGGGCGGAGGTGACTTGAGTTAACGCATAACCATCCCCCAAGAAAAGTTTTCCCCTTCCGCCCCCTCCACTCCCCTCCACCCGCCCACCCCCCGCCCCCCCCCCCCCCCGCCTCCCGCCAGCCAGTTCCCAGACATATACGACCAGGTGATAGCATTCGAGCACTGCATGATGCTGGGGCGGAGGTGACTTCGATACTTATAAATCACCTCGAAGCACTATCACCCCTTCATCCTGCCCCGCCCACCCTCCCCCCAGCCAGTTCCCAGACATATACGACCAGGTGATAGCATTCGAGCACTGCATGATGCTGGGGCGGAGGTTCGGCGACAGGTGGCAGCTGCAGATAGACAGTGACGAGTTCATCTGGTACCACCCCCAGGCTGGGGGCTTTTTGAAACCCCTTCTCGCTAGGATAGAGGTCAACCACGCGCGCGCACCAGGCAGCAAGCAGCCTCTCCGGGTGAGTTACATCTTTATGTGAGTCAACTCAAAAAGGCACCAGGCAGGCAGGCAGCTCAAGACAGGTGGCAGGTGCAGATAGACAGCGACGAGTTCATCTGGTACCACCCCCAGGCTGTGGGATTCCTCAAGCTGCATCTCGCGGGGATAGAGCTCAACCACGCGCGAGCTCCAGGGCGCGGGCACCAGCAGGCAACCACTGCGGGTGAGTGAGAGATGCTGGAAAACTGCTTGCTTTTTTATCCTCTCGCCCCTCTTCTAGCCTCGTGACCTTCTTCTTGTCCCCATTTCTCCTTTTTTCGAGGCACCAGAAGTGGAAAAGCCCATGCTTATTGCTGTTTGCTTCTTGTCCACAAACCTTCCTCGTTCTCGCTTCATCCTTCCTCTTCCTCTTCCTGCTTTCCCACCTCATGGCCCCACTGCCATTCCGCCCCACCTCATGGCCCCACTGCCATTCCGCCCCACCTCATGGCCCCACTGCCATTCCGCCCCACCTCATGGCCCCACTGCCATTCCGCCCCACCTCATGGCCCCACTGCCATTCCGCCCCACCTCATGGCCCCACTGCCATTCCGCCCCACCTCATGGCCCCACTGCCATTCCGCCCCACCTCATGGCCCCACTGCCATTCCGCCCCACCTCATGGCCCCACTGCCATTCCGCCCCACCTCATGGACCCACTGCCATTCCGCCCCATCCTTGTTTGTTCGTGTGGCAGGCGATTCTAATAAGGCGGTTCAACTTCTGGGGAGTGAAGAAGGAGTCGCGGGGGGACCCGGTATCCGACAGGCTGCAGTGGCGCTGCAGTGAGCCCATGTGGCACACCAAGACGTGGGTGGGCTGGCACGACAAGGTGGCCGTTAACCCTCAAACGATTCTTCCCTAGTAAGTGCCTCTTAGTAAGTGCCTCTTAGTAAGTGCCGTGCTGGCAACCCTAGTACAATCCTCCTCTCCTCCTCTAGTTAGGGGGTTGTTGCCCTTGAGTGTGATGTGAGCAACGTGGCCTCCAGTCGCGGTGCAGTGAGCCCATGCGGCACACCAAGACGTGGTGGAAGGTGGTGTAGTGCGGTGGCTCCGGTGCTGGTGCGGCTTCCGACATGCTGCTGTGGCGGTGCAGTGAGCTCATGTGGCACACCAAGACGTGGATCGGCTGGCATGACAAGGTGGCCGTCAACCCCCGGACCATCCTGCCATAGTGAGTGTACTCTCACACGATCCTCCTCTAGTGAGTGTACTCTCACACGATCCTCCTCTAGTGAGTGTACTCTCACACGATCCTCCTCTAGTGAGTGTACTCTCACACGATCCTCCTCTAGTGAGTGTACTCTCACACGATCCTCCCCTAGTGAGTGTACTCTAACACGATCCTCCTCTAGTGAGTGTACTCTCACACGATCCTCCCCTAGTGAGTGTACTCTCACACGATCCTCCTCTAGTGAGTGTACTCTCACACGATCCTCCTCTAGTGAGTGTACTCTCACACGATCCTCCTCTAGTGAGTGTACTCTCACACGATCCTCCTCTAGTGAGTGTACTCTCACACGATCCTCCTCTAGTGAGTGTACTCTCACACGATCCTCCTCTAGTGAGTGTACTCTCACACGATCCTCCTCTAGTGAGTGTACTCTCACACGATCCTCCTCTAGTGAGTGTACTCTCACACGATCCTCCTCTAGTGAGTGTACTCTCACACGATCCTCCTCTAGTGAGTGTACTCTCACACGATCCTCCTCTAGTGAGTGTACTCTCACACGATCCTCCTCTAGTGAGTGTACTCTCACACGATCCTCCTCTAGTGAGTGTACTCTCACACGATCCTCCTCTAGTGAGTGTACTCTCACACGATCCTCCTCTAGTGAGTGTACTCTCACACGATCCTCCTCTAGTGAGTGTACTCTCACACGATCCTCCTCTAGTGAGTGTACTCTCACACGATCCTCCTCTAGTGAGTGTACTCTCACACGATCCTCCTCTAGTGAGTGTACTCTCACACGATCCTCCTCTAGTGAGTGTACTCTCACACGATCCTCCTCTAGTGAGTGTACTCTCACACGATCCTCCTCTAGTGAGTGTACTCTCACACGATCCTCCTCTAGTGAGTGTACTCTCACACGATCCTCCTCTAGTGAGTGTACTCTCACACGATCCTCCTCTAGTGAGTGTACTCTCACACGATCCTCCTCTAGTGAGTGTACTCTCACACGATCCTCCTCTAGTGAGTGTACTCTCACACGATCCTCCTCTAGTGAGTGTACTCTCACACGATCCTCCTCTAGTGAGTGTACTCTCACACGATCCTCCTCTAGTGAGTGTACTCTCACACGATCCTCCTCTAGTGAGTGTACTCTCACACGATCCTCCTCTAGTGAGTGTACTCTCACACGATCCTCCTCTAGTGAGTGTACTCTCACACGATCCTCCCCTAGTGAGTGTACTCTCACACGATCCTCCCCTAGTGAGTGTACTCTCACACGATCCTCCTCTAGTGAGTGTACTCTCACACGATCCTCCTCTAGTGAGTGTACTCTCACACGATCCTCCTCTAGTGAGTGTACTCTCACACGATCCTCCTCTAGTGAGTGTACTCTCACACGATCCTCCTCTAGTGAGTGTACTCTCACACGATCCTCCTCTAGTGAGTGTACTCTCACACGATCCTCCTCTAGTGAGTGTACTCTCACACGATCCTCCTCTAGTGAGTGTACTCTCACACGATCCTCCTCTAGTGAGTGTACTCTCACACGATCCTCCTCTAGTGAGTGTACTCTCACACGATCCTCCTCTAGTGAGTGTACTCTCACACGATCCTCCTCTAGTGAGTGTACTCTCACACGATCCTCCTCTAGTGAGTGTACTCTCACACGATCCTCCTCTAGTGAGTGTACTCTCACACGATCCTCCTCTAGTGAGTGTACTCTCACACGATCCTCCTCTAGTGAGTGTACTCTCACACGATCCTCCTCTAGTGAGTGTACTCTCACACGATCCTCCTCTAGTGAGTGTACTCTCACACGATCCTCCTCTAGTGAGTGTACTCTCACACGATCCTCCTCTAGTGAGTGTACTCTCACACGATCCTCCTCTAGTGAGTGTACTCTCACACGATCCTCCTCTAGTGAGTGTACTCTCACACGATCCTCCTCTAGTGAGTGTACTCTCACACGATCCTCCTCTAGTGAGTGTACTCTCACACGATCCTCCTCTAGTGAGTGTACTCTCACACGATCCTCCTCTAGTGAGTGTACTCTCACACGATCCTCCTCTAGTGAGTGTACTCTCACACGATCCTCCTCTAGTGAGTGTACTCTCACACGATCCTCCTCTAGTGAGTGTACTCTCACACGATCCTCCTCTAGTGAGTGTACTCTCACACGATCCTCCTCTAGTGAGTGTACTCTCACACGATCCTCCTCTAGTGAGTGTACTCTCACACGATCCTCCTCTAGTGAGTGTACTCTCACACGATCCTCCTCTAGTGAGTGTACTCTCACACGATCCTCCTCTAGTGAGTGTACTCTCACACGATCCTCCTCTAGTGAGTGTACTCTCACACGATCCTCCTCTAGTGAGTGTACTCTCACACGATCCTCCTCTAGTGAGTGTACTCTCACACGATCCTCCTCTAGTGAGTGTACTCTCACACGATCCTCCTCTAGTGAGTGTACTCTCACACGATCCTCCTCTAGTGAGTGTACTCTCACACGATCCTCCTCTAGTGAGTGTACTCTCACACGATCCTCCTCTAGTGAGTGTACTCTCACACGATCCTCCTCTAGTGAGTGTACTCTCACACGATCCTCCTCTAGTGAGTGTACTCTCACACGATCCTCCTCTAGTGAGTGTACTCTCACACGATCCTCCTCTAGTGAGTGTACTCTCACACGATCCTCCTCTAGTGAGTGTACTCTCACACGATCCTCCTCTAGTGAGTGTACTCTCACACGATCCTCCTCTAGTGAGTGTACTCTCACACGATCCTCCTCTAGTGAGTGTACTCTCACACGATCCTCCTCTAGTGAGTGTACTCTCACACGATCCTCCTCTAGTGAGTGTACTCTCACACGATCCTCCCCTAGTGAGTGTACTCTCACACGATCCTCCTCTAGTGAGTGTACTCTCACACGATCCTCCTCTAGTGAGTGTACTCTCACACGATCCTCCTCTAGTGAGTGTACTCTCACACGATCCTCCTCTAGTGAGTGTACTCTCACACGATCCTCCTCTAGTGAGTGTACTCTCACACGATCCTCCTCTAGTGAGTGTACTCTCACACGATCCTCCTCTAGTGAGTGTACTCTCACACGATCCTCCTCTAGTGAGTGTACTCTCACACGATCCTCCTCTAGTGAGTGTACTCTCACACGATCCTCCTCTAGTGAGTGTACTCTCACACGATCCTCCTCTAGTGAGTGTACTCTCACACGATCCTCCTCTAGTGAGTGTACTCTCACACGATCCTCCTCTAGTGAGTGTACTCTCACACGATCCTCCTCTAGTGAGTGTACTCTCACACGATCCTCCTCTAGTGAGTGTACTCTCACACGATCCTCCTCTAGTGAGTGTACTCTCACACGATCCTCCTCTAGTGAGTGTACTCTCACACGATCCTCCTCTAGTGAGTGTACTCTCACACGATCCTCCTCTAGTGAGTGTACTCTCACACGATCCTCCTCTAGTGAGTGTACTCTCACACGATCCTCCTCTAGTGAGTGTACTCTCACACGATCCTCCTCTAGTGAGTGTACTCTCACACGATCCTCCTCTAGTGAGTGTACTCTCACACGATCCTCCTCTAGTGAGTGTACTCTCACACGATCCTCCTCTAGTGAGTGTACTCTCACACGATCCTCCTCTAGTGAGTGTACTCTCACACGATCCTCCTCTAGTGAGTGTACTCTCACACGATCCTCCTCTAGTGAGTGTACTCTCACACGATCCTCCTCTAGTGAGTGTACTCTCACACGATCCTCCTCTAGTGAGTGTACTCTCACACGATCCTCCTCTAGTGAGTGTACTCTCACACGATCCTCCTCTAGTGAGTGTACTCTCACACGATCCTCCTCTAGTGAGTGTACTCTCACACGATCCTCCTCTAGTGAGTGTACTCTCACACGATCCTCCTCTAGTGAGTGTACTCTCACACGATCCTCCTCTAGTGAGTGTACTCTCACACGATCCTCCTCTAGTGAGTGTACTCTCACACGATCCTCCTCTAGTGAGTGTACTCTCACACGATCCTCCTCTAGTGAGTGTACTCTCACACGATCCTCCTCTAGTGAGTGTACTCTCACACGATCCTCCTCTAGTGAGTGTACTCTCACACGATCCTCCTCTAGTGAGTGTACTCTCACACGATCCTCCTCTAGTGAGTGTACTCTCACACGATCCTCCTCTAGTGAGTGTACTCTCACACGATCCTCCTCTAGTGAGTGTACTCTCACACGATCCTCCTCTAGTGAGTGTACTCTCACACGATCCTCCTCTAGTGAGTGTACTCTCACACGATCCTCCTCTAGTGAGTGTACTCTCACACGATCCTCCTCTAGTGAGTGTACTCTCACACGATCCTCCTCTAGTGAGTGTACTCTCACACGATCCTCCTCTAGTGAGTGTACTCTCACACGATCCTCCCCTAGTGAGTGTACTCTAACACGATCCTCCTCTAGTGAGTGTACTCTAACACGATCCTCCTCTAGTGAGTGTACTCTTACACGATCCTCCTCTAGTGAGTGTACTCTCACACGATCCTCCTCTAGTGAGTGTACTCTCACACGATCCTCCCCTAGTGAGTGTACTCTCACACGATCCTCCCCTAGTGAGTGTACTCTCACACGATCCTCCCCTAGTGAGTGTACTCTCACACGATCCTCCCCTAGTGAGTGTACT